TGGGCCAAAAAAGGTCTTAAGGCCCCAAAAATTTGGGCTTTTTGGTCATTACTAGGCCTTATAAGGCCTTATCTTTTAATTTCAGGCCAAATTTTAAAGAAAATGGGCCTCAAAATTTCAAAATTGTTTTCTCTGACCGGAAATTTGGCCCCCTCCCCCTTATCGGTTCCTGGATCCGCCACTACTACAAATATTGATTGAGGAACATCCCACACAAACTGTTTATCAAGTATCAAAGAAAACATCCAAACGTCAAATACGTATCCACTTAAATATTTCCTCAAACAAAGTAAACATGTTTTACAATTTACTTCATGAAAATCCGACCTTTAGGAAGGGAGAAGTTGTATTTTGAAGTTTTGTTATCGAAAATGCTGATTTATCTTTCGGTATTCAAAAACACCATGAATGCTTGGCCCTCTTTCACCCTTTTATCAAGCTTTTCAATGGTACTTTTGCACACGTTCTGTGTAAAAAAAGATCATTATTAATTCTTTGAGCAGAGGAGTATCAGAAAAGATTTTGATTCTTCTTATATCAATACTTATCTCTCAGAACAGATCATCTTTCGGATCATTTGCGTTCGCCACGATCGAATCGTCTTTCTGCATTAGAACCACGCCTGGTCTCAACAGGGTCGGTTCACAGTATTATGCAGTTCCTTTTAAATAGGTACACAGGATTGAAGATTTTCTCTTGATGGCGAAATTATACAAAACAAAACGTAAAACGAAGACACTGGAAGCAGCCACCGTTTGCAATGAAACAAACCCCAACATTCAAACCTATTGTAATGACGTGTCGCAAAAAGGTGGCGCATTTGTTTTTTAAGGGTATCGCGTGAATGTAACTTTGATTCCCCGGATTATAAGATAATATTCTAATTAAAGTTATATACCATTTTAAAGCTGTTTCGATGAAGATTTTAGATCAACTACACTCCATTCACATTTTTTGCGCGTTCGTTTTTAAAAAAGAGTTTTTTACCAAAACATCTGGCAAATATCCCATGTTGACACGTTACATTTTGAATTATTTTTCGTCTTTAAACGCTCATAACTCGAACAATATATGACTATTATACTTATTTTTCGTCTTGATAAAGGTAGATGGAAGTTTTATTTCAAAGGATGAATTTTAGTAAGCGTCCCATATTGTGGCGTCATAGAGTCTGAAAAATAGAATCTGTTGACAGCGACCTTTTTTGCTCATTTTTTGGTACCTTCAACTTTTCAGGTGTACATGAAACAAAAAATACGAGATCAATTTTTAATAAATCATACATGATTATTTTGCTCCTAAACTCTAGTTTATTAATAAATAGTTGATTTTGTTCACAAAAGTATGTGTTTTCTGTTGTATGTGGAAAAGTGGAGGACGAAAGGTTTTCAAAATTCATTAAAATAGGGCTAATTTACGCCATTCGCCTATTTTCAAGCACAGCAACACGTATATTTATTTCACCTAAAATATCAATTGATTCGTGTTTTATGATGCTCCTAACCCATTGTTAATACATATACAATATCAGATTTATTCGCCTTAAATATTTTGAGATATAGAGGCAAATGTGGAGGACGAAAGGATTTCCATAAGTGTTCATTTTTCTCAAAAACGTCACATTCTACCATGTTAAAAGCGAGGATTCTCTGGATTACGCCACAAAATGTGTAACAATGCGTGCGCGAGCTTTTTGCGACACGTCAATACTCTCGAGGAAACAGTGAAAATGGTCCATTCCCCTAAGGATCCAAGTCGTTATATGTTACTTAATTAGTTACGATCGATTAAAATGCAGAATAATGAGTAATTAAAGACAACTATATGGGCACTTCTCTCTAATAGAAACCAATGTATTGGTAGCCAGAAAGTACCCATGGTGACAGATATGAAGAAAACATATTGTTTTAATAGAAACCAATTTATCGTATGATCTGTAAAACGAAGCCCTCTGATTGGTGAGTTCTTGTGCTCTACCAATCTGTATTGCTACTGAGATTGTCCCCGTTGATCATCTCCGTCGCAATACAGAAAATATTGGTACGGAGGGGACATTCTCAGTAGCAAGACAGAGGATCACACGATAATTACGTTATAGAATGATTTGAAGTGCAATACAGGATATATTCTGCTCTCGATAACCTGTATTGGCAATACAGAATTTCTCGAGCAGAATATATCCTGTATTGCACTTTAAATCATTCAATAACTTATAGTATTGGTGGCCAGAAAGTACCCATTCACACAGATATGACCATACTGTACATGGACCTTTATTTTGAATTATTTAACTTTCTTATGGTCCTTTGGACACCCTGTACTTGTTTCAAAAATTGTTTTGGATTATGCAAAATAACTTACATCAAAGCTACAGTCGGGGTTGACCTAAAATGTGCCAAGTAGAGAGTGTGGGTTCAATTCATATTTCATCTTGAAAAGAAAAATGCAAAACGAGATCGTAAAAATGATATACACACTATATTTTCCATATTTGGGAATGGTATATTTTACTTTGCTGAGATTAATTATAGATCATCCCATATATGGAGTGATAACGTTGGGCATTAGCGAGAGGGAATTATGGATATCATTGAGTGGATTTGCTTGACTAAAATGAACTTAAATACTTACTTCCAAGTAGTTTTCCAGACGTCATTTCAAATACTTGAAAAGCGGCTTGGGCCAAATAGATCTCGTTTGTTCTTCTAGTTTGTCAGGTCTTTCTGTTCTGTTCTCTTGAGGTTGTCTTGTGAGTTTTTTAAGTTGCTGCATTGGTTCAGACTTGATGTTGCCAATCTCTTTTGTCCCTAGAGTAATTGTTTTGCATCTTCGGCATTCCGCTTTGCGAGATATTGGGCTTGTTCTCACAAGCCGAGACTTTTTCTCATAAATTATTTACTGAAACCGCATGTTCAATTGTACACCTCTAACCTGTATCGTATGTAATTTTATCATATGATAGTATCATGGGTTAAAAGCATTTACGTCATACTTAAAAGCAATGTATCTCGTGTAAAACCAAAGGGCCTAAATGACACAATTAATAAAATATTATTTATCATTTTAATAGTTATTCAGGTTCTTTTAGCATGTGATTATGAGATATTTCCAGAGACTTTGGTGAAAATTCAAATTCTATTGTTGGGAGTTATTTGTGGAAGTACAAAAACCAAAAATTAAGATTTTCAAAACAAGATTTTAAGTAAAGATACCCGTGTTAATATTAACACCATTTTGCAATGTGGAGAATCCTATTCTCAATGTGTCCGTTAATTGATTTCCTCAAATTCAGGGATTTTGATTTAACTTAGGTGATTTAGTCCCTACAAAACAATTATTGCAGAGAGATAAAACATGGTATGGATTAAATCGATCAAGGATGCATGGAATCCTAATTCACTTTCATAGATTGTAACCTAATTCAATCAGACCATGCAAAAAATATTATATAAAATAGCATTTAGAGTCAATGCAAATAGTGCTGAAGTAAAGAGAAGCTTGTCCAAAGGAAGGTCACAGTACGATACCATACCTGGTCCTTTTTTAAAGTTCACATGTATTAGATATAATCTGATCCTCGTCAGCAACTTTAGTTTCATTTCCTAAACCCAAGTGATAACCCAGAGTACTGGAACATATGGGATTATCTTAATACAAATGAGATTCCACATCTTTCTTTACAATTATCAAAAGTGCCTTCAGATTCCCTTTCAAAGCTACGCTGCATTACACCCAAAAGACAACCCCTTCTCAATTTACAAGCGAACACGTTGACATTCTGCTATTGCCAAGTCAGTTTAACTTAGTGCAAAAGTACGAAGAGCAACATCGAAGGAATGGGTTTTGCAGAATGAGATCAATGTTTCATATGTTATTAAGGATATTGTGTTGCTCTCAAGTCATTGTCGTCATTCTTCAATTTGTATTTTAAAACATCGTCACTAGATTGAGGTTCTTATAAGATAATGTCTTTAAAATAAGTCTGAATATGCAGATTCTAGCTGCTTCAATTATACATTGTACATACTATAAATAGTCTTCTTGTTTTTATTTTACTTTGGTATACTATTGTAATTTATTGTAAATTGTTGCTAATTTTCAATCTGAAGTTAATAAAGCAAAAGCAATATAGTAATACCATGCAATACACAGACATACAAGTACACCCCCAGCCTTTATACCAGTAGTGTGGTACCACTCGGCCAACAAGGGAAAGTAGAAAAATGTTACAGAAGATGCACATCAAGAAGAAGAAAACATCCACTTAAAGTAAGTCATAAGAAAAACAAATCACAACTATCCCAAGTCACACGCTAACATGAAAAGAAACAATCTCTAATACCCCCCCCCCCCCCCCCCCCCAACAATAAACTCGGTATCCTTTAGTTTGATAACCTAACTGGAAAGTCTTGAAGATTTGACTCTGGGGTAAATAGCTTTCAAATGTACCAACAGAAAACCAATTCTGATAATTCACGTTGTTGTTTTAGTCAGAAATCCTCGCTAAACATTTAGTCTTTCTGCACGACATCTTTACAAGTAGTCTAAAGACCATGTACTCTGATTTCTAATTCCTGTCCAGTCAAAATATGTTCGTTTGTTCTGTTTTCTAAACCACCCTATAAAACAAAGAGTTATAGAAAACATATGAGTATAGATAATCATCTCGGATATCGACGTTGGTGAAATTAAAACGCCATTTAAAACGATAGAGAAAATACTATTAAAAGCAAAATTGCATTGATAGAATTTCATAGAACACGGCATTAAGCAGGTAAAGCACAGTGTTTGATAAAACTGTGCCATTTCAACAAATGAGCGTGTGAGTAATGCTGAATAACTTGAAATTAAAACACCCTGCAGCGCGCCCTTTTCTAAACCATGTACACTCGCACATGTAGCGCACATACAAATGTAAGCCACATAAACTATTCGTGTTTTTATTGGTGACCTCGCTTTTATGTTCGGCTATTTGAATGTCAATAGATTTGGCATACACCCTATTTTTACGAAGTATTAGTGAGTACGTATAAAGCAAATAGTAAAAGGACAGAAATTAGGCCGTACATAAAAGTACCTCATCGAGGACTTACAGGGAACAGGTATACAAGGAACATTGAAGCGGACACATTGAAGTATAGTATCAAAACGGACCCAAAAAGACATATGATGAACGTGATACTGCCAAATGACTTTCACTTGTGAGGAAACCTGTAATCGGGTACTTTACATGATAAAATAACACAGCATTTTCAATACAACACGAGGAGACTGTAGAAAAGATGGGGGCGGCTGGATACATCGGTGCTGCAGCAGTTTTCACTGCCATAGCCCTCCTTATGTCAGCGCTTGGTTTCGCCACTGACTTTTGGCAATACAACGTTGTGGACAGGGCGGCCCTCAAGACGTCCACTGTTAAAGCTGTGGGGGAAAATATAAATACGAATCCTGAATATTTCACCAGGAACCAAGGACTTTTTAGGGAGTGTTTTCCAGGGAATGATACAACGTGTAAGTAAAAGGATGAATAACAAAATGCGTTGATAAAACTTATGAATATGGGTCGGATGAATCGTGATTCCCTGGGTGTGGTTTGGGGACCTTGTGTTTTCTTATATTATGATTGTTCTCCTGAGATTATGTCACCTTTGTATGACCCTTACTGGCTCTCTGGGAAGTAGATATGATGGGGGTCCAGAGATTTGCAGGGGATGGTATTTGGCTAGGACTCCAGGCTCCCCTTTGAACAGTGAAGTCATGAGTAGATCTTCTCAACGATACATTCTCCATCTGCCTTTCTTTGATATACAGTGAGCTAAGTCTAAATACAAACATTTACAATTACTTGTCAGACAGGTAGACTTGGGTGCTCCTGAGGGCACAAAGTTGAAAATTGCTGTTGAATAGTTGAAAATATCAATTGGAAATTATTTACTTTGAAAATGTGACTTTTTGAGCTACTATACTGATATGAATGATTCCTTTACTTTCTTTTTCATCGGAGCTTTATTTATGCTAATTTAAGAATACCAGGAAGTAGCTTAACATTCTCAAATGATTTATATTCTTGTCATATGGGAAGTTTCTGTATACCTATACATTCCTTTAAACCATGATATTTGACTCTTTGAAATGAAGTCTCCTTGAGAGCGACTGATATGGAACAGAACCTATAGAAATATGTTCAGCTCCACTAACATTTGCAAATACCAGAATGTTCACCCTTTCTTTAAAAACACCAGAATGTTCACCCTTTCTTTAAAAACACATCATTTAAGGTACAGCTGGAAAGTAACATTTTGGTAAAAAATTGCTATACCTGCACATGTTATTTTCTGGTACAAAATAAAGTATGAAGGCATGTATCAATTTCCTTGCTTTTTTCAGGAAAGTATCATTACATTGTCTTCTTTTAGAATATCTGGTAGGCGTTCAAAGGGAACTCCAGGGAATTCTGATATTTCGCACTTCCTGTTTTTCCAAATTTTCTTTCAAAGTTTCCAGACAACACAGGAGCTACCATTGACCTGTTTCCAGGTTTACTAAAAGTAGACAGTGTAATGATACTTTCCTGAAAAAAGCAAGGAAATACACACATGTCTTCATACTTAATTATGTACCAGAAAATAACATGTGCAGGTATAGCAATTTTTTACCAAAATGTTACTTTCCAGCTGAACCTTAATGCGTTCATGAAAAGATTGAGATCATTCAATACGACTAAGGAATTAAATCATTTCAGGGGGAACTGATATATGCAGGCGTTTTCATTAATTTGTAATTTTAACGTTAAGCTGCAAATTCATATTTTCGAAAGTATGGAAATAATAATGTATGTTCTCAATATAATTGCTTGAAGATGCAAAGGTTGAAAACAATGATTCAAATGTTTGACCTGACCACACCCAACATGAAAATACTTCATATAGGTGTACTACTTGATTCATTGAACTTCTATAGAAATTCTATAATCTATTGTATTTAACCAAGGATTTATTTGACTTAACCGTTGACCACTGAAATTCTAAATTTATATAGTGAAACTGTGTTTGAAAGGAGTCTTGTATCGATTTTAGATCAGTTTATGTAATAGTATTTATGACCAACACTTTGCACAGTAAGTCTCCACAGTATGTATGATATCCATGTATGCAATTACAAGGCAGTGTACATAACTGACCACCTTATACAAAATAGTTTTAAAGTATAAAACGCCAACGTTTGTGAACGAATTGAGGCTAGCATGACAATATGGTTAACATCAGAAGTTACTTTCTGGACGCCGAATTCTTCCTGGCAATATAATGCTATTTGATTTCTTGTAATTTTATTCATTAGTTTATTCATTTTTCATCACCCAACTATGGGTATATTCATCTGTTGAGCTTACAGGGGTATACCTAGAATACCGTCACTTGTTAATGCATAACCCCTACATGCTTATACAGATGTAGCAAAGGTTACCCTGAGCGCAGTGTCTAGTTCTTAAATATGAATGTGAAGATGAAGCTCTCTTTTAAGAAGTGAAGTCGATCGAATCCAAATGGTGGAGCATTTTAGAAACACTTCAGAAAATCTGAATTTAAATAACTCAGTAGTAAAAACGTATCTTAAGTAACATGAAAACGACTAGGCAAAAGCCCTCCTTACAATGCATTCCATTTCAAATCAATTTTGATGGTTTGAAGTTTCCTTTCATATTTGCAATGTTTTTTATACTGTCAGAATAATTTATTATTTGAACTGTATTTCTATTCAGTTCAGCGACCCTAAATAAAACCAATAGTATCATATTGTACAGGGTGATCATTAAGTTCTGGGAATTGGTCTGCCATTTCAAGATTTCTCAACAATTTGAGTTGAAATTTTCAGCAGGTGTACATTGTATAATTCTGAATTGACAGACAATGTTTCATATACATATCACTTCTACAATTTATTTTATTGTAATTATAAAAAAAGTAAAAGTGGTCCGCGGGTCAGCAAATTTTGACTGATGTAAATCTGAAAATATTTTGCCAAACATATTAATCTTGCCTAGATGGTTGCTTCAAACTACTCGTTCTAGAGGCAGAACAGTACTCTTATTCAGAAGTATTCTTAATTGCTGAGAGGATCATTTCATTAAAATTGTTTCAATTAGCCTGAACGCAAATGCATTGTTGGCAAACTTAGTCCATAAAGACGTGTTCCAAACGACCCTTTGGTATCACTTGAAGATTTGCTCAAGCCGTTGAAATCAGTCCCTTATCGGAATCAAACATATGACCTCTCATATGATGCTTTAGCACCCCAAATGTAGTGAAGCCCACCCAAATGTAGTGAAGCCCAATGATGCTTCATCTGGTGAATATTGTATGGTGAATATGGGGCAGTAACAACTTGTGTGAACCCTAATTCTTCAAGAGTAGTATGGGCAGTTTGAGGAGTGGGAAGGAGCATAGCCATAACGGAGGATAACTCCCCGCTATTTTGGGTCATGATTGTGACTTTGAGAGTCTGACGAATGATAAGAAGATAGAGCAAAGTACACTTGTATATCACAATACCAAAGTTACTTTAAAAACTAAAGTTAGAAGTATTTGAAAATATGAAAATCACAGAAATATCATAATAATATGTCCACCAAATAGGTATTAATTAACCATACTTTTGGAGCAAGCAAAATTTGAATTCATTTTTATTTTACTTGACCCGCTATGCCATTTGCCATGTTGCTATAGTAACAATAATTATCCATTGTGACATCAGATGACAATGAGACTGTTTTATCCAACCCAAAATCACAATCCCCATTTACCTTGAAAATTTCAAGTAAATTGGTTGAAAAATAATGAAATGACAGATAAATTCCCAGAACTTAGTGATCACCCTGTACATTTGCTTTTGACTTGAATATGTCCTTGTCTATTATACGCTCCCCAAAAATTGGCGACGTTGACTCCCACATGTAGTAAGACTAAGATAAAATGTTATGCCATCCTCCGAGCGCAGGGCTCAAAAATCTAGAATATATATCTAGCTTCTTTCGAAGGAGTTGCGGATTCTGGACACCTGCTTAGGAGAATGGATTATATCCGTTGCTTGTTCCTTTTGTCTGAAAATATCATATTTGTAATGCAGTTCCAAATAAGTGTAATTTAGGAGAATGTTAATCTGTTGGTGAATTAATTGATAGCCAACGTTGTTGATGTAAAGAATATACAAATCCAAATAATACATTGGCCCCACTGGGGCATTGGGCATGTGGGCATTGAAACAACAGTAATATTCACAAGACAATCATTTGAACAACATAGCTTATCACCAAGACAAATACGCCAATTGATAAACATCTGCATTTTGTTTCCAGTTCTTGATTCATTAGACCAATCTAGGTTGTTGGATGGATACTGTGTCTACGTGGATTTGAGATGGACAGAGACGATAGCGACAACCGCAAATGAGTCTGAGGACTATTGGGCAAGATTACGTAAGTTTAGGACTATAATATATTACAATATTGGAAAAGGGTTGCCCCCATGAGAACCATTTCCATGATTTCCCCATGATTGAAATTTGGAAATATTGGAACTTATGTTGACGAAACTTGGGTAGAATTGTGAAAAGTTTGTTTGGAGGACTTGAAAATTCAATATTTTGATCCAACCCTTCCTAAATTACCATTATCCTCAAAGTTTTAAGTGTGCTTATTCTGTACATGATACTATGATTTAAATATTAGGTTAAATATCTGAGGCACATTTTATGAGAATTTATGGATATGTCCTCGTACGCTGCCTGGACGTTGTAGATGGTGTCAGTTCACGTATTTAGTTCATTGATTCTAATGAAATCCATTTTAAGTTTATTTTAAAACGGTTCATCTTACAAAGTTTTGTGTAATGAAAGAGCCTTGTACGTTAGATGTGTGATGTAGATGAAACTCTCTTTTACAAAGCAAAACCACACTTTTGGAAGGAGTCATAGTAACGTATAGGCCTACGTATCCTTCATCGCTGCATTTTGCAATACTCGACTGATCGAACTATGTTGACTTAGGTTCAAAACGCGTTTTATGGCTCAAATAAAGAGTGTCCATCATGTTCAAACCGACAGTGTTTAAACACACAGGCACTTCATATAAAATAATGCAAATGTTCCTTATGGGCGTGTGATCACATTGATTTCACTTTTGTTGACTCTCAACTTCTTTTTTACTGTTTACCATTCCAAGTGGTTCCTAGCTATGTCTGATTCATTCTCCTTCAAATGAAAGATCAAATGTCACACTCAAGAGTATAGTGACAAACGTTAAGTGAATACTTATGTAAAATTAAATCACGCTTAAAAACAACCTTTTCAAGAAAAATATTTCGCTATTACATCTATAAATCTTTATATTATATTAAAACTTTTTGTACGAAGTAAAGCATTTATTTCAAAAACGATTTTTTAAATTATGTCTCTAATAACACTGATTGTATTCAAAACATAGTCCCTTTTTATGACATGATATCGTGTGAAATGCCCTGATGATACACAGAAAGTGTAGGACACGGTGTCATGGGTCTCTGATGTTATACTATGTGTGAATGGGATATTTATCCGTTTCATTTTGAAGCAAACTGATTACTTTGAGCTCATATGCGTTGTTTCTTACAGGAGCTATTTCATAAAATCATTTATAAAATCTATACATCGGGATTCTCACTAACATTCTCCTGGGAGAGCGATATTAGAGGGAAATAGGCTGGTCAACCTTTACGTTTGTAAGAAAGCTTGTACGTGAAAGTGTAGAATCATGATCCCGGGGGTTATATAAGATATCTTCTTCGTAGTATACTTAATGCGTATCCTTATTATGATTCCTGGAATAGTCGAATGAGGGGGTTATCCCATGAGGTCATAACATTACACGTTCACATTTAAACGTTTTCTTTGAAAAACGTGTAGCTTAACATTCCTATTTTTGACAGAATCTCACGACATTCGGTAAATGTGGTTGTATATCAATCAAAATCAACTTGTTTCGTTTTTTTCAGATTTGCTGAGGGCATGGATCGTGTTCTTGGGATTGTCGCTTGTTTTCCTGCTAGCTGCTTGTATATCTGGGGCAGTAGCATGTTGGAAGACCAGTGAGGGGGTCGCCAGGACGTCGGGCTTCCTAGTTTTTGTAGCAGGTAATTATATTTTAATTTGCCGATTGTTAATGTTTGATGATGTGAACAACTTTGGCACTAACCTGTGAATATCGAACATTTTTTGCCAAGAAAAAAACGTTCAGAGTTGGTTGGTGTTTACTACAGAGAGGGTAATTCATACAGAAGTCAGTAGAGTATGTGTTCAGGTTTTACCGTATTTAGCCTGTGTTATAATCATTTATAAAATAAATATTGATCATAATTGATAACAAAAATGGCATTTATTTGATTCAACATGATGATTCCCCCTTCACGAAAGCTCCCTCCATATATGGGTATGAAGTTGTCCCCATGTTATTAGTAGCTCTAGGGTGACTTCAACACAGGTCACAGGGTGATAAAAATAACGTCACTTATTTGCACCTGAAAATTTAAACTTCGAGATATTTTGTTTGAAATAATTATTTTCACTTTGCGGGTTATTTCAATAAGAATATATGTATATAGAACCAGTTGTTTATAAATGAAATAGCTCCAACATCGCATTGTTTTAAATGAGTTATTCAATATAGACGAGATAACATACTTTTAAATTATACAGTAACAACCAGTATGCCCTGAAGTGTGTTTACCATGAATATAATACATAATTTACATGATATCATTTTTGTTTTGCAGCATTTTTCTTGGCAGGTGCTATGGCTTTTTTCCATGGAGCAGAATACCTGGAGAAAAATATTATACAAGATACCTCTAAAACAGAAATTTATAACGTGTGGCCCAATGTAAGTTGTTAAACTGTTAAAGGGAGAATGGCTAATTTTTTCCTGAAATTTTAGAAAATTTATTTATGGTTCTTAATAACACACATGTCTCTTAAAAACTAGAGTGTAATGACTTTTTAACCCAATTGTGTCGGTTTACGATTATTCATTCCACTCGACCCACCTAAATGATGACTATTGTGAAATATTAAATTGATCTTTTTATTTTGATGGTCTATTCATTTGAACAGTCATATTTGATATATTCTTGCCAAATGCCATCATGATAAACAATGACATCTCATTTCTTCCCAGCTCTGAGATGTGTTTCAGGTAAAACAGAAAGATGCTATGAGTATCAGAATGGCAAATGCCTTACTGCAAAGCCATGATATAATTCTTCATGATAAGAGTGAAACGATAGCATGAGTGCCATATTAAAGTGAAGTTAAAAACAGTTCACCATCATTCGTGTTTTATAAACAGTAGTCCAGTACATCTTTCATATATTACTCTAATTGTTATACTGAGAACAACTTCAGTACAATAAGAGGTCTCAAATAACTCATATAAATGTGCCAAAAATAATTTACAACATGCATGTGACATTTATTTCATTACAATGGCACTTAACCGATCCTGTATCGTGAAAAGGATTGGTTGACTTTCGTTAAGTATTAAATGAGTGGTCAGTGAGATGACATGTGTTTTATGTTAGGGGGTTACAGAAAATCTAAAATCATCAAAGGGGACATGCCATTAAGAGGCCATTCTCTGACTTAGTCATTTTTTCAAAAGTGTGAAAATAAAAAAATTCATGAATAGTTCTTAAAATATTCTGAATAACAAGTTGAATATATATATTTAATGATGGCACAAGCAAAAGTCTGAAAATTAACATGAAATGAAGGGTTTTGACAGATGCAAAAGATGGTAGATTTGTAATGAAGAAATAGAGGTTTTTGCAGTAACAACACAATTACCTCGAAGTTATCCGTTATGAGAGGCCGAGGACTAAACTTGACATAATTTTCAATCTCAGATTATCAGTAGTATCTAACTTTAGCCGTACAGCCACTCACAATGTATATGGAGCCCATAAGATTCATTTTTCTCAATTGAAGTCACTATTTCTGTTTTTAGCTTCAGAGGATAGGAGGTACATGAACATGCCAAGTTTACCTAGATCACAAGCCTTACCACAAATATAAAGTATATAGGAATAGAGTTGATATGTGTGAAAACCTTAAACTTCCCATTTTATTGGGGATGGAACTTGTGGACCATGTGTATTTCTAACTTCTTCACATGTACATGGATCTAAAATTGTGGCAGCCATCTTGGATTTGTCATATTATGTGGACATGGTTTTGGTTGTGCTGAATTTGTTTCAAAATAAGATTTCTTGTATACCTTTGATAAGTGAGATAGGCATTTGAAATTAAATACAGATAGTATACTTGACATTTAATGCAGTAAACAGTAATACAATTCATTCTTACATAATAAGTGAGTCCAGACAAAAAGTTGTTATTGTGTTAGTTTAACTGGGCATAAATTACACTCATTGGCCTTGGTTTTCTTAATTGGCTTGGATAAAAAGTTGTTCTGTTTATTCAGAAAAGGAGTATAGTTCAATATACAAGTTCACATTCGTTCCACCCTCTTGTAGAAATGAATCTCATATTATTTCATCTCAAATATAGAACACAAAAATATAATAAAAAACAAGTTTCTATTAATTGCAAAAGTTAGCTTCTATGTCATGACTGAGTTTGGGTTCCGCTTCTAGGGAAAAAATATCCATCTGGAAATATCGTATTGACCATTGCTATACACTCCATATTAATCCTCCCAGAAAATAACATAGATATACAGTATACAAGTATATATGACATCGAGAATCTGGGGTTTGGGAAATGTGAGACATGAGGCCACTTGTCTTTTTGAATCTCATATTTAATATTCTTAAACCCTCATATTTAATTTTTTTGGAGTGGTAATTCAATTATGTACCTATTTTTTATTCTTTATCCCATAGTTGAACTCTGTTCCGCTCTGTTAGGTAACATGAAAACATATTTATGGTATTTTGCAAATGCGCGGAAAAAGTGATATCTGTGGAATATGGAAAATATTTCACAGATATCACCTTTTGGCAGGGATTTGAAAACTACCAACAATATGATGTGTTTTGTTACATAGTGATTTCATGACATCACGATGAATGAATGAATGGATGTTGTTTTGATGTGCTTTGTTTAGTTTTAGAGGTGAACTATGGGAAAAATAGAACATCCTATGAATTTTCGTGATATTGTGTTAATCCAACTCATTGATATCAATATCTGCGCTAATTCGCTATGCTAACTTGGCAAGATATTGATATCAACTCGGAGATAAAGATAAAATCATTTAAAATCATATGATATCCTATACATATCCTGTGCCACAACTTTCTCATATGTTATATATTTTGGCACAGGCCATCATTTATTTTCCTTGAATTTATGCTTTTGTTCCTCGTTTTAGAAATGAGAGGAAATCTTTGATTTTTCTTGTATTTAGTTGCTTAAATGTTGCCCTGTGATTTTGATAAAAGTCAATAGTAATCCATTACAGTCACAGTCGAAATGTACCTATTGCTTGCCCAGAACCTACCAAAATAGCATTTGCATTTTGTCAATATTGCCCTATGTGCTTTTCCATGAAAATAATTTTAATCGTATCTTTTCTTCAGTATTTCATATATTACATTTTAATATATTTAAATTGGTTAATATTTATATACTATTTACTTAGACAACAATAAATAAAGAATTTTTTGTAAAAACACCCAAAATGGTATATGATCTTTAAATGACTGTTGTGTGAACATCAAAGGTCGAAATTCGCTGAAATTGTATTTTTATAAAGCACAAATGATTTTTCTTCAATATGATATGCATTATTATCAAATATCTTTGGGGGCTAAAAGGGCCCTTAATGACACCCGTCCTTTGGAATTTAAGATTTATAGTGTACCTGGTGGGAACCTTTTGAACTATTTTGGATTCCACGTGGATGTTAATTTGTCGCGTAGGTTGTCATTTCCTTAACACTTGTAGTCTACTATTGTAACAGTAAAATCGAAATTTTCATTCCAGGACTTAAAAATTGCAACTGCTCGAAAATATGGTTGGTCATATATCGTCACATGGACTGGCTTCGCATGTTCTGCAGTTGGCGGGATCTTGTATCTTGTCGCCGCCTCTAAAATCTCAGAGAAGAGATGGCGAGAAAAGAGGGTCACCCATGTGTACGATAACTACAGCAGTACTGGGACCAAGTATCCACCACCAGAGAGAGATTTCAGAGGGAACGGTCATGTACAAGATTACCCCCGGGAGTCCCGCGCAGTACAAGATTACCCCCGGGAGTCCCGTGTAGTACAAGATTATCCCCGGGAGTCAAGGGACTACCGTACTATGCCCGAGCAACGTGGACCCCCAGCGGATGACTACTATTACCAGAATACTCTCCCACCATCAGGGCCCACCTACCCCCCACCTAAAGGATATGATACCTATAATTACAGTGACAGGGAGGGTGGATGGTCTTGGCAAAGATACTAATTAGACATAAAGTGAAAAAAGATGATCCAAGAATATTCAGATAAGACAACTGTTTTGATAAATTCCAAGAAGAGATAAATTAGTTGAAATTAAAGTTTAGTCCAATTAATGGACAAAACTGTGCGGCTCTTCTTTGCCACCTATTTATTGAATTACCCGATCGTTATTCGTACCATGTTAACAAAAATATGTCACTTATACAATGTTAAAACTACACAACAGACTAAAACACAAAGATCACACTACAATGGCACTAAAACAAGGGGACACCATTGGGACAATAACAAGGGAATTTTATACATTGGGATTTGGGACCTTAACAAGGGAACTTTATACATTGGGATTTGGGACCTTAACAAAGGAACTTTATACATTGGCACCAGATCATGTGTAGTTGTGTACCCATACATTGGGACAATCAAGTGCATATACCATACAAATGGACTGTAACATGAGGACCATATAACATTGGTACCAGAACAAAGTTACCCTCCAAACCATAGTGTGAGTACCATACTGCACAGTAAGCCTATATATATATTGCCACACAAACCATAAAATGGTACAGAAATATATCACGTGATTAAACTATGAAAAATACCATGAGGCTGTATTATATTCCAACCATGACAAGAGGACCATTACAAAGTTGTCCCACACAATTGAAACCATAACAATACAAATATCCAAGTACAACTACATACACTTGAGTGAAAGTGAACACCTTTCAGAACTTGAAATCTATTAGCATTGTGAAAAATATTCAACTAAAAATGAAATCGGGAACTTTTTAAAAAGTTTGCCAAATTACATACAAATAATTATGCGAGGGCCAATATTGACTATTTAATCAAGTAAACCTGCATGTTGACTGACTGAAAAAAGTTGGCGTCTAGGCAAAGTTGAGATTAGATCTGGCCATCTCCATTGTAATGCCAATTAATTATAACACCCTTGGTATACGCAGCTAACGAAAATTGACCGGTACGGGTCAAAAGCTGGACCGGTACGGGTTAACGGTTTTATTTGAATTTAAAACAGCCATAACTTGCTCAATATTGACTTCCTCGTGTCTAATTTGAAATATATGATGCCTCCCGATGCTTTTAAGTACCCCAATTTTTTACAGATTTTTAAACGGACCAAAACTCTCTAAATGCGCATTTATGCTCTTTTCTCTCAAACTTTGTGACAAAGAATTTCATCCTGCTTTCAGCGAGAAGACGGACCGGTTCGGGGCAATCTGCTTGCAGCGAGAAGACGGACCGGTTCGGGGCAATAGCTGATGAAATTCTTTGTCACAAAGTTTGGCATTTTTTACAAAATCAAACGCTCGTCATTGAAACTCACAAGATGTAAATAGCATGTCATTTACATCATACCTTGATGGGGAAAAATAGATCTTATATGTTAGAAGTACTAAATAAAAATTATCGTGAAAATGAGACAGTCGTTCTCGAGAGAAAAGAGCATAAATGCGCATTTAGAGAGTTTTGGTCCGTTTAAAAATCTGTAAAAAATCGGGGTACTTAAAAGCATCGGAAGGCATCATATATTTCAAATTAGACACGAGGAAGTCAATATTGAGCAAGTTATGGCTATTTTAAATTCAAATAAAACCCTTAAACCGTACCGGTCCAGCTTTTGACCCGTACCGGTCAATTTTCGTTAGCTGCGTATACCAAGGGTGTATAAGGAAAATAATTTTGCCCTTCATTTCATGCATTGTACATAAAGTAGTGTACATAACCTTCTGTACATATGGCCAATGTCTGAATGAATGTGGACTTATGTATTCATCTATTATTTTATATTTTAGTGTTGATGTGTGTATATGTAGATTTTATACAGCCAACACTTTTTATTTGATTATTTAAGTTAACGTTTCTCTGAACATGTATAATAGGGACATAAGGCCAATGTAAATAAATGCTATGTTTAGCATTATTCTGTTGCATGAGATATGAGTTTCTATTTTTTTAAATTATCAAAACAAATGTTTCTGTAAAATAAAAAGAGATATATGTAAGAGCTCCATTTTATTTTCCAAAGATAATGTGTAATGTGGTATTTCCATGAAGTATATGCAAAACATTTTATTTACACTTGCCTAACTCCATTGTTTTACATTCACTCATGTAAAATACGTTGTTTTTTAATTACAATATATTAATTACGATATAAGTGTACAGCAACAATATGTACAAGTATATATACAATACATGAATATAGATTGCAAATATATTGAAGTATGAAAATATATGTTGTTAAATATATTATGTTCTTGAGAAACAAAAATTCTCCAAGTTCCCACCTGAACAAAAGTTCTTTCAAAATCCTGTAATTTTCCACCATCCTGGGTGTTTTTCAAGTGATTTTGGAAAAGTTGTCAAAAGTGATCCCCCTGGATTTTTTTCAAAAAGTAAGCCCTCTCTTGGCAAAAGCTGGCTACGGGCTTGCATTATATTTGAGACATGATGTATGTGAATTCAATTTATTAACACAACAATACAAGAGACCCAATTATACAATGAAACAGGATAAAAAATACAGTAAATTTATTAAGTATTCTTGATTTATTGGCCATATCAAATACAGTAACAAAACTGTCCATAAGAACACTTATGCATGGTAATGCTTTTAAGTCACTTTGTGTTAATAACCACTTTTAGTGGAACACATCCTTAGACATTGTTGGAGACTCTCAAAAAGGCATTTGTAAAGATCACAAATTCAGTTATGAACACATCGATTCACATCCGCAAGATGTCTGAGCATTTGAAGTCTTATTTTTACACACAAATAATACGAAGCCTGATATGAGTCTTGAACATTGAATGATCTTCTGGAGAATATCATAACACCATTTAAAGTACAAAAATTCCTGACGGGAAAGCATAAGGTCATATAGTAAGAGAACTTTCTAAACTCCTCTGGTAAGTGCTCCAAGTGATCTAAGTAACGTCCTACTGATTTTATAAATAAAGATGCAAAATTTTCATCAGAAATGTATTCCCAAGTCCCATAACCACCAAGTAAGCAGGCTTTGGATTATTGTCCAAATGAGATGAATGGTGGAAGATGTAAATCACACAATCGTGGATATCAAGTTGCAGCAGTGAATGGCAGATGGAGTTCAGGAGCATCAAATACACATGGACGCTTCTTCAATGGAGGACCCCTGTCTGCTGTAAAAACTGTTAAGGAATTTGAACTATTTGAATTTGAATTTATTGCAAACACACTCTGAAATAGGTTTAAAAAATAAAACATTTGGGAAATGTTGATTTTTTAATTTGAATTTAATGTTAACCATAATATATTGCATTTACCTTGTTGTTGCTGCTATTCCTAGACTGTGCATTCTAAGATACTTTTATATCCATTATGTATCAAATATATATTTTCAATGTGTATCATCAATATCAATGCTGTCATTCTGATTGAACTGCCATGAACATAGGATTTTTGTTAAATACAAGTAATATACCCAAGTGGGACTTTAAAAGTTGATTGACCCCATGGACAATTTTCGAATTTTGGTATCATTGGAAATGTTATGATTTGGAAGTAAAGGAAATTATTATTAGGATATTAATTTCAACTGAAATCGGGCCCATTTTCACGAAAATGCCCATTAACAATTAGGATATATTTATTTTATTTTGTAAAAGGATATTTTTGAAGTAATTTGAAGAGCCCGGTTCCCAGTCTCATTGGGATTCCCATGATGATACATTCACTAACACCTGAAACAGAGATAAGAATTCTTTATTACAGTAATCAATATATAAACTAATTCTAGGGGCATTTTTATAATAATATCAGATCTAATAGAGCATGTAATATGAATCACTTACAACTGACAATGTTCTTATTCCCATTCAATTGAAATCATTCTACTATGTCATCACTAACCTGATATGACATCACCAAACTGATATGAAATCACTAACCTGATATGACATCACTTTGGCCATGATAGGCTGCTTCAAACAGATGATCTGAGGTCTTCTCAAACTGAAACAGAAATAATGATAATGGCAAATTGAATATCTAGCATAATTGCCTCATTACTAAGCTTGTTGGAAAAAATATATGAAAATGAAAGTATTCAATGATTGGCTCATGATGTGCCACACTTGTCATCACTTTCCTTTGTAATAAACACCATTGACAGTCCTAGCTTCATGACATCTATTTTTTATTAATTTCAGGACTTAACCTTGAGAAAGATTAAAGCAAACATAAAATCCCAGAGCATTCTTCAGCTTATTGACATGACTGGTACACATTTCAAAACATGTTACAGCTTGTTATTCAACAAATCAATGAACAACGTAGAGCTAATTTAATGTATTTACATGTAAACTTACTAACATAATTCTTCCCAGAATTATTCCTCAAGTTGGTGCAAGAAATCTTTTCACTTTAAAGGGTTCCGATTAGCATCCCGTATAAAAACAATATGGCGGCTCCAGGCGAATCAACTGGATCAGTCCATTTTTAAAAAATAAGGGGAGTTCTGTAAAATCCAGTTTATTGAAATTGTCTTTGAGATAAAGTAATCCGTTTATAATGATTTTGAAAACGTTATCCAAAGAGTGATTGCATTCAAAGAATACATGTACAACAGCCAATATAAATCCTTTTATTAGAAACTGGTTTGTCTTGCTTTGTTTCATTTGTAGGATATTTCATATGCCAAGCTGTGTGCTATTACGTTATGGGGAAATTTAGATGCCAATTTTTCCTTATTGTACACAAATAGAAGATCCTGAAACTTCACCCATAAATGTGGAATTGATTTGTCAAAATAAAAATTACCCTTTTATAAATGTGTGACGATCTATAATATACTTATGCTATATAACAGTTAGAGGTGTTGACACAACGAGCTCGAACCTGTGAACCCTTGAGTATTATTCCGGGATCGGGCCTTTTATACTAAACGGTGAGCAACACCAGAAACGAGCGTTCGATTTGCTAAACGATATGCGTCACCCTTTAATGAAAATATGCATTTTGCATGATTTTTCTCATTCTGAAGACCATGTAGGTTCAAATAGGTTTTCAATAGAGTGCAATCCCATTCTTAAAATCTCAAGTGTGTGCGGCACTGGCTTCAATGCTTGGGAGATCACTGTATAGAGAGAATGAGTCTTTCAAAAATGCCAAACCCTAACTAACTCATTGAGTATAGATATTTATCAGTGATGTACATACCGAAGCTAACATGAGTACACTCTCTTTCATTTTAGCCAGGCCGAATCTTGTGATACCAAGGACCTCTCCTTTGTAGGTCATAAGGTCAGCTAGCAACATGGTGTGTCTGATGTCTATACTCATTCCATGACTCTTCATAGTGTACTGGATCTCATTCATGATAGTTGTCCTATAATATACAAACATTAACAAAAAGTTGAGGACTATACAATATGTCAGCACTTCTGGTACACTTTTGGTTCATATACATTTAAGTGTGGGACCAAAAGGGTATATCTCCCGACTTATCCTTCACCTAATCTGACAACAGGTATTTGAGTCACCAAAGATAATATTTTCTTATGAAAAATGGTGGCCATTTTAAACTATATATAGAAACTTATTTTGTTTTGAGCTTTGATATATCAATCAAAGGTATTACAACATTCTACTGACAAAACTTTAGCCAATTTAATAAAATTCCTCGGGGAGTTCTACAGCCTCATAGAATTTCTTTGAATGTTACCTACAAAGTTTATAGTAGCCATTTTAAACAGGGGTGTTCCAAAGGTACCATGACTGGTGCTGGCATTTTGTCAATTCTGCACCGTGTGTCTTCAAATTTTCACAAATTGTACTTTGAAGTATTGCAACAAAAGTTGTAAAGTTCCAGAAAAAATGATAAAATGCGGGTAGAGTTATGGTTACTATAGTAACATGATATCACAATACCCGGGGCAACTTTTTCATAAAAATGTGATATCTAACATTTTTGTATAACTGAAGAAAGTATCTTATTCACCTATTGTAATACAACATTTCTTGGTCATTTTATTAGTTGCTTTGTTGTAGAGGTGTTGCTATACAACTCAGATTCAAGTAAGATTTAATAATAATATTAATATTTATTCAATTTCCTGGAATATCACTACATGTATGTTTAACAGTCTGTAGAATTCACAGTTGATTTTTAAAAGACCCGATTTTAAGCCAGTCATCCACCTTGATATCTTGTCTACCTGCAGGTTAGCATTAAAGACCATGCAGCTATAGAGGAGCTAGGTCTTGGTGTCTAAAACTATGCAACATACTCTTCTGATCATGCAATTTTTACTTATATGGAGAATGGAAAGCGTATCAGCGCTGTAAGACCTTTAAAGATCAGAATGACCTTCTCCAAGTTGTTCATTTGACCCTGCGTGACATGTCCTCAAATGGATTCACTCATGTGTTTGAGTCATGAATACAGAGTGCTACTCTTCTACTGACCAAAGAGGAGCCTACTTTTCAAAGTAGAGGATACAAAGGAATATCAAATGATTTAAAGCAAATGTAATTCCCACCATTTGTTGCATTACAACTTTGATACATGGAATGCACAAAATGCTTAAAGTCTATGTAACTTTCTGCGTCGAATGTTGCCCCGGGTATTGTGATGTCATGTTACCATAGCAACCATAACTCTACCTGAGTTTCATAATGTTTGTCGAAAATTTGCAATTTTGGTAGCAATACATGAAAGTACATTATGTGAAGTTTTGAAGACGATTGGTGCATATTTAACAAAATGCCAGGACCAGTCCTGTTACTTTTGGAACACCCTGTATATATAGAAAGAAATACAATTCCTCGGTTCTACAGCCTCATAGAGTTTCTTTGAATGTTTGCTACAAAGTTTACCTTGCTGCTTCTATGCCAAGAGTCTTCTCAACCTCAAATGTGTTGTTTGATGTGGTCTTACTTCCCTTGACACCTGCAAATAAAAAACTGCAAGTAAAACCCATCTAAGATGAAGACCACTGAGAATGGCCAAAAGTTTTCAGACTGGTAGTTTCTCTCTAACAATACAGTGAAACCTGTAAAGTTGAACACCTCTGTAAGTTGAACACCTTCTCAGTCCCAAGACCAACTGACTTAATGTTAAGTTTCATTTAACACTTATCATTCTGAGGATTTTGGATTACTTTCTATATCTTGATAGATGAAAGATTGACAGCTGCAAGAACGTGAAAATTCTTGTAATATCTATTATAATATACATGTGGCTTGTAGAACTTAGATTTCTCCCCTCTTCTAAAGTTTTCTTAAGACACCAACCTCCGATCACAGGGCTTCAAAATCCAGAATACTTCTTTCTTTTTACCCCCTGCGATAAGCAGTTAGCATTTCCCCGATTAAGAACTCGCAATTTGATTCGCTCATCATGTATACGTCATCAGCGCTTAATTAGGGTTATGGCAAGGGGAAAGAAGGAGCTACAGATTCTGAACACCTGCTTACGAGGATGTAAAGACACATGCTTGTTCTTTATTCATCAATTTTTTATTTTACACATGCATATCAAAAAGGAGGTCAAGGGAACCATTGGGCCTATTTACTTCAAATCGGTTAGAATCATACACAGGACACTGCGAGTTAATATCATTCTAATGATCGTCAATTTAATTTAACCTCAAACCACAATGGCTACGGACCTCCTCAAATGTAGCATGGTAACAAAGAGGGCTTATATAGCAACGGAAGAGTTCAGTATTAGCTGTTGGTTGCTTTGATTTGTAAGCTGAGGAAAACAATCTAGGATTACCAGAAATAACCCTGTGTAAAAAAATGTGTCAAATTATCTGGGTATCTGTGACTGGAAAGTCTTGGGTTTAATATTTTCGAAATTCAGCTATGATGTATGACTTAATTTAAAAAGATAACTTTGAGGAAAATGAGCATATTTCTCTGTAATCTTAAGTTTATATGATTCAGCTCTGAGTGGATTCTGTTGTTTGCTAGGTGTAGCTGACTTAAGGTTGCTATGGTAACCAGTGAGCACCTGTATCAACAAGCATCAGCTATATTTATACTACTCAACCCTTACAAAATATTTGTGGCATTCACTGTTTCATTTCTATTTCTTAAAAGATTTATCTTATTCTAGTGTGTAACAACTTAAAGAGCATATGTTTATGAAATATGTTATTTAAGTCTTTGCACATATGTATGATGTCTTAAAGGCATATAAAACAAAAGTAGAGGGCAGTTATGTTTTGAAGGCACTGTTGCAAATTTTGCATTTGGAGCAAAATGGGCCTAAGTTATATTATAGCATAAGATAGAACAGAACTGGTAATCTCCCTCGATGACCCTGCATAAATGTTACCTTGACCTTTAGATTCAACTCTGACAATTCATTCCTTTAAGAGCCTTATAATTGTATATGATACAACAGAACTGAACTCTAGAAGCCAAGATTTATTCCATTCTATCTCCCTCCACCAATACATTGGACATGGCCTTGATCTTTAAACACAACCATGACATTAAATGACCTCAAATGGCCTTATTGTATGCAATCTTGACGTTTAGATACAACCTTGACATTGCATTTCTCAAATGGCTTTATAATAGACCATTTGATTTATAGATGGATAAATAGATGGCAGCACATGTGTTGACAATATACTGGATAATGATTTAACCATAAAAGTGTTATCCTTAAAAGAATAAATCAACTTTTCAAAAAATTTTAACATTAAATCAATGGAAGAAAATTTTAAAATCCTTAGTAATTGAATAAATAACTGCGTACATCAAAGTTCTCCTTGTCTCCTCCTATATCATAAAGTAGAGGTAAATGGTAGTCCTTAGTGGTTAAATGTGCAAACCTCATCAAAATGACACTGGCGAATTTCAGACCTATATAGCAAGTGGTAATCACTCTAGTATCCAGGACTTATTATATTTCATGTCATCTCCCTCTAACAACAGATTGGATGTGACCTTGATCTTTACATACAACCTTGACATTACATGACCTCAAAGGGTCTTATTGTATGTGACCTTGACCTTTAGATACTTCATTGTTTTACATGAAAAAGGCCTTGTTTTATGTGACCTTGATCTTTAGATACAACCTTGACATTACATGGCCTGAAAGGACCTTATTGTATGTGGCCTTGACCTTTAGATATAACATTGATTTTCATGACCTTAAAGGGCCTTATTGTTTGACCTTGACCTTTAGTTAGAACCTTGACTTACTTTTCTCAGAAGACCTTATAATTACATACAATACAATAGAACTGACCTCTTGTAGCAAGGACTTGTCTCATGTTATCTCCTTCCACCAGCAGATTGTATGTTGTTCCTTTTTTCTCATCAGCATGGATGACAGCCCTTGTAACAGTGGGAAGACCCTGAAGCATCACAACATAAGCATTACATACAGATTCGTTTTTTGGTTGCTTTATTTAAACCAACAGTATATACAACATTGTCTGGGCGTAAGTCAAGGCAATAATGGCCCTCTAAGTGACATCATTTGAGTAACAACATTACATATTTAAGAAACTTTTGAAAGCAGGTGGATGTTTGACCAAAACAAATTCTCAAATAACACATCATTTGTCTTTATATCTTAAAAATTGATACATTTTACTTCACAAAAACTATTTAGCTTTCACTATTTCAAAATATTTTTTTACCTTGATAACAACGTTTTGAAGTTCTCTCTTATACAGCTGCATCACATAGTACATTGAACTTTTATTGTTCTCTACCGGACGTACACAAATAACAGCCTCACCATGAATTATAACATGCTGGAAAGAAATATTTCAAGTCACAAGGCATTAACATGTAAAATGTCACCACCTGCCATTTGTTACAGATGCCATTATTTTTTACAGACACCATGTTACAGACAATAAACGCCAAACACTGTCCACAAAAATGTTGAAAACTATAACAATATGTCACAACTTCTGGTAGTGAGATAATAATATGTCACCACTCTTGTTGGTGACATAAAATAGGTAGAATAATATCTGAAGTCATATTTGGCCATTGTTTATGAATTCTGAAGTGACGGTTTAAATATGATAAAAAATACTGTAATAACTTTCACTTGTAGTTGAGATAATTCCAAACTACAATTATATTTATCTACTTAATGTGACACCATCTTATCATATTAGATTCAGAGTTTTGACATTTTACTCTTTCCCATCTAAAATGAAGCTTATGGAAAAGGAGAGTAATGTATGCTATAGGAGCTTGAATTGAGCTAGGCACATGATGGAATGGTTACTCCCTCCTTCCCCAAAAGTATGACTGAAATGTTCTCAATTTTTCAAAATCATCAAAAGAATGTAAAGAGCTTTTAACCCTCTCTCAAAACACTCATTTAAAAATTCAATTGTAGATGTCCATAGATATACTTTGGGTTTGTCTCTGACCTGTGGTTTTATCTTTAATTTGGCAGCACATATAGCAATCTTAATCGACTCGGCATCAACTTCTAGCTTCAGCAACCGTATCCTCTCTAAGTCTAGCTTAACTAGTAGGAATATATCATCTGGTAGGAAGACCTCCTCCATATATTCTGACACCTGCAATTGGAGGGTGACATTAGTTTATTGTTGTATCTTGTTAACTGCAACACTTGCTAACATGTAAACATGTTACCACCCACCATTTGTTACATTTGTTAAAGATGCAGAATGCCCAACCACCAAATGCTGACCATCAACCACCAAACCTCATCCAAGTATTGGAGACTGTAACAATATGTATGAAACAATTTCCGAATGGTGACAAAATGAAGCAGATTTTTCATAACAATTATTCTGTTACAAATGTGATTTCGTTTTTTACCTCCCCAAGAGTTGTCTTCTCAATCCTTCCTTTAACTACTCTTGCAAACTCTTGGTCATCTTCCACATCAAGTTGTGCTGTGATGATTGGTGTGCTGATTGTCTTAGAAGCATTGATGATCTCCTTGATACGCGGCACACCAAGGGTGATATGTGCCAAGTGTTAAGGATTATAATCAATCAAATCTAATCAATGTTCAATTGACTTTTTGCTGTGATATGTATAAATATACAAGGGTATATCATAAAGTTCTCATAATATCTCTCTAATTTTTTTTATTTTTCAATATATTCTGATGAATATTTCACAGTATGTGTAGTATAGAATGCTGTATTGATCTATCAAAAAATATTTGGTAGGCCTACAACAGAAATATTATTTAAGAAAGAGAAAGATGAATGATTTCTTTTGTAGAGTAATTTCAGGTTTAGATAAAATGGGGTTATATCGAATAACTGAAATGCTGACACAAAAAAATTCTGCATAATGTTAATAATTATAAGTTAAAGATGTGGGAATACCGTAAGAGACATGAATTAAATGTTCAGAATGGACCAACAAAGAGTGAAAGTGTTTCCTAAAATGTTCAAAGGATATTCATAGAGGCAACTCCAGCAAAGTGAAAGGTCTTCAAGGTCATCTGTGTACCAGGCTCTCCAATACTCTGCGCACATATAGCGCCCACTGCAGTTGCTGAAATGCAGATTTAAAAAATGAACTTCATTTCTAAATATTTATGCAGTTTCTACTTGGTACATTTATACTTTCAGGACAAGTTGTTGATAACATTATCAAATATTTGGTTTTTATTCTTCAACTAAATTGAAACATAGCATCAAATCCTATGCTAGGAGCTGATGTGAAAGTCATTCATTCCTCATGGGAATCAAATCCACAACCACCTGATTTAGCTCAGGCTAGTAGTGGAGACTCTATCCTTCTGATCATTGTATTTGCCATTTTGAATGATCAAGAGATCTACTTCTCTAAACGCAAAGTATTTTACGAATGCTATTGAGCTGGTAGCATGGCCATATCATAACTATACTAACCTGGTTCAACCTTTGCCCTCATGAACTTTTCCCTACACAGCAGGAGGAATTCTACAATCTGTGTGGATGTGATTCTCTCTAGTTGGTACACCACTGTAACATACACAAGCACATGTTCAAGCTGTTAACATAAGGGATATAACACAGATTCTATATGCTACTCTTTTATTGTGTTGGCTCTTAGTTTCTTACAATTGCTATGGCTGGAAAAATCAGCCAGTGATGTATGGATTAATGAGGAAGAAATTGTTTCTGTGAAACCAACTATAGAACTAGCATGAAAGGACAGTCCATTTGCACTAATAAACATGCATGGTCTCATGAAACAAAACTAGAATTACCTATTTGCAAATATCATTTAAACAACAAATAAGAAACTTTCAAAAGAAAGAAAGGGTGACATATAACTTACCAGGGGCTATTTGAGGATCTTTGGGGTTTATACCTGCCCCATATCTGTGCCTTACTTTGTTGATCTTTTCTGCAGTTTGCTTCATAAAATCTCTGGAATCAAACATGAATTTACTTAAAGGGCCCCCGTCAGATCAGACTATATATTAGCAGAATGTAGGCTAAGTTTCACATTATATTTTAATATGAACTGCTCAAGCCTTTTTAGAGTTATCATAAATCACACACACACTCGTGTACTGCAATATCATTTCAGAATTATTCTAAATATGGTACGCATGTGTATTTGTTTGCTACACATTAAGTGCGATATTGTTCACCCTGTGTCTTTAATTTCTCTCATTGTGACTTGTGATAGGTGGATTAATATGTATCACTTACAATAACTCATCCTTTAATTCCTGATTGCAGTCATCAAATTCTGGTCTCTCTACAGCTTGACTTATCACCTGTACAAGGTGAGCTCCTGTTAGCGCATCTTCTTTAGTACATGGGAATTTAGCCTGAAATATATAAGATGTACAAGGTGAGCTCCTGTCAGCGCATCTTCTTTAGGACATGGAAATTTAGCCTGAAATATATAAGCATGTACAAGGTGAGCTCCTGTTAACACATCTTCTTTAGGACAAGGAAATTTAGCCTGAAATATGAAAGCATGTACAAGTTGAGCTCCTGTTAGCACATCTTCTTTAGTACATGGAAATTTAGCCTGAAATATATGAGCATGTACAAGGTGAGCTCCTGTTAGCGCATCTTCTTTAGGACATGGAAATTTAGCCTGAAATATATAAGCATGTACAAGGTGAGCTCCTGTTAACTAATCTTATTTAGGACAATGAAATTTAGCCTGAAATATATAAGCATGTACAATAGGGGTCACACGGTTAACCGTGGCCCGCGGTTACCGCGGTTCATACCTCCACGACGGTTAGCTCGCACACAATCTTGAAAACCGCGGTTCTTGAAGAACCGTGACATTTTCAGTTTCACTTCAGAAAAATAAAAATGTAAACTGGGAATTAAACTCCATTTCAAGCTTTCGTGTAATACCAATTAACTAAACATCGTCTGGAATCGTTAATCATCATGCAATAATGCGAACCATACCTGATATTTACGACGATCTTCTGATATAGACGGCAGATAACAAAAACAAAAGGAAAATGTTGACAAATTTCACCGGCATATTGACCCGGAAGTGACCTACGCTAAAGGTATTAGTACCGTAATCCAACACCAAATTCGAAAATTCATAACAATACTTTGCACATATGGCGTTCGTGACCAACTATAAAACGCTTACCCCCCATAGTGTTATATATCAAAATGTACCTGTTCATATAGGGGTTCGATTGATCTACATCAAATTATAGGGAGTCAGGTTACTTTTTGAGATATAAGCGTCCATTTATTGTGACTCGCGTTTGCTACCACTTCCTCAATTCTGATATGATGGGCAAACGCGTAGTAAACATGCTCACGTCGGAACTATTTTTGACCTACATCGCTATTTTCGTAATTCAAATGAAAGTTGAACTCCTCCTCTTTATTTTGATACCAAATAGTGGCATACTAGGTACCCTAGAAGCCAACTATGGCGTTATTTAGAACAATACCACGAGTTTTTAAATGGACTATATAGGGGTCATACCTTTTGGCGGATGGATATGGAACCTCATACCTTAATGTGTTATGACATCACACTGATTTTTGTCTCTGCAACTTTTTTTGGCAGAAAATATAATTTCTAGTTCAAAAATGCATAAAAACGTCGGAACTGGCTGAATATGTGAAAAATTTATCCATTTAGGCTAGAAAGGGTTAATTTGCCCTACCCCAAATACGTCTAAATATGCTAGTCTAACTTTGCCACTGTGACGTCACAAATCTAACCTGACTATCTCTGAGTTTATTGAAGAAAATGATACGTCTGACAAACAGCTTTCATTCCCTATATGGCACACCTTCTACTAAGAGTTGCACCATTGACTAAATCTAAGACAAAGGCCCTGTGTCCCGAGGATTTTGACTGAAATTTGGCCATTTTTGCCCAAATCTAACTAAATTGCAGATTCCCTCACACCTGTATTTTGAAATAAATATTGCTACAATGTAGCAATTTAAAAATCACACATGCTTACTGTTTCTGTCGACCTGACACGTGTATCTAGCCTGTAAAAATGAAAAATCGCTACATTGTAGCAATTTCACTGAGATATGGGCCCTGAAAATCATGTAATTTTAGCAAAAAATGAAGAAATAACCTGCAATTTTGACGGAATTTCAGAGGGCTTTCTTTCATTCCAGACCATCCACGGGCCTCTTATGACCATTCTTATACTTACAGAATGGTTGAAAGTGATTTCAAATCATTGTTTGCCCTACGCAGAACGAAAAATCGATTCTGTTCTCAAATTCTGCTAGAATATTGGTCTCTGGCCAACTAGCAGACAATTTTAGGCCTCATATTAAGGTATGAGTACCGTAATCCAACACCAAATTCGAAAATTCATAACAATACTTTGCACATATGGCGTTCGTGACCAACTATAAAACGCTTACCCCCCATAGTGTTATATATCAAAATGTACCTGTTCATATAGGGGTTCGATTGATCTACATCAAATTATAGGGAGTCAGGTTACTTTTTGAGATATAAGCGTCCATTTATTGTGACTCGCATTTGCTACCACTTCCTCAATTCTGATATGATGGGCAAACGCGTAGTAAACATGCTCACGTCGGAACTATTTTTGACCTACATCGCTATTTTCGTAATTCAAATGAAAGTTGAACTCCTCCTCTTTATTTTGATACCAAATAGTGGCATACTAGGTACCCTAGAAGCCAACTATGGCGTTATTTAGAACAATACCACGAGTTTTTAAATGGACTATATAGGGGTCATACCTTTTGGCGGATGGATATGGAACCTCATACCTTAATGTGTTATGACATCACACTGATTTTTGTCTCTGCAACTTTTTTTGGCAGAAAATATAATTTCTAGTTCAAAAATGCATAAAAACGTCGGAACTGGCTGAATATGTGAAAAATTTATCCATTTAGGCTAGAAAGGGTTAATTTGCCCTACCCCAAATACGTCTAAATATGCTAGTCTAACTTTGCCACTGTGACGTCACAAATCTAACCTGACTATCTCTGAGTTTATTGAAGAAAATGATACGTCTGACAAACAGCTTTCATTCCCTATATGGCACACCTTCTACTAAGAGTTGCACCATTGACTAAATCTAAGACAAAGGCCCTGTGTCCCGAGGATTTTGACTGAAATTTGGCCATTTTTGCCCAAATCTAACTAAATTGCAGATTCCCTCACACCTGTATTTTGAAATAAATATTGCTACAATGTAGCAATTTAAAAATCACACATGCTTACTGTTTCTGTCGACCTGACACGTGTATCTAGCCTGTAAAAATGAAAAATCGCTACATTGTAGCAATTTCACTGAGATATGGGCCCTGAAAATCATGTAATTTTAGCAAAAAATGAAGAAATAACCTGCAATTTTGACGGAATTTCAGAGGGCTTTCTTTCATTCCAGACCATCCACGGGCCTCTTATGACCATTCTTATACTTACAGAATGGTTGAAAGTGATTTCAAATCATTGTTTGCCCTACGCAGAACGAAAAATCGATTCTGTTCTCAAATTCTGCTAGAATATTGGTCTCTGGCCAACTAGCAGACAATTTTAGGCCTCATATTAAGGTATGAGTACCGTAATCCAACACCAAATTCGAAAATTCATAACAATACTTTGCACATATGGCGTTCGTGACCAACTATAAAACGCTTACCCCCCATAGTGTTATATATCAAAATGTACCTGTTCATATAGGGGTTCGATTGATCTACATCAAATTATAGGGAGTCAGGTTACTTTTTGAGATATAAGCGTCCATTTATTGTGACTCGCGTTTGCTACCACTTCCTCAATTCTGATATGATGGGCAAACGCGTAGTAAACATGCTCACGTCGGAACTATTTTTGACCTACATCGCTATTTTCGTAATTCAAATGAAAGTTGAACTCCTCCTCTTTATTTTGATACCAAATAGTGGCATACTAGGTACCCTAGAAGCCAACTATGGCGTTATTTAGAACAATAACTCGAGTTTTTAAATGGACTATATAGGGGTCATACCTTTTGGCGGATGGATATGGAACCTCATACCTAAACATTTCGCGCTATCCTATTGGTTGATAGAACAGTATACTGTAAAAAGCCGAACGCCGAATGCATTGAATTTGCGAACGAGTCACGTTCTGTGTATTACGTTCGCCTTTGATCCATGTTGAGTCCTGACAAAGTGTTGAACTTAAGTTATATTTCTAAAGAAAACATTTATTCAGTTTAGTGAAGTACTGTGCTAATTTTGCCAACAGTTGACAAGTTATTTTATGTGTTGAAAAAACTTGAACATCAAACAAGAAGATCAACAGAGTGAACACACAGATATTTAGGGAGGGAGGGAGGGAAAAAAGACTGAACAAACAAACAAACATTGTGTGAAACTGGATACTTACAATACTGAATACAATAAAACACTGTGACACACTTAGTATGTTTTCTGATTTTCGGATCAATTTCATATATTTTTGCTCATTTCACGAGGCCCGTGAGAACCGCAATCAGAACCGAACCGAACTGTGAAATACAATCACCGAACCGAACCATGAAATCTCAAACCGTGTGACCCCTAATGTACAAGGTGAGCTCCTGTCAGCGCATCTTCTTTAGGACATGGAAATTTAGCCTGAAATATATAAGCATGTACAAGGTGAGCTCCTGTCAGCGCATCTTCTTTAGGACATGGGAATTTAGCCTGAAATTAAGCAGGCAATAATATAGCATACCATTTGGTCGCCATATCAAGTATGAATCAAAAGAATTATTTAGTAAACATAATATCATGATGTTTTCTTAATGTCGTATCTATAAATTTTAATCAATATCAGCATTTCAGCACTTGTTCATTTACTCATGCAACTGACATCAACTAATTTTATAAGTAACACATACATCAAATAAGAATGGTGAGATGTATGCTATACCTTTATATGATCCAAGACACGTTTAAAGTCAACAGGTCTGTCTTTGCCTTCCATAGCAACAGGGTCAAGTCCATCGTTGCCATAAACAAACTGTACAATCTCACCCTGTGATGTGCGGACAGTTGTGTCATAATGCGAGCATAGATCTTCTAGGGACTGAAATATGAATATTGAGATGAAAGCTTAGATTCTGAGGGTTTCACAAATGGATACATATTGTGATATGAGTAGCAACCAATCAGCCAACCAATAATGTCATGACATCACATGACATATGATATCAGTTGTCTATGTGTGTTTTTTAATTTTCCATTCCTAACTTTATTTTTTAATCCTTTTCTTTAATTCCCTCAGACCATTATTGAGCTTATGTAAAAAGGAAAATTAAGTTCAGGTAATTCGCTAGGCTTTAAGACATTCAAACCATAAAACTGTTGAGCATCATAATCTTATTTCCTCACCTTGACGAGACGTCTCTGCATGTAGCCTGTCTCTGCAGTCTTTACAGCCGTGTCAACGAGACCTTCTCTCCCTGCCATAGTGTGAAACATGAACTCTGTTGGGGTAAGGCCGCTGTAGAAACTATTGGACACAAACCCTTTAGCAGCAGGGACCTTTGCTACAAACAGCAAGTGAAATCATATTTGCAAAGACTTAACAGAACTTCTTAATATCTTTAATATTTGACTTTTCCAGACTGGCATTATTCTCTCACTATATATCAATTTAGGGAGGGGTGAGATGGGATGATTTCCCTTGAGATTATTCTCAAGGTTTGTTTTATTATCAATTGAGAATATTATACCTTATTTTTGCAACATTCTGTACTCACAATGTCTTTCAAAGTGTGGCAGAGCTCTGTCCTCAAAACCATTTGGCACTCTCTTGCCACTGATGGCCTGCTGGCCCACACAGGCAATCATCTGAGAGATATTAATGAATGAACCTAGTAACATAAATTAACATATATTAACATAAATCAACATAATAAATAGATGACAAACGGATGACCATACCCATGAGCTTAAAGGAATATTCCTTGCCATACCCGTTTCTCTCTTGATATGGTAGCTATAATCATATATATAGTTTCCATATTTTGCAAAACATGGGAAAATGTTTTAATATGGTCAATATTGATCATTTAAAAATCTAGTGCTTATTTTCAGTGAGCTGCCATCTTTTAAGATTTCTTGCAGGAAGTGATGTCATCAACTCTCAACTTCTATAACCTTGCCCATAACAGTATAGGAAAGTAGCACAAAATCACTTCTAGACAAGTGATCATTACTTTCTGTGCAAAAATATTTTCAGGGCTTGTCAACTTAGAATAAAAGAAGAGATTTTCAGAAGGATTAAATAAGATACAAAGTTGAAAAAGAATATTGAGCTGGTTTTGTAATTCTTAATAGCTCCTCACCTAATGCTATATGCAAAGTTGAGAGTCGATGACATCACTTCCTGTGTGAAATTTTAAAAGATGGCAGCTTACTGGAATTGAGCATCACATTTCTAAGTGATCAAATTTGACCATATCAAAACATTTTTGCGTGTTTTGCTAAACATGGCAAGCATATATATGGTTATAGCTACCATATGAGGAGAGAGATGGTTTGGCAAGGAATATTCCTTTAATGGATGCAATTCTAAATTCAAATGTAAACTCATTTGCCATAGGATGAACGATATGGAAATTAAGACTGTGAGCTATAATAATCATTAACACAGTATAAACATGCAAAATGTCACCCCTAGCCATTTGTTATAGATGCCGGCCACGCGCAGAACACTGACTGCTAAAAACTCTCCACAAAACAGTTGGGGACTATAATAATATTTGCACAAAACTTGTAATGATGACATAATAAATCAGAAAATATGTTTAGTTTTCATTGTGATATATTGAATACCTTTAGATCCACATATAGCCATGTTGAGTGGGCTGTTACTCTTGTGCAGTTCTCTTAGACAGGCTTTCCCAGCATGGTCTCGAATAACAGAGAGCTCCTTCAGTATCATAGCCTACGAGAAAGATTTGCAATAGGTAAACTTGTATCAGGTATCCTAAAACTGGTTCATAAAAAACTTTTTAATATGCCACACAAATCATTGGAGTCTTCAACTATATTTAATTAAAATTCAGGTGAAGAGGACTAATAAAATATTAATGTTGATTGCTTACTTCCAGAGTTTCTTCTTCAGAGCATCCAGGTTGAGTCTGCAGTCGACCCTCCTTTAGATCCTCGATATATTCATTGCACTTACTGTACCTGAAGTTGAAAATATGAAACATATTTTATGAATTTATCAAATATTATAATTTACATTTTATGAAGTCTACAAACTAACAAAGTTGGTTTGAAATATCCTTAGAATTACCTTAGCACTTACATAATCTTAATTCATCATGATCTTTGGTACCAGTTATTGTGTTGTGTTGAGCTTTATTTACTAGTATGCAAAATAAATGTATATGTAATATAGAACAAACCCTTCATCCAGTAGCATATATTTTGCCTTCAGTAATCCAGCTCCAGGTGTGACATCACCAATGCCAATGGAGAATCCCCTGTTACCTAAAAAATGGTGTATTCTGTAAACCCTTTGTAACTTGTTGACCCAACCCAACATCCCATGGTCAACTCAGCCCTCAACCTTACATCTTGATATAAATAATTGCCTGGTTGACATTGTATTTGTGTTTATGACTATGACTTTGTAATTCTTTTTAGATATGCAATCAAATCTAGGTGTGTTCAGGTTAAATTCATAAAACATTAGATAGTCATCACAAACATATGAGAATACGGGACAAATTGACCAATTCTCCCAATTTGCTAAAAAACCACTGCATTTTCTTTTTTGTACCCTAAATCGTAATCTCTTAAAATTGTAGTTTATAACATGGCAATTTAGAAAAAATCATTAAACAGAAATGCACAAACACACCTAGGCTGACGATGTCCCATACCATTTACTACAAATATCTATGAAACTTACTCAGAAATTGTGGGCAGATTTTTGCCAACCTTCCCATTGCACTTGCAGCATATTCTTCCCCATAGTCCCGTAGTAGGATGTAGAATATGTTGTTCTTTGAGCCTCCCCCTAGAGTACTCTTGTCCATGGCGCCACACATCAACTCACTATTGTGGATACATATGTCTGGAAAAAATATGATGTAAAATGAGAATACATAGTCGAATAGAATATACAGTATAGTGAAGTGTTCTTTGATGCTACACATGACTCAATAGTGTGAATACACAAATGAAAACATGTGCTTCTTGATAAATATAAAGGACCTTTAGTTGCATAATCTATAAGTGAAAAATCTGCATTAGATGCACCTAAAATTTAGATACATTTTATTCTTCTCTGAACCCCCCCCCCCCCCCTTTCTAAGATCCCCTATCTACATAGTGTTCAGGGGGTTGCTTCACAGGGTTTGTATTACATGTAAATGGAGTTAAATGCTTAAGAAAATCAACATGAATGTTATTTATATAACTTAAACTTACATGAGTCATTGACACACATGTCCTCCCCATTGCTATAGTTCTTCCCCTTTGTACGCAGATTTGCCTTGACAATACAGTCCTTATTAGGGCGTAGGAGTAAGCCGAATATCTGTTTTCCTGTCCACAGTTTACAAGGCTGTAAAATAAATGAAATTCGTTATTGGACTGTAATAATTGTAGTTTGTCATTATATCTCACAAATAACAAAATCCTCTTTTCCAGTGAGATAAACATTGTCTTAAAGTTACATTGCACTCTGGACATATAGAAGTTTTGATTGAGGGAGAGAGTTTAAAAATACCTTTATAATGGCTGGGGGTGGCAGGTCAATTCTCATGCTGATATCCCTCTCAGCTAAGATTGATGAGATCAACTGGGAAGTTCTTGCACGATCAAAGAACACATCCTTTTGTGTTAACAAATAGCCACCTATAATATACAAATAAATACTCCCATAAAAGATGGTGTCCAAGTGCTCACAGCTAAGGAAAAACAAAGATAATACCATTAGGAGGAGATGGTAAATGATTTCATTAGTGTTAAAAAGTGAATTTTAATTTCCGATACCATACTTTGCCAAAAATGACACCACCTAGACCATGATATTTTAGACATAATCATCCTCATCTCAAAGTGAAAAGCAATCAAACTTTCCTAAATCTAACATTAGCATAGTCCTTCAATTTGTGACAAATTCTAGCTGTAGGGAGGGGAAACATAGCTGTTAACAGAGGCCTTTTTTCATTGGTAGAGAGAGTCATCTTTTGACTAAAAATCTCCCCATACCTGTAATGAAATCCTGAATAGCAGCAATCAAAGGTTCTCCATTCCTTGGTGTGACAATGTTGGCTTTTGATCCCATAAGTATCAATGCCTCAGCTTTGGCCTCTTCAGTCTGAGGGAGATGAAGGTTCATCTCATCACCATCAAAGTCCGCATTGAATGGGTTACAACAACATTCATTGAACCGGAAAGTTCTATGTGGTTTTACCTTGGCCTGATATGAAAAGAAGCAATATTGTTAATCTACAAAATGATCCCTGATAACAGAAAGTTTTACGCCAGAAACAAGGCATAGGGTAAAGAATTCTGCACTTTATAAAACTCAAAAATGGCTACCTTAAAATTCACCTAGCATTTTTAAAACTTCATTAAACAACTCAATAAATACATATGTTCAATTAGTCTTATAAAACAGTGTTCTGAAATTGCACCTGTTAATAACAGATGATTTGGGAAATATCTTATGCTTTTATTATATAGGATCTGAACCAGAACAACGGCAACGCCAAAGCGTAGCGAATCCCATCGAACAGAAATGGCTGGCATTTTTACAAACAAATAGCAAATATCATAAAACAACACACCAGAAAGGCCACCATTTTCAAAATGGTTGCTCACTAGCCAAGTTGTCATCAGAAGAAATAATATGCTTTTAAGAAGCCACCTCTAAAATATTTGAAAAATCGCACACGTACTTGTAAAATAACACACATAAAAATGGTGGCCATTTTCAAAATGGCCGACTACTCCCCAAAGTTTTATTAGACAATGTGCCATGCTTAAAGTATTCACATATCAAATATGAACAAAATCGCTCCACTACTTTTCGAGTTATAGTAAAATCGTTAAAATGGTGGCCATTTTTCAAAATGGCCACCTTCTACCAAAAGTGTCATTAGAAATAGACAGTTTTCAAAATGGTCGTCTTGTACCAAAAGTGTCATAGGACAGTGTGCCATGCTTATAGTATTCACATACCAAATATGAACAAAATCGCTCCACTACTTTTCGAGTTATAGTAAAATACGTTAAAATGGCAGTCATTTTTCAAAATTTTTTTCAAAATGGCCGCCTTCTACCAAAAGTGTCATAGGACAGAGTGCCATGCTTATAGTATTCACATACCAAATATGAACAAAATCGCTCCACTACTTTTCGAGTTATAGTAAAATACATTAAAATAGCGGCCATTTTGAAAAATGGCCGCCTTCTACCAAAAGTGTCTTTAGACAGTGTGCAATGCTTATAGTATTGACATACCAAATATGAACAAAATCGCTCCACTATTTTTGAGTTACAGCAAAAATCGTAAAATGACAAGTAAAGGCCGCCATTTTTCAAGATGGCTGCCATGTGCTTCTTAAATATCTACATTTGTAGCATTATTATTGTCCTTTATAATTTTTTTACATTTAAAACATATTGCTATTACAGTTTTACATATTGCACCTAAATTACTGCAAAATCGTCACTAAAATGGCCGTCATTTTGAAATGAGAGGCCATTTTGAAAATCGGCTTTCGAGCAGAACTTCTACCCCCATAGGCTATATTTGTACAAAATATGAACAAAATCGGGCCAACGGTATTTGAGTTATTGCCCGGACAGACGGACAGACGGACGGACGGACGGACGTACGTACGTACGGACGGACGGACGGACGGACGGGCGGACGGGCGGACGGGCGGACGGACGGACGGAGGCGTTCCCTATATCCCTCCGAACTTCGTTCGATGGGATAATAAATAAGTGATCTAGTATCTGAGGATATACATTGTACTTACATAGAAAGCTTGTATACTGAGTTTATGTAGCGATGGTTGTCTGTTAAATAGCACAATATCTCCATCCATCAGATGGCGCTCAATGATATCTCCATATTTCAATTCCTGAGCAATCTTTTGTCTATTTCCATACCTCAGGAACCTAAATATCACATGAAAGAATGCACTTAAAAAATTAAATCACTGAATCTGAAGCATTTATTCATTTTGATAGGACATATTTTTCTGCCTGAAATCAATGCCATATTTAGGTTTTATATAAAACTATGTAATATTAAAGAGTCTATAAAATATTTCCTTTTTTTAATACACTCAAAGAAAGTGAAAATTGTCCTGTATTGTTTACAAGAATTTTTTCCACTTTAATTGAAATTCTTGTAATATTTTATTGAGTGAATTACTGATTGATATCTGAACTTGCAAAATATGGCATTGTATTAAAAAATCAATGTAAATGGTATTTTACTCAAAGTCATTGAACATAAATCATAATATGGCAGAGGATTTGAATTAATTTTGAATGCTATCATTTATTCTCAAACTGTTCCCATCTAATCAAATAGTGTATTCAAGACAGAAAAACTTATTGGTGTCAATATTGCTTGAATATATGAAATAAGAAATCATCAGAAATTCAACAAGGCATTAAAATGACAAAATGTCACTACGTGCAAATGGTTACAAAAGTGTAACAATTGTTACAGATATCTCAAATCTAATGTCGGATTTGAACTTCTGAGAATGTGTAGGTATTTTTGAAAAAATGGTCATTTTATTTAAATGATGACAAGGCATTAAAACGACAAAATGTCACCACCTGCAAATGGTTACAAAAGTGTAACAATTGTTACAGATAAAGGTCAACCAAAGGTCAATATGTTGCCATGGTAACAGATATTGGCAAAAATGTGTTAGTACTGATAACATGTTTTTTATGTTGACAGTAGAAATTTGAAATCAGTCTTAAAACAGTACTTGTGAAATTATTGGAATTTGTAAGAATCTGTTACAGACACCAACCACCAAATGCCAAACCCCTTCCACAAAAAAGTTGGAGACTTTAACATTACAATATGTTACCACGTTTGGTAGTGGCATTAAAATATTAAAAGTAAACATTACTGGCAAGAGTAAATATTTGGACTGATATAAAGATATGGAATGACATATATATATATAGCTAGATTTATTATCTGTAATCTCACCATCAAAACATGAATCGTTTTTCTTTTTTTGCTCAGTTTCTCAATTTTTGTTTAACTTAAATTTATTCTATACATGCAAGTACATGTAACAACTACACTTGGATGCTTTATCATTCATTCTTTCATTCTATCAATTTACACATCCATTTCAGAAACTTTACTATATGGCCACATTTATACTGCAGGCTATAAAATATTATCAATTGACAAGAGCCAATAATTGCACAAAAGTGGCAGACAGATATGAATGGATAAGGTCAAGCTAGGACACATATAGTAATATCTCAAACTAATCTTGTCTTAACTGCTTATAAAACAAAAACACCATTTTAAAAGTATTGACGATTAATGAAATAATTCGCAAATAATAAAGGTTACAATGGCCACATGACCTTTTGATTCCCTCATACGTAATTCAAGCAATGTGAAAATTACTTTTAACATTGAATTGCTAAGAGATATATTAAGCATGATATATGATATATTTAGATAATCTGAAGGACATAGGATTGTTCATTTAAAAACTTGCCATTTTAAACATTTTTAAACAATTATTTCAACAAACCTGAATGGTTAAAACATTTTTTTGCTTACAGTTTTCAGTAAGGGCAAATCATTAATAACTAAAATCACTTTATTGACAACAAGGTCATATGCATACCAGTTCACAATACAAAGGATTTATTTTTAGTCTCGGAGTATCATTTGCAGTTGTTTGAAATGACGTGCCACAGACATCATCTTTATAACTTATGTCTGTTGTACGCTTCAGTGATTTTATTTGTTATAGCGGCGAGACAACACATCAACTTTCTCTATTCAACCTATGACAAAATGACAAGCCCAAAAAGGAATAATACAAATATGGAAAACAAGGAGATTAATTCTGAAAGGACTAATGAAGCAGACATCAATGTGGAATATAACGATCCAACAAGAATACATATTGAAAGAAATAAAAGCTTGGATGATCTGAAGCTTGAAAAACTAAAGCAGATTGAAAAAGAAATCAAAAACAAATATGGGTTCGTAATAAAGGCCAGTGATTTTGAAAAGTATGGTAAAGCTCGGAAAGAGGACTGTTTACCTGGAACGATGAAAAGACCCCCTGATATAATCATCATCGGTGTACAAAAATGTGGTACCGCTGTGCTAAGATCAATGCTTGCAATGCATCCGACGATCGCTGCTCAGCGTAAGGAGGCCCATTTTTTCAATCGTAGTTACCGGGAAGGTGTACCATATTATCTAGAACAACTTCCATGTAGTAAACCCAATCAGCTGACTTTAGAGAAAACTCCTGCTTATTTTGATTTGACAGATCCGGCTCTATTGTACGCCTTTAATCCAAATATGAAGTTGATCCTAAGTGTTTGTGATCCAGTAAACAGAACAATATCAGCTTTTGTCCATGAGAAGAGGATGGGTCATATACCATTAGAAAGATCTTTCACCGAAGAAATCCTAACCAAGGATGGGGCAATCAATGCAAGTGTTAATATAACAAAAAGAAGCAACTATCTAGCACCAATAACAAAGTACCACAGGTATTTCCCACCAAGTCAACTATATATTCACGATTATGATCTAACGAAACAAAAACCTTGGGAAGGTTTAAATAAAATAGAGAATTATCTAGGTATTGATAACATTTTTACACAATCATCATTTTGGTTCAACAATAATGCACAAGTATTCTGTCTCGACCCTCCTGCTCTAAATCTCACAAAAGAAAAACTGAAAACACAAAATATGTTTGAAGATGGCTGCATGAATTATTTCTATAAAGAACACATGCCCAAGCCAAAGGTCAGTGAAAAGATTTTGAAAATGTTGCGTCGACATTATGGAATATACAGCACAGCATTTTCAATGATTGTGAGGAAAAGTTTTAATTGGTCTCCAACAGTAACGGATTGGTTGCATCCCGACCATCATCCTGAGCGATGGTGATCTATGGTTCATGTTATCATTTACCTCACTGATATTCTTATTGGTCCATAATTACAAATATCCTAAATTTACCTACCGTTTCATGTTATTGTTTCGCTGCTGTATGAAGTTTGCTCCTGGGTGAACATCAGTGCCGTTGATCACCAATTTCTTCATCAATTCGAGGTTGGCCCGATTGACACGCTCTGGATATGTAAGGACTTTTGCTACATGAATTGGTACTGCCACCTATAATCAGTTTTTTTCATAATTAGTAGTGAGTTATATGGTATCTTTCATAGATTAAAAGTATGTGAAATGTGGGTTAAGGTAGGCCTGTCAGGATGACTTTCAAATCCTTTTGCACATAATGGCAGGATACAACAAATGATATTAATGGGAAAAAATTCACTCCATACTAACCTGATCAATTCTAAGGTTGGGGTCTGGAGATATAACAGTTCTTCCAGAAAAGTCAACACGCTTCCCTGATAAATTTCCACGGAAACGACCTTGTTTGCCTTTTAATCTTTGACAGAAACCCCTCATCGGCTTTTTTGGCTAAAATGGAAAATGAATTAAAATTTGATTACAGCAACACCAAAGCGTAGCAAATCCCATTGGACAGCCATGACTGCCATTTTTACAAAATCCTTCCAATACTTTTTCAGTTATAGCAAAAATCGTAGAATAACACACATAAAAATGGCCAACATTTTAAAATTGGTTGCTCACTAGCCAAATTGTCATAATAAAGTGTAATATGCTGCTAACTAGGCACATATAAAATTTCAACAAAATCACATACACATATATGTAAATAAAAGACAGTATGGGTCAAGATTGCAGTTAAAATTCCCATTGAGGACCATTATAACATTTCATGTCATAATATATTCATGGGCACAGATCTAGCTCAGCGAAACAGTGCCTAGTGTCCATTGGAGTCTTTTCTAGCTTGCCGTTACAAAATAATGATACGGTGACCACACCGTTTTTGAGATAACTGAATCTGGAGAGAGCTACCACGGTAAAGCTACCTGTTTCAGAAAATTAGTCTGCTTTACATAGTCTCGAAAATCACTCCGCCATCTCTAAAAATTCTGTTTCTAACCAAACTTGTAAATATTTCCTGATAGATTAGTACCTACCCTACCGAGAATAAACATTGATTCATTTATCAAACACTAGATGGCGCTGCGACGGGCCGGAAAAGGAGAGAAGGTATTTTTATACAGGAAACCAAATAACCAACGGTAACCGCTAGTATCCCTACTCCGAACTATATTCTATGCCATTATTAAAGCACATAGTGTTCCATGCATATGAGTATTAACATATCAAATATGAACAAAATCACTCCATTGCTTTTGAAGTTACAGCAAAAATCATAAAATAGCGTGTAAGTCACCATTTTTCAAGATGGCTACCATGTTTTTTCAAATATCTACATTTTTACAAATGATTTTGTGCAAATGAGTGTTTTTAATGAAGGCAACAGGATGTACAATATTTTTATTCCATAACACCTCACATATTTATCCCCTCTCCCTATCAACACCTTGTTAATACCTGCATATGCAAGGGTATCCCAGATGTCTCACTGTTATACAGCAGCGCCACCTGCAACTGGAGAAAATCCCAGTCTTCCTGAAAACAAAAATACAAATTGTAGATGTACTTGACAAACATTGCAAATATATAATTATCATTCACCCATAAGTGATGAGAAAATTTTGTTTTCTAAGATACAACAAGAGGTGTCAAAACAAAATATTGAACTACAATCTAAATCTCATTACTTTGCAAGCGAAAATAATTGGTTCTACTTGGTTAAGCTGAAAACAAAGATTTATCGACATTTTTGTTCCTAAAATGTCAATTCTTCAGGATCGTATTGATAAAATGCTATAAAATAGACTCTAAAGCAGATTCTGTCAATATAATGGGCAACTTAAAAGGTCAATAAAATAAAATCAAGAATACAGTAATAAATATTACTCTAGCAAAACATCTTATATAAATATGTGGTGGTCAACAGTACATTTCAAATGTGAAATTAAAGGTGGAGCTAGTGAGATGACATTTGGATAAATATTTATTTCCATTTTTTGAGGATGGGTAAATTTGAAATGAATTGTTATGGGATAACATTGAAATACTTACCTGGTCCCTTACTGGATCTATATTTCAAAAGCGCATTATCAATCAGAGTTTAATCCATATTCCTTTCATTGTATCATTAGAAGTGATAAGTTTCCACTATCAGGGGTTTCATTAGCAGCAGGCAACAGGCAAGTTTTTTTTACAAAATTGCCTATTGTTTTTAGGGACTTTTCAACTTTTCCATGTTAAATTTATGATTCCTTTAATTTTACCTGTTGTTTCCTTTTATTTAGCCTGTTGTGAGAAATTCTATTGAAACCCCTGACTATTTATCTCTTTAGAGGTTAAAGAGAGGTATGACAACTAAATCATAAGGTGTACAAAGGTATGATACAAGACTACAGTGTACATGATAGAGACATAATATTATGTATCATTATTACCATTATCATCTGCATCTTTGCTCCAGCAGTCCGGTGCTTCTGGATAACATCATTAAGAAACACAATTTCTGTCAACTTCATTGTGACATCATCTTCGTTTCTACAGTGAGAATGTACAGAGAGTAACATTAAAAAATTCATAAAATGATCAGACATTAACTATCATATAATGTAATAGCATAACATTAATTTTATAGCAAATGAAATCATCAGAAATTATGATGGGTCTATATGTATGCAAACTAATCTCTGTTTATATATGTTGAAACCTACATGGTCAACTCCTTTACTTTTTGAACAAAAAAATGTAAATTAAAAATTACATTTATCAAGTGGGCCAACCCGAAATAAAATATTAGATGCTGTCAGCATTAAACTTGTCAGCCAACATAATTAAAGCTGACTATTGATTACTAGAAATTCACAAATAGCTAGGCAAGGTGTGTCTGATTCCAGCCAATCCAATCACAGTATTTCATATAACTGCAGTGCATTATATAACCAATCATTGCATCCAATGTGGTTGTCAAGGTAACAACTTGACTATACAGATTGAAATTGATCCTTTGCCATCTTGACCCTTGCAAAAAGTTTCATTGAAAATATGTTCTTCATTACCACCCTATGCAGACAGAGCCTGTGGGAAATATTGGGTGCGGCGCAAATGAGCGGAGGGTGCGGAGCTAACGGTCATTTTTGAATATAAAATTGGGATATTTCTAAAACTAAGCCGTTTTGGGACTTCAAATATACCAAGATATGTGTATTTGACACCAAATATCAATACAATTGTGAAAATAGTAGCGCAATTCATTCTATAGCGACGCAGTGTGCCTTTAACCTTTCCCAGACCTATATATTTTGAGACTATCCTTTTAATACTGCGTCCCCAGCATTCATAAAAAATGGTGTTCAAGATACACTACCCATGCAAATTATTTTTGCATCTTGGAAGCCAGGCAGTATCTGTGTGATTTTATAAAAATTCGGAAATGTTCTTCAGATATGAGCCCCCTCTAAATATTGGGTGCGGAGGTACGTTTATGGAGCTCCTCCGCACCCAATATTTAGAGGGGGCTCATATCTGAAGAACATTTCCGAATTTTTATAAAATCACACAGATACTGCCTGGCTTCCAAGATGCAAAAATAATTTGTATAGATAGTGTACCTTGAACACCATTTTTTATGAATGCTGGGGACTCAGTATTAAAAGGATGATTTCAAAATATATAGGTCTGGGAAAGGTTTAAGGCACACTGCGTCGCTATACGAGGGGTGGTCAGGAATTTCTGGACCGTTGGCTCTATTTTTGCCAATTTTTATCCTTTCTTAGTGATTTTTTCACACAATATAATCCAAATATATAGGATCACACCATGACGATTTCACTGCTCTATGAAAACATTATCATTTTATTTTTGTTACCATGGTAACCGGTGACGCGACAAGGTGGAGCTCAGAAAAAAATACCAAATTTGAAAAATCAACAGTAGTTTTATATGATGTTTTGACACTGTATTCATTGCTGAATATGTTACAAACATATAATGGGTTGTATTATATCACTAAGTATATTCGTTAATGTTCATTGTAACTGTCATTATTCTTCCATCAATTCTAATCCTCCAAAGTGATTACCAGCACTTTGTAAACATTAACATTTGTTATGCTTTTTCACCCATTCGTGAAAGACGTGATACAGACTGTCTTTGCTAAAAAATGTGATTGTTTCCATCGGTTGTGGCCGTGTACCACACGCACCGTATTCCCCAGAGTTAACTGGCTGTGATTTCTATCTTTTCCCAACAGCGAAGACCAAATTATGAGGTATCCACTTTGAGGGCAGTAATGAGATCATTCAGGAATTCACACACCAATGTTAAAAAGTAGTCGAAGACGGCCTGTATCACATCTTTCGGGACTGGGTGAAAAAGCATAACAAATGCTTACAAAATGCTGGTAACTACTGTACTTTGAAGGATTAGAATGGATGGAAGAATAATGAGTTACTATGAACATGAATATAATGAATATACTTAATGAAATAATATTTATACAGTATGTCACATATTCTGCAATGAATACAGTGTCCAAACATCATATAAAATTACTGTTGTTTTTCAGATTTGGTATTTTTCTGAGCTCCACCTTGTCGCGTCACCAGTTACCATGGTAACAAAAATAATAGAATAATGATGTCATAGAACAATGAAATCTTCATGAAATGATCCTATATATTTGGGTTATATTATGTGAAAAAATCAGTAAGAAAGGATTAAAAATGGCAAAAATAAAGCCAACAGTCCAGAAATTCCTGATCACCCCTCGTAGAATGAATTGCGCTACTATTTTCACAATTGTATTGATATTTGGTGTCAAATACACATATCTTGGTATATTTGAAGTCCCAAAACAGCTTAGTTTCAGAAATATCCCAAATTTAAATTCAAAAATGACCGTTAGCTCCGCACCCTCCGCTCATTTGCTCCGCACCCAATATTTCCCACAGGCTCTGTCTGCATAGGGTGATTACGTTTCTTGTAAGTGACATGGTAGAAAATATTTTGCAATGTTTAAAAAGAATTTGTACTTACGTTCCAGATTTCAGATCAGACACAACAGATGGCCTAATACATATAGGTGGCACTAGTATACGGGTTAAGATTATATCCTCTGGTCGGCAGCTCGCTGTGTTCATCATTAAGAGGGGAATATCCTATACAAAACAAAAGGATTATATTTCAAAAGATAATTTCCAACTATTGTATTATGTGATTAGCTCTGAGTCTTTTTATTCCAAATTGCTATCAAATCATCACTAGATATTTTTCACAATATTTTCTCAATTACATAATATAGAGCAATTTAATATGTCAAGCCTTTACTTTAAAAAATTCATTTATGTCCAAGTTTCAAGTAGCATTGTCTTGTGTGTTACAGCTTAGGCATATAAGGATAAGTGTTTCTTTTGTGTAACATCTTTTAAAGAAGAGCCACGTCACCATGCATTTCTTCAGTCTGATGATGATAAGTCTGATGGGATAACAACATGATAATGAAGACACCACAAAACAGACAAAAAGACTCATACTTGTTATATGATGTCTTACCTCATCTGGGATTCTCCTAAACAGAGACTGCACAATGAGAGGGTTAAGTATATCTTGGGCCTTGCCAACCATCTGCTCAAGCTCCTTGTTATGCTTTAAGGCCTCATCAAATGATTGAACAAACTCATGTACGAATGGCTCTTTGGTTTTCTTTGTTGACTTATACTTGTCGTGTATGATCTTTAACATACCACATTTTTTCACAACCCCTGTGAAAGAAATTTGATTATTCATTATATGATGCATTAAATGCTTTTTATTTGTTATATTATTTCGTGTAATTAAGGTTAAATCTTCTGCATGTATATTCAATAAAATCTGGCATAATTTCTCCACCCTTTGTGTATACAAGTTATTTAAATCAAAGACTATTGGCTGTGTGCAATTGGTACATAGTATGCATGTTAATTCTCATTTCTTAACTAAAATTACATGATCAAATGCTCAATGATAGAATATAAAAATAGCATTACCATTATGTTCATTACAATTTGGACATTTGGAATTCTTTCTGCATTTTTCATTGATTTTTTTCTTCATGATTTTCTTTTGTAAATATGTCATCCCAGGTCGTTTGAGGGTATCAAGAAACTGTTTCCTCTGCTCTGGTTGTAGCAAGACATGGCTGCAGTTCTAAAAAAAATAGTTTCTATATTTTATATACATGCGTTTTCAGTCAATAACAGGTTCAATCATAGCTTTAACTCCTAATCTTGACTTAAGAGATCTTGAAGTGTTGATCCTAAAACTTTTCCTAATAAGTAAATGTTATTGGGACATTGACACCCACCTTACATATATTTTGCAAAATCATTATAGTTGTGCGGAAATAGCCAATGTGGAAAACAGGAAGTTCCAGGTCAATGTACCCATAATGCCCTAAGCATTCAGCAAGATTTTTTCCACAAGTGTCACACATGTTGTCTTTTTCACTAGTGCCCTGGAAAAAGGAAAAAAATGTATTCAATGAAAAGTGGTTGATGATTGAATTTGGTACTGATCCCACTTTTATTCCAATAATCAAATAGACTTCACATGTAACATAAAAACACATATGAACACAAATCATGTTGGGGGTTAGCTTAGTCCAATGGAGGTCAGCTATAGGCAGGTTCAACCTATACAACATCAAGATATTCAGTACAGGGACTAGCAATATAAACAAATCTTATGTGCTTTCATTTTCTTTGCCTTGTATCATAGCTATGATGATATTTTCGCTTATAAGGATCTTGACCCCTCAAAAGCAAATGGTCCAGATGGAGTTACAATAAAAATGCTCCAGCTATGCAGGAATACTATTTCTGTGCCACTTAATTTACTTTTTCATAAAATTTTGACCACAGGTAATTTTCCCCAGAACTGGAAATTAGGGGATATCTGCCCAATATTTAAAAAGAATAATAAGAATGACATAAGAAATTATAGACCTATATCTCTTCTCAGTATTACTTCCAAAATATTAGAACGAATTGTCTACTCTAAGATGTACGAACACTTAATTGAAAATAACTTATTGTATAAATACCAGTCCGGTTTTTTGAAAGGGCACAGCAATGAGTTACAACTGTTAGCCATCCAAAACCTAATTTGGCGCAATTTTAGCGACGGCAATGATACACGTGCAATTTTTTGGGATATTTCGGCCGCGTTTGACCGTGTCCCCCATTACCTTCTTCTAAAAAAGTTGAAAGCGTATGGATTTTCAGGAAACTTATTAGTTTTTCTAAAATCGTATTTGACTGATAGGAGTGTCAAAGTAACTGTGAATGGCAAATGTTCTGACACCTCTCCTAGCAACTACATAAACTGTTCTGTGCCTCAGGGAAGTATTCTCGGACCTTTGATGTTTCTCCTCTATATAAACGACTTACCGGACAACCTGACCTCAGAGTGCTTTATTTATGCAGACGACACCTCCCTCTTTGTACCTACTTCCCCAAACAATCCGCAGTCTCATATACAAATTCAAAATGATCTAAAAAAAATCGAAGCCTGGTCTAAACAGTGGAAACTAGATTTTAAACCAGAAAAGAGCAGAGAAATGACCTTTTCTAAGAAAAATAATCCAATCTATCCACCAGTTATCTTAAATGATAAACAAATTGAAAAAACTGACATTCATAAACACCTAGGCTTCATTTTTGATAAAAAATTAAGTGGGTCAGCACATATAAATTCTATCTGTGCAAAAATCCAAACAGCTCTTAACCCCTTAAAAGCACTTAAGGGTAGACTAAAATCAAAACAATTAAATATTCTCTATACAGCTTATATTCAGTCCTTATTTGATTATTGTGATATCCTTTGCGATTGTGCTCCTATTTGTGACCTTAACAGACTTGACAGTCTCCAGTACCAAGCTGGTCTAATAGTCTCTGGTGCTCTCCCAGGCTCCAGCACTTCCAAAGTACTTAACATTTTGAACTGGTCCACCTTAACTGAGAGGAGGATCCTCCACTTTAAAACAATTATGTACAAAGCCGTGAACGATTTAACACCTATCTATATCTCAGATATATTTAGGCCATTCATAAACCCTCAAGCAAGATTGTTAAGGAAATCTCGAGATTTCACTATCCCTATTCACTATCCACATAAGTCTCCAATATACAAAATGATGAACCTATGGAATGATCCAGGATCTGTTCCCTTGGAACAAAAGCTCTTGCCAACTATTGCATCTTTTAAAAGAACACTTAAATTAAATTTGTTCCCTGGTGTTGTTTCAACAATTTGTTTAAAATTAACTCGTCAACAAGAACTTTATCTGAATAGAGCCAGGGTAGATTTAATTTTAAAAGCCCAGCTCAAAGCCCACAATTGGAGCTCAGTTGAGTCATCAAATTGTTTATGTGGTTCCCCTGAAACTTTTCCCCACTTCTTTTTCAAATGCCCTCTGAAAGAACAACAAAGAAATAAACTAATAACAGATACTTTAGGGATATATGGGGACTTATTAACTAATTTCAGAACTCAGCAAGACAAAATTCACTTTTTTCTTTTTGGGGATCCATCATTAACCCAATTAGAAATGGATAATCTATTTTCACAGGTTGCGAATTATCTCATTGAAAACACAACCAGAATCTAAATATTTTCCTGCCTATGACCTGTTTCCATTTTTCAACATACTACCCCTCCCCCAGGATATCAGCAGCCCTCCTATCTTTTGTTTCATTGCAAGGCATTCTACCATTTACAGGTGACATCCAGGTTAAAATGAATATTGTACTTTATTGTTTATTTATATAAGGGGACATCTAATGCTTACAGCGCTTTGCCCCTTGTAATTGTATCTAAACGACTTGTGCTTACAATAAATATGAAAGATGTTAAAAAAAAAACACAAATCATGTATGATTGGTAGAACTTTTGATTCAGTAGGTTTTGAAGTATCATTTTTGAATTGGCCATTTCATAGGATGATGTGTGGGATTAAAATATACCATACCATTTTGTGATCAAGCATCCCATAAGGAATTGGTTTCCTTGAGCCATCTTGATTATATAGGTTCTTACTGACGACTTGAATATGTGCTTGTTTCTGCATCTGCTCAGGGCTGAACATCCCAAAAGTGACATGGCTTCTACAATTGGTAAATAAATGTGGTCAATAAATAGAAGCTCATTAGATTATGATTTGCCAGTCAAATGATTGGATATACCATTGGCATTGGTAAATAAATGTGGTCAATAAATAGAAGCTCATTAGACTATGATTTGCCAGTCAAATGATTGGATTATATACCATTGGCATTGGTAAATAAATGTGGTCAATAAATAGAAGCTCATTAGACTATGATTTGCCAGTCAAATGATTGGATATACCATTGGCATTGGTAAATAAATGTGGTCAATAAATAGAAGCTCATTAGATAATGATTTGCCAGTCAAATGATTGGATATACCATCCATGGGCATTCAATAAGAATATAAGAAGATACTGAAGAGGCAATAGTGGAGTTTTGGTTTATTTCTCATTGGATTTCCAGCATTGTATACTATCTTTGCCTACAAGTACAGTCAGGAACTGCAAATTAGGTGAGTTTGGATAATTTTTTAATGCAAAATACCAACAATGTTTCTATTTTTTTTATACATCGGGTGTTCCAAAAAATGAAATACTTTTTGACATATATTTTCTTGGCAACTGACGAAGTAAATTCACTGAATATTTGTACAAAGTAGCCTAAGAGTATCATTTGCAAGTTGTAAAAATATAAAAAAATATAAAAAAAATATTTTGTGAGAACTAAGAATTTCAAAATAGCAAATCAAAAATTCCCATACCGGAGCTCTGTAATGAGACCTCTATAGTGTTTGTACCAGCTATCATGTGAAAACATCTGTGAATCAGTCAAAATAGCTTGTCATGTCTAATTTAATTCTTCCCAAATATCCAAAGTCCATTCCATCTCAAAATTCATTGCAGGTGATATTGTTAGAATACATACGGAAAAGTATTTTTGCTTGGAAATGGATTAATAAGTGACTTTTACAATGATATTGGTTATTTGACATTCTGTCTTTAATTCAAAAATACACACATGAGACCAATCTCTTACAAATTCTTAAAAATTACCTTTTTCTTGCTTTTTTAGATGTGAAACTAAATACAGTTGGAATAATTTTTTGATATTTGATATCATCAGATTAGAGGGGCAAAACATTATAAGACTAGAGTGATAGTTATCACATATTCATTGCCTAATAATGTTGAAACATAGTGAAGTGTTACATAATAATTGTTATTAATTGTAAATCTTGTCTCAAATTTATCGTATCAACTCAAACGTTTATGACCCAAATAAGGCTAAGATGATGATGTCCATCAAGATTTTCGTGAACTTTAAAACATTAAAACAATTTCATTGGTCAGTAGATATTAACTGATTTGATTGGTCGTCAATATTTTCAAGATAAAAACTGTACAGAGCCGGATCGAAAGTAGGTTCAAATTCTCTCATGGCCTTCTAGAGAAAAGCATGGGCTTTCAATGAGACTAATTGAAAGCCCATGAGAAAAGCTAATCCAATCTACCAAATATTTTCATTTACTCCAGGACTACTTGTATTTTATACTGATACAATTCTCTGTATTAGTTTGTACATGTACTTCAGGTTCCTTTGGGAGAAATTCATTAACTAAAACACAATATGAAAAGATAACCCAAGCTGTAAACTAGAGATTATTTAAAAGGACATTGTCTGATAGGAACAGAATAGTACAGTTTCCATATAGCTTTTGAAATCTCGCTAAATCTCGTTTTTCGTGAGATTTTAAGAGATTTGCATACGAGGGGTGATCAATAAGTAATGGACGCTTTTTTACACAGATACTTTTTATACACCAATCCCTTTGATTTTCCTACCAGTGATACATCATTTAATTATCTATCAATTCTGAAGATTTGAAGACAAAATATGTAATATATGTCCATATATCCTTATTTCCGTGAAGGAGGTACAGGTACCCCGGGACCGACATTTACGTCACATATTCAGTTTTTAGCCAGTTTGGAACATTTCAGTTAGATTTGAGCTTTTTCTATGCAACAAGTGTTGTGTTGTTTGAATTTTTGCTGACTGGTAACACATAAACAGAAAGTATTGTGATGTCAGAGTGCTGTATGGAAGCGGTTTGCAGGTCAATTTGAGAAAGCATTGTGGAAGAAAGGGGTCATGAGAGAAGGGAACACCCTACTCCATATGGACAATGCACCTGCCCACAGATCTCAAAATGTTCAGAAAACAATATCCCTGGACCTCAAAATTGAGCCCTTGGCCAGTGCACCATATTGTCCAGATCTGCTCACATGTGACTTATTTATTTCTATACTACTTATTTCTATAGAGAAAGGACACAGGTTTATTGCCATTGATGAAATAAAACAACCCGTGCAACTGCATCTTGACTGATACCATGTCAGAGAATGGATTCAGCCTTGTCTCACAATCTTGAGTAAAGAGGCATGAGGAATTGTGTACATGTAGCACTTGATGGAACCTATGTAGAGGGCCCTGTGGGATGAATGTGGCATGAATACCACATAGTGATGATAAAATATTCAAAATCAACTATGGTTTAACAAAATGGGGTAATTCATGACCATAATGGTTTGTTTTGTTCAGCCTGCATTCAACTGCATTGCATGTTAAACAAGCTAAAATAGCTCCAGAATGTTTGAAATAATGTCGGTCCCGGGGTACCTACACATCCTTCACAGAAATAAAGATATATCAAAATATATTACATGTTTTATTTTCAAATCTTCAGAGTTGATAGATAATTGAATGATGTATCACTGGTAAGAAAATTGAAGGGATTGGTCTATAAAAAGCATCTGTGTAAAAAAGCGTCCATTACTTATTGATCACCCCTCGTATTTAACCTCTAATGACTTACATTACCTTCTTTTAAATGGCATATTTGAATTCAGTGAAATGTTTTCTCCTAGAATAGCTTTGATTTACACAGTTATGTAATTTGAATAATTTTCTACGACAATTTAAAAAACTTGGGCCAAATCTCCATAGATGCAATGCTAAAAATCTTTAAAACCCTGGATTATTTGCATGTCAACCAACATTTGCACGTTTAATCACAACATGTTCATAAACAGGGTCATCATGTGGTATATCATTCAAGTTTTATACAGATTCAACTAACACTCTTTGATAAATCATGAAATTAAGCCACTTTTCCAAGATTTTAGCATGTAAGTGAAGGGAACTCTAGCCCAAGTTAAAAGCTGAATAAAAGATGGCAGCACTAGATTTCATTGCTTTTTCTGCTATTTAGAAACTATCCTATTAGAGTACACATTTTTATTTGCATAAGAACTCAAATCTGACCTTACTTTTGACCTTTGACCCTTTGTTGATTTTTCGAATTGATTTTCTTGATTCAAATTTAGGTATGATCAGACCCACAGAGGTCAAAAATGTAAATGCAAGGTCATCAAACTAAATCACAAACTGTGTTTTCTAAGTTTCTCAAAATTGGTGACTACAAATCAATATTTTTTCATGAAAGTCAGGATACATATTCCTCTAAAGGTTCTACACATATTAGCAATTGACTATTTATTAAAATTGTGCACCAGTTTTGAGATATTAGAACTCAAAAACTGAAAAAAGGTCAAATTTCAAAACTTTTCAAGACTAAATTTCAACTTACTTCAAATTGACCAAATTTTTAAAAAAATCATCTACAAGTTCTCAGGAACTCAAAACTGACCTTACTTTTGACCTGTGACCTTTGGTTAACCTTCGAAAGTTCACAAAAGTTGATTTTTCAAATTGATTTTCTGGATTCAAATTAAGGTATATTTGATCACAAAAACCCACTGAGGTCTAAAAAAGTAAAATTTGCAAGGACAAAGTCATCAAACTAAACCACAAACTGTGTTTTCTAAGTTTCTCAAAATTGGTGACTACAAATCAATATTTATTTTTTGATGAGAGTCAGTATATATCTTCCTCTAAAGGTTCTACACATATTAGCAATTGATTACCTGTTCAGATTTTGCACCAGTTTGGAGATATTAGAGCTCAAAAACTGAAAAAGGTCAAATTTTCCAAGGTCAAATTTCAACTTGCTTCAAATTCACCTAACTTTTTTAAAAAATCATCTACAAGTTACAAAGATACATGTACTATTTTTTTCATGGCCTGAGTTCGTCGCTAACATGCTAAATATAAGAGTTAGCTGACGTTTGGGAGTCTGACTTACCTTCTAAAGGTTAGAACCTGAATCTTAATGAAACCATATCATCTTTGTTCCGTTAACCATGGAGCATTTGCCACAACATCCAAGAGGTAAATCATGGACCATGAAAATGAATGATTTCCTTGTAAGTTCCGGAAGTTTCAATACAAAAAATTACCGAACATATGTGAAAACCGAATATGTGTTCATTGTTTTCACGATTTACAGGTTCGTTTGTTCTCCAATGTTTTGGTCTAAATTATAAAGCATCACCAACAGGTCTTACTCTATTAATCGACTAATACAGCAAACGGCTCATACATGTATTTCTACGTAGCATTTCGTTCAGACCAATAGTGGGAGTGTAGATCACGCAGTTTCGTTCGTTGCGTACTTCACTTGAAATTGGTAATTTTAAATATTGGCTACTTCACTTAGCTTGGCGGATGTAGAACATTGCTTAATATTCTTTTAATTTCCACACCAGACATGCTTGGTTGACACGTCAACAAAGTAAAGTTCAAGGGTCAATGCGTTATTACGTGATAACTACAACGCCTTCCCGGAAGTCAACATTGATGAAAAATGAAAAGTCGGAAAAGCATTTACACTAATTTCTATCAAATGCTGTGTTTATGCATCATCATCGACGCAACAAAGGTGATATGGTTTCATTAAGATTCGGGTTCTAACCTTTAGAGGGTAAGTCAGACTCCCAAACGTCAGCTAACTCTTATATTTAGCATGTTAGCGACGAACTCAGGCCATGATAAAAATAGTATGTATATGAAAAAAATGACAAATTTTTTTTTTTGGAAAATAATTCTACAATGTCGAATATCAGGATATCGTTAGACCAACTTACATCTTCTTTGCCAAATCAGTTTCCCTAAACTGTTCTTTTACCATTGTGAGTTCTTTAATCGTTTGTAGCCGGTTTATTTGGAATCAAAATGATGAAAACTCCATGTAATTTTGAAAATGTGCATGTTGCAATGTAGGTCATAAACTCGAACCAAAATGTGATTATTTTTGTTTTGGTTTTGGATCGAGACTATACCATTATTAAAACGAGGCTCGCATCGTGATCCTGTTCGTCGAAAATAAGAAGAAATCCAACGTATTTTGTCTATTTTCACTTGATTAAAGATTGCTTTGGCGTTCATTACATATCCTATGATAGCTTCTTCATTCAAGAACTCACTCAATAATAAAATTTAAGCCGAAATGGCGAAGCGGGAGTCCAGTTTTGGTAAGTGAAATTCTAATGTAATTTTTTCAATAATTTTGCAGTTGAATATTTTTATTGTTTTGTTTTTTAGGCTTATATCTCTTCAACTCAAAGTCAGAATTCACAAACATTAGGCAGCAAACCTCCTAGGCTTATTGATACGCATCTGGCCTTTAATTTATTAATCTGAGATTTTGGTATATTTAGCACGGACTTGAGTCAACATTTCTTTCGAACAGGTGTACCAGATGGTTGCAAATTCGCTCCAAATACAACCAAATTTGTTTTTGCTCCTGTGTGGGCTCTTGTGGTGGCGTACTTCTTAGAAAAAAGAGCGCTATGCCCATGATGATGTTAAGAAGATGCTAATCTCTTACCTCTCCCTCAATGAACTATAGCTACACTCTGATGTTTCATTGATCTTTTGTAAAAGAACATCAATTGGCAAGAACGCTAAATTTTCTACACAGACCTCCTCATATGCTCTTCAAAATGGAGGGCCGAAATGTAAACATAGCTTGATAGGTTTCTAACAATTGGGTAAAGAGGAATAAATAAATCTAAGCTAATATGTCGGTCAATAGCACTTGCGCTAATGTTTATTGTACAAAAAATATCCGACTTGAAATAAATATTGATATGATATGATAAGCTTAAAACCTAAACTTCTCTCATTCAGACTCGCTTTTAGCATGATAGATGGAATTTGGGTCACATAAAAAACGTCAAAAGAGTGTCAGAATTAGAACAAAAGGTAAAGAATAAGGTTTTCATTGGGATTTCAAATTTTAACATAAGGAATCACATTTTTTGATTTTTTCTTATTTTTCGCGGCACTATCGATCGGTACAGGAAATCATTTCCCACAATTTATTACATATTATCTCTCCAACCGTGTATGCTAAGTAAATGATAAAAAATAAATATCCAAATAAGAACAAGGAACATCGAAGAACACCATACAATGGTCAGATTTATATGACTAACTTGCAATGACGAATTGGAATTGTAGATATGTCCACCAACTGGCCAGTGGAAAAAAAGAAGAAACGAAGGAGCAGATGGGGAACACAAACAGAAACAGAGAAGATATTTATTCCTGGTATGCCAACGACTCTCCCACCAAACCTCTCTAAAGAACAGGAAGAGCAGTATCTTTGTAAGTATTTACTTTTGTATTTATAATAGGAATGTTGTTCAATGAAGGATGTGGAATGTCTCCTTGAGTAGAATGTGTTTGATAATTGCATCCTTTAATTCGAAAGTATTATTCCTTTCTCTAAGTTCAGCACTTGTTTTAGCGATATATCTAATATGTTAGAGAGAGTGAGAGAATTGTTTGTTTGTTAAATGGCTTTTGTTAGTTGGTTTTTTCTAATATTTCACCAGAAACCACTTGATTGGAAGCTGTTTTCTTGATCTAGATCGGTATTACATTTGTGTTTAATATATTTGGGAGCTGACCCCAGTGTAATTTGTTTGACTGAATGCTTTTAGTGGAGGTTTTCTATTCTCTGAATGGCAAGTGCGATTATGTGAGTGCATGGTTGAAATGGTTAATTGCTGGAATCTAATTATTAGATGCGAGCTTGTAGAAACTTTCGGAAGGTATAGAAAAGCAATGTGTTCATTTGGAATGACTGAATGAGATCTTTGATTGGCAGCTTCAGGTATCCTGAATATGAAAACTATGTTTGTTGATTTCCCTAAATCCTGAATGATATTGCGTGAATGTTCTAATCAGACTTTTACTTCAGTAGATGGCGTCCCAACTAAATTCTAAAATTATTCTTTCTTTGGTGATAATCATTGATTTCTTTGACAAGGTAAGGTATGATGTTGAGAGACTGGAGGAAACCACATGTCTTTGAAAATAACCAATGTTTACCAGTATCGTAAAATTGTATGCTTTATGAAATAAAAAGAAGAAATACATAGATTGTGTACTAAATGATCGTCTCAAAAAATGTTGTGAAAATTATCAAAACATAATTAGCAGATAAATATTGGATATTTTCTGTAGGACGGATTAATATATGTAATGAATTTCCGTTTAATTTTGATAAATCAATTTTTGGTCGATTAATGATATTGTTCTTTGCAGAATCAACTTCCAGTAATAATAATTAATCTTTTTTTGTAATCAGAATATTTAGTTTCAGTCGTTATTTAATCATTTAGCATTTCAGCTGATAATTAATGACTTTTCAGAATTTAATACCTATTTTTTTTTAAATCGCGATTGTTTTGTCTGGATGTTTGAAATAGCTGTTGGCCCATTTATAGTAGATTTTATAATAGTTTGTTTTTTTAATAATATCTGCTGGCACCTAGATAATTAAAGTCCACTACCTATCTACTACCTATTCTAGCCTTATCAGATTTGCTCTGGTGTTTGGTATGTTTATGATTTTTAAGTTGAACATTTTTTGAAAACAGTTATTTTGAATGCAGATATAAGCTGAAAAGAGAGGTAAGTAAAAACTGGAGATTGAAGTAGACTTTATTCTGTAAAACTTTTCTGGGGCTCGTTTATTTATACAAGCAATCATTTGTTATTGGCTTCTGGACTTTAAATGTTACTTCTCTTATTCTGAATATTTTCAAATTATTTTAAACATAAATTGATTGTCCTAAATTATGTCAAGCTTTCCTCGACTTACATTTACCTTTATCCCAATCCTCCGATTATATAAGCCAACAACTTTTTCAAACACCAAATGTTTAATGATGATATTAATAGCTATTTCTCTTGTTTTTAACCCCTTAACTTCTAGTGCATCTGCAGATAGAAGAGATTAGTAGACGCCTGCGCACAGGAGACCTTGGGATCCCAGCCAACCCAGAAGACAGGTTTGCCATCCAACTGATCTAATTGGCTTGTTTCTGCACATTTATAGAGTCACTGTCATCATATGCCCAAAGCCAACATGTCACATAAGGTGTATTAAGGCAGAATTTTTCTCAATGATTTTTATTTTTTTGTTTTTTTATCTTGCTTGAAATCTATGATACTCAGTTTTATAATTGATATTTATGGGCTAAAATAGGGTGGAAGGGTGTTGTTGGCTTTGGGTATAATATGGAGAGGTACAGTATACCCACTTTACAATATATATAAAACCTAATCATTATTCTTTATTTATATAATTACAAACTTTGTCATTAGCAAGGTCGGGCCGACAAACACATATCCAGCTTGCCATATTTGCAAATAAATGATCAACCTTTTACCGATAATTATCCCAAATTACACGAAATGGGCTCTCTCCCATATCCCATCAAGAAACATGCCTGCACTAGGTAGTTACTGCTATACTTCAGTTCTGTTATGTGTGGTTTGAATCTGTTTCTCCCTGTTCATGTAGAACTTGTTCATATATTTGAGACAAAACTTCAAATATTTCTAGAGTAAAGCATTAAAATGTATGACACATGGTGTTATCATCATTCATGCATGTTTGTATAATTATGTCCTTTGTATATCACACTATCCTAATATGGGCCCAAATGGTGCATAATTCAATCACATTCGTGCAACTTAAAAAGCAGTTTCTTTGGTAACTTTGTATGAACCAACTTTGTGTGTTCATGAAAAGTTGTGGGAATGTTTTGAATCAACCATTTTCTGAATCTGTAATTGCTGAATGTCATCTTTTTGGTGTGGTTTTGAGGGTCACCCATAGATGGCACTTTTGTCTATGTGGGTTTTTTGTTTGCAATCGAGCGGCAGTAAAGTCTGTTCTTTGTATTATATTAACCTAGCATAGCTATATCAATAATTAAAGCTTCACTTGCAGGATAAATGTTGTTGATTTAATACTGCATTTTTATTATTTTTTATTTATTTTGATTTATAATAACCCTAAATTCTCACTGTTATAAACTGTATAATAATATAATAGCTTGCAGGAAAAGAGGGATGTGGAAAAAATTGACTCCATGCATCATCTTAAAAGTTATAACATTGAATTTATTAATCAATTAATTATTTTTATTTTTAATTATTAATTAATGATAAATTGGCTACTTTCAGGAAACTAATAATTACCTTTCATGTACCTTTAAATTATTTTCATTTTTGCCATATCATTCTATCAGATATTTTGAAGGATTGATTTTTGTATGTTGGTACTAGGGAAAATCAGTGTCTATTACATAACATCTATTTTTCAAAAGAAGTTTCTTTTTACAGAGTGATATCATGAATTTATTCCAATATTTCAAACCTGATAGTTGTATTCACGTTAAGTGAACTAAAACAATTTTATTGCCAATTCATAGTTTCCTAATTTGTCATCTAAAATTCACCCATCTCTCTATTTGAATTTTCCAAGTTGATTCAAGGAATCGGCCTAAAATATCTATAAAGTCTAAATTACCTAAAAATCATATTCCTAGAGATTGGTGGTACTAAATACAAACAGAAAAAAAGTATTTCATGTGATCTAGAAAATTTTTGTTTGTTAATATGTATGTTTAGAATTATCAAAAATATATCCATGTCATATAAAGCTCTGTCATCAATATCAATTGGCTAATTTTACCTGACCGATTAGAAATCTTAAATGTCCCTTGATTTAGATCGTACCATATTATGAATATGTCATGTTGATGAGTATGGCCTTACCAGCAGAATCAGTGTGTTTATCACAACAATCAAACCTGTAATCAGTATCTTAAATATAACTACTAATAATGGACAAAATGATCGATCTACCAAGCCATACTCACAGCATGTAAAGTTAAACATTCTAACGCTGAATTTTTTGAATGACAGGTCACCATCTCCAGAGCCTATATACAACAATGAAGGGAAACGATTGAACACTCGTGAATATCGTACCCGCAAGAAGCTAGAGGAGACAAGACACAGTTTCATACAGAAAGCAGCAAGTTTGAACACTGAATACAAACCACCTGCAGATTACAAGTATGTATCCCATTTTCTGTTTCTAAATTTGTCTGGCTTTATGGATAATTTGTAAACAAGATATTAATTCATGACAAAAAATGCTGTTAAATGGTAGAGATGTTATGATTTTCAACTTCAGCCACTCATTACCATCTTTTGGCATTTTTGGACCGTGACACTTTTAATAGATGGTGATAAGTACTTGAAGTTGAAAAATGTTTGTACATTGTATAACATTTGCTATTTTTGCAGGCCCCCAGTAATCCGAGTCAGTGACAAAGTAATGATTCCCCAGGATGACCACCCAGATATCAACTTTGTTGGATTGCTTATTGGACCAAGAGGAAACACATTGAAGAATCTAGAGAAAGATGTAAGTATTAATGTCTCATAGTCTTACATCAAAGTTTCCTTCAATGTTTGAATGGCTGTTTTCCGAAATAAAAATCAAAATAAAATTTTAATGTAACATTTTATCCTTGTTTGGCAGTTAATGAGATTAATTAAATAATTAGTTAATGAGGGTTACATGTAGAATTAAGGTTGAAATGGCAACCTAGAAATGTTACCCTAAAACTAGACAAGTGCAATAACTAATGAACTAACGAAGTGATGGTTTACAAATATGTCAATCTAGATGCCTTTAAAGCTAAAAAATCCCAATTAACCTTTGACATGACAACATTCTAATGTGAAACATTTTTCTCAGAACTTGGTTACCTGCCAAGAAAGCAATCGATATTTGGGTTCAAAAGCACGAACTGTTAAAGCAATCGCGCATTTAATTTTAACCAATATGTAAAAGATGCATATTCACGTGGGTACTATTTCATTGTCATTTGCAGACTGGTGCTAAGATCATCATTCGAGGTAAGGGTTCGGTGAAGGAGGGCAAGATAGGACGTAAAGATGGACAGCCACTTCCTGGTGAGGATGAACCCCTTCATGCATACATCACCGCAAATAACCCAGAGAATGTCAAGAAAGCTGTGGAGAAGGTAGGAAGGGGGTCATAATGTTATATTTAAATCTACAACAGTAAAGTTGCCCCTCAATTGTGATTTTTAGATTGTATGGGTTGTGTGTATCTTTAGAAATATACATATTTTTAAACATTCCATTCATGCTTGGATAAGTCACATATTTGGCAACTACTAGGTTTCTTCCATGAACCATATTAGTCCATTGATATTTAATAATACATCCGCACATAAGTAAGTTCTGGAGAAACAATCATTGCAATGATGTTTGAATTTGTCTTTTTCAGATCAAGGTTATCATAGAGCAGGGAATTGAGGTACCAGAAGGTCAGAATGACTTGAGACGTCAACAACTGAGAGAACTTGCCCTTCTTAATGGTACACTCAGAGAGAATGATGGATTAAAGTAAGATATTACTTATTACTTATTTGATTGGTCTAAAAAGAAGAGATTAGTGTTGTTAATATAAATGGCTGTAGAGGCAGAGAATGATGTGTCATTCACGTTTTGTGATACAGTTTATTAAATTTATAACATACAATAAAAACAATAACTGATATTTTCACCTATTTCTCTAAAGTGGGCATAATATTTTACCAATTTTGATGAGAAAATATTTAAATAATTAATTTTTTCTTCTATTACAGTAAGCTGAAACAGTTGGCCCAGGCACAAACTATAGTGACCAATACCATCATATGCCAGGTGTGTGGAGGGGCAGGGCATTTAGCACAGGACTGTAAACAGAGAAGGTGAGGTTGATTATCATTCCTAAAAAGATGGAAACAATTTTGAAAGAGTTAGCTTAGATTGAATGGATTCATGAGAGTTAATTTGGAAAATGTAGTTTGTGCGAACCCTGTAGTGAACTGGGTATTTTTCACCTCCTTCTTGTACCTATATATTATTCTATATGTATTTCAGGCCTGGTGACTCCCTGAGACAGGCTCTAGCACAGAATCAGAATACACAACCTGTAGACAAGGCAAAAATGGACAGTGAGGTATGAATGGAAAAAGTTGAAATTTCTGTCATATCATGATTGTCTTTATTTAAAAATATTAGAGATGTGATACTGAATTAAAGAAGATTTCATGAAAACATATTACTTGTGCTTTCAGTACATGTCCTTGATGGCTGAACTAGGGGAGGGTCCACCCCCCACTGCTCCTGCTACAGCTGCTGCCCCTAGGCCTAATATGATACCCCCCAACTCAAGATTCGGGGCACCCCCACCAGACACCCGTCCATCTGACAGGCCACAGAGGTTTGAAGTACCACCCCCATTGGTATGTTATGTTATCCCAATTTTTTGTGTTGAATTGTATAGGGTTTGGTTGTGTCTTTACATTTGTACAAGAGGAGTAGATTGTGATTAGATTTAATAGTACACAAGAGTTAAGGCTTCAGAAATTCAACAATGTGAGAGAATATAGAAATACATATTTTATAACTGTATAGTGAACATGTATTTCATAACTGTGTAGTTTAAAAATATGTTTTTAATATTTTCTTCAGATGCAGCAACAGACATTACAGAGTCAGCCTCCCTGGCAACAACAACAGCAGCCCCCAAATCAAGCCCCGCCAAGACCTGCTCCCCCTAGTCTGATGAACCTTAACACTCACCCCCCTCCCAGCCTTGGCCAGCCACCCCCAAACTTCAACATGCCCCCAGGAGCACAACCCCCACAGCAACAACAGCAGCAACCACCCCCAATGGGAATGTCTCAGCCACCCCCTTTGATGTCTGCCCCCACTGGTCTGCCACCCCCTTGGCAGCAATCTGTTCAGACCACCCCACAGACAATGCCAACAACAAACCCTACATATACTGGTAAGTGTTCGAGAGTTGTTTTGACCTCCAGAATTTGACCAGTGAGAATAACATACCTTCTTACGTAACAGCGCATTGATCTTTACCAATGTATGTGTAGTTTGAAACTACGATTTGTGTACATTTAATTTGGTTGTAATGTAAGACATTAAAGCATTTTGTTCTGAAGAATTTATATGTGCGTCCCAACTGCATATTGTATTTATGTTTACTTTTGGTGTCAAAGCTTTGCAATTTACAATTATGTGACTTTACTTTGTACCTGTTGGATCCCCCCCAGTCTATTGTTTGCAATTGTATATCTAAGTGGCTTTACTTTGTAGGTGTTGCACCCCCCAGTCTATTGAGTGCTCCTCCGCCTCCACCCCCAAGCAGTCAACCTCTACCCTGGCAGCAGCAGCCGCAGCCACCAAGTAAGTTCGGAAGAGACAAACTTGCATGAAAACTCTTTGTCTAGTCTCTCAAATGTGCTATATTTCCCCATATTGTTGTGGTCAAGAGAGATAAGAATTCTGTGCATAACTTGATGCCAGGCACTTGCTTTAACTATTCTTTGAGAATTTACTGTAGCTCTGTCAATAGATGGTAAAGAATTTGTTGGGTTTTTATTGTATACCTTATATGTATTGAAACTAACATTTTAGTCTGATTATATTTTAATTCACACAGATTAATGTTCGTTTTTCATTAATATTCATTATTTTTTTATTTCAGCATCTATGTCAATGTCGGCCCCTCCACCATGGCAACAACCTCCCTCAGCAGTGGCCCCACCCCCTCCACCCACTTCTTCCTCCATACCACCCTGGCAGCAGCCTCATCCAGTAGCTCCTCCCCCTCCACCCCCTAACTCCTCCTTCAACCCTGTAGCTCCGCCCCCTCCTCCACCCTCAGGGATGGATCACATGAATAACATGGGAATTGCTCCACTATTAGGGGTTCCCCCACCCCCTCCCCCAAACTAAAATCATGAAGTTTTAACCTAACCATTGTAGCTGAGCATTCATAGTTTATTCGAAAGAATGATATAAAATTAGCATCACAAATCCAGATATTGTAAAACAATTGTGAATATCTGATAGTGGAATGTCATGATTGATATAATTTAATTTCTTACAACAAATAAAAGTGACCTTGAGTGGGGGTAATTCCATGTTCAAGTTTTTTGTTCTTACATACATCATTCAGAAGTGTACATTTTTCTCATATACCCCTACCAACCCTAAATATAAAGAGCAGACCCATGCTGTGAAGTTCAAAGATGATGATTGGCCAAACTTAAGGGAAGACTAAGTATGGACCATATCATACAGAGACCATACCTTTCTACACTGGATTTTAAAAGTACTAAATGTCTTGAGGAACATGAGGATAGTGAAGAAAATACATATGTGACAATAAGATATACAGATTATAATTAATATATATGAGATATTCAAGTGATTTGTAGTTTAATCATCGGCTGTATAAGGACGTTGACAAGTTACTACAACTTGAAACCAGCAGTGAATGTATTTTTCGAAGTTGAGATGTGACATAACTCCTTAGATAGCCAGCGTCAGTGTATGTATTGTCTAATTTAGTTCAAGAACCCACATGCATCCTCCTAAGCAGGTGTCTAGAATCCGTACCTCCTTCTTCCCCCTGCAATAACCAACTGAATCACTGATCTAATTATGCGCCAATGATGTATACATGATCGCTGTCGCACTGTTGCAACAGCTAATCAAATTGCGAGTTCTTAATCAAGGAAATGCTAATCGCTTATCGCAGGGGGTAAAAAGAAAGAAGTATTCTGGATTTTGAAGCCCTGTGATCGGAGGATGACCCACGTGGTATTTCTTATGTTTTAATGACAAAGTGGTCTATAAATTATAATGCATTTGAGACCATTCGAGATTGATCTTGTAACATATTAAAACACTACATTTTTATTTTTTGTCCTATTTCACAAGTACTGTACACGTTGAAGTTGTTTTGTCAGTATAGCTGGACGTTAAACATAGAATTGTGTGTATTGGCCCAAGTGTATACTAGGGGCGTAATAGATGTTTATTTTTGTAAACATAATTCAAGTTGTTTCTAATTACTATGTACAAAGGTAAAACATTGATACTGGCTCTAGGCTATGTATAACATATTGTAAAATATAATTATTTGTAATTCACCTTTAATGTGTATTACAAACAATCTAGCACAACTGCTAAAGAAACAAGCTATATGAATGTATGGACTACGGAGTGTGTTTACACAAAATTGAGACATTTTGTGTCTGTATGTCACTGTAAAATGCATAGTTGTTTTTGAGTTTAACATCATGTTTTGTAATGAATAAGTGTTATGAGCAAATTATGCAGAATGAATAATACTAGCTTGGAGCATGTCTTTAAGAAATGTTTTTAAGAAATACAAATATTTCATGACCAAATAATGTGTAAATCAATTTTTGGAACTGTGTTAGATATGAAGTAATGTGTATGCATATATTTTAATTGTCAAATAAAGCTGTATATATTATGTTCAGAAGCTATTTTTGTTCACATCACTATTTTTGACTTGTTAAAGAGATTTTCCCACCGAATGAATTTCAAGTAGGAATATAGAGAAGCTGTCCATCCGTCTGTCTGGGCGATAACTTAAGTACTGGTTGACAGATTTGGCTCAAATATAAGCTCAAGTCATTGCCTCAGTGGGAAAACTATTTGGTATAATATAAATGTCACCTGCAAATAATAAATCACTTGACTAAAGTATGACATTTTCTTTGGTATAGAGAAATATCTGATTTGATTATTGAAATAATTATCCCACCGAACTTTCATAGGAATATAGAGAACCCGTCTGTTTGTTCGGACGATAACTCAAATACCTTTTGACGCATTTGGTTCAAATTTCACAGGCTTATGCATTATGGGTGTAGCACCTCTGCTCGAGAAGGAATTTCAATACGGCCACTCAATTCAAATTAGCCGCCACTTAAAAACGTAAAGAATGTAAACTTTACTCAAATACCAGTCGACGGATTTGGTTCAAATTTTATTTCCTGTATCGATGCCTAGAGACATTGGAGTTCTGCTCAAGAAAAACTTTCAAGATGGTTACTGAATTATAAAATATCTGCCATCTTTCATAGAAATGTAATTTTTGATAACTTAAATACCAAATATTCACCAAAGGCCCCTGCTCAAGGAGGCACTTTCAATATGGCCGATTATTTTAAAATAGGTGTGATTTTGCATAAAAAGAATATGTTTGATAACTCAAATGCCAGTTGACGGATTTGGTTAAAAGGATCCGTACCTATTAGTGTACCTATAAGAACTTAGAAAATTATTGAAAAGGGTAAAATGGAATTCCAGAATTATTTTTATGCAATTTGAATCTTTATTAAGTTTATTTTCAACAAATCAAAAAAATAGTGTGGAATATATGGTAAAAGGTGTTTTTAACAGTGATTCTAAACACATGTCATGTTGACTCTTCAAATGAGTAATTTTGACATATTTTCACAAAACCTTGATTAAAATCTTGAGTTTTGTAGATAGACTTAATTTCACTTTTCAATATAAGAACTACAATGTGTCCTAATCTACAAAGCTTCATTTCAAGTGCCATTCATGCATAAATAGTTAGTAATCCTATTGTATTGAAAGACACCCTATTGTGTTTTTGTTGTAAACAGTGAATGACCTTCTCCATTCATTGACAGATTGAGGTACTTCCACAAACCAGACCCCCTCTGAATTTACCTTTATTGTTTAGTATTGACACTATTTTATAATTCAAACATGAAATAAGAGAGGGTCCTAAGTGTGGAAGATACACAATATGAAAGTATAGCAAAAATTTTAGTTTTAAAAAGGAGGCCATATTGAAATTGCCATTATAGTCAAGAATCCATTCTGCCTTGAATGTATTGCTTGAGGTAGATGCAACACAAAACCTTCTACGAAAATAGAAAATCTTATTTGGAAAGACATTCTGAACTGAACCTTGCAACAAACTCTGTCATTTACTATAACGATTGTGTCAACGTATAACGCCACAGAGACATCCAACCCGGGTTCCCATAGATAATTCTGAACACCATGTTCAATCCTCTAAACAGACGTGTATTCAAAGGAAACATGTGTCATTTGCAATAAAGCAATTAAATCACCGGTAACTTAAAATATGTTTTTCAAAAATCTGTTCATGGGGTATACTATTAGAACATGTGATATGTAAGCAATGAGCCTGATAATCAAAAAAATATGTTTCGTATAGTCATTTGTTTGAATGGATATTGCTTGTTAAAGTGTTCATATGAAATAAACTAAGACCATTATGTCATCTATCATTGTTTTAATTTCTTTGACAATGCCAAATGAAAACATAATGCAATGGAAAGTCTCAAATAGACTTAGCTTGAATTTAGGTTTTGTATTTTCAACTGTTGCTCTTTGTGTTCTACCTATCTTTGTGTTCTATCTTTAATGATGTTTTGACATATATAATAGTATCTAGGTTGAATACCTAGATTAAAGCTACAGTATTCACAATAAGGGTGATCATGGTACTAACATGGTACTTGTTCAGAACACATTTAACAAGGTTCATTTTACCATATGATATATTATTTTAGGGGATTATTTTATGATTTGTGTTTTCAGTATAGTCATTTGACATATATAATAGTATCTAGGTTGAATACCTAGATTAAAGCTACAGTATTCACAATAATGGTGATCATGGTACTAACATGGTACTTGTTCAGAACACATTTAACAAGGTTCATTTTACCATATGATATATTATTTTAGGGTTTATTTTATGATTTGTGTTTTCAGTATGTTGCCATTTGTGTCCACCTTAATGATATTTTAATATACCCTATAGGTTGAATGCCTACTGTATATCAACTGAAGTGATCATGGTACTATTGTTCAGAACAACTTTTATTAAGGTTCATTTTTTCAAAAGATATATAAGTTTTTAGTTTTTTTTTAAATATGTGTTTTCAGTATGTTGCCCTTTGTGCTCTACCTTAACGAAGTTCTGATATATCGATTGAGGAATGGTCAACATACTTAAAATGATCATGATTGAAGACTAACATACCCCTAAATGATATTTAGAATGATTTGTGTTGTCAAACTTAAATGCACTGAATGACCTTAGTTTTAATCCAAATGACCTAATTTCATTTTTGATGAGTTCATAATTGATAAAAGTAACTATTTCCATATTATTTTCAATGAAACCTTTGGGGGCACCTTCAGGTACATTAGGTAACGGATCCTTTTATATGCTGATGCTTTCGGGACGTACGACTCTGTTCAAGAAGGAATTTCAAGATGGCTGTCGAATTCAAAATGGCTGATATGACCGCTCAATTCAAAATGACCGATGTAAGGGGGAAGGACCTCTGAAGGTACTTTCAATATGGCTGCTCATTCCAAAATGACCGCCATTTTTCACAATAAATGTAATGGTTGATGTTTTAGGGACATATTACATGACTCTGCTCTAGAAGGATTTTTCAAGGTGGCTACTCATTCAAAATGGCTGTTTATTCAAAATGGCTGCCATTTGATATGAAAAAATACCAGTTATAGGATTTGGTACAAACTTTATTTCTATCATGTTTTTTGTACGGTGGGATTTGCTACTCCGTAGAGTTGCTGTTTTCTAGTTTTACAATAAAATGAATACTCAAAGAGGACGGATCTTGCGATCCCACCCTGTGAAATTGACCTCAATCGCATGTCATCGATGAAGAATTTTCGAAAAGGAGGCAAAGCTTCTGTCATCTGTTTATTATTTGCATCATACATATTGTTTAAAATGATTACGGATTTCATGAAATATTAGTTTTAAGTGGTGATCTGAGTCTGGAGATTCTTTTCGGATTTAATCTTAAGCCAAATGATCATATTATTTTCTAGTTATAGCACTCATCACAGATGAGCATGGAAACCTGTTTATTTGCATCTGTGTTAAATATTCGTCTATTCTTGAAATTATAGGCAAAAGTGATAAAAAAAAGTTGTTAGGTATTAGTTTGTATGAACTGGTCATTCGAACCTGCTTGCAATGATTGAAATTTGTTTTGTTTAGGCTAAGTTGTCACTGGAATTCATACGAGTTACGCTTTGATAACCATGGGTCCTTTAAAAATATGAATATTCAAACCACCTTTTATATGAAACGATTCAAAATGACCTTAGATGGTTAAAATTGAAATCTTCAACATTCTATAGCCAGTTCAAAACTGAATTCATACGAAATTAATGAACCTATAAGTGTACACCCTATTAACATCTACCTTTTAGAAAAATTCCAATTGATTTCGAAATAGCACACCTTCTCATGATAACTGTTTTTCCTACTGAGTTGACTTAATATTATTTCTTGGCATTGTTATACATGTAATTTACTAAAAAAAACTGTCATTATCATTCAGTTTTGGCAAGCAAAATCTGGTTTAAAACCCAAGTTATGTGTGTGCAACTATGTAAGTAAGCTATGTATGTTAACTCACGCTGCTATAGGCAAGAAGATTTACCGGGAGTTGAGGTCCATCAAAAACCGCCATACATAATTAGTACATGTATTTGCATCACTTTGGACAATAAACCCTTGCTAGTTTATCAGACTGGACTAAAGTCGGGTTTCAGGACTTGAATTACTAGGATCGTGTTTATAACATTGAGGTGAAATTAATATGGCGGGTGTAGCGGTACATGATATTAGTTTCCGAGGTTTGGCGGGAGCGATCTTTGGAGTGCTTGCGGTGGCGTTGATCCTACTTGTCGTTGGATTGGCATCCGCGGGCTGGAATATCACCTACAACGAGAATGGGACCAGTCGAAACGTCGGATTGTGGGAGACTTGCGTCTGTACCTCAAATAATGACGTAGGTAGGTGAAATCTTGGATTTGTGTGAATTTAGATCATGTAGATATAGGTATAAGGTAGGCAAAAAGATTTTTGATGGGGCAGACAGATGGGGTTCCATGGCCTTCAAAGTCTCACAAGATCTTTCACAATATCTTATGTGGCAAAATTCCATGAAGTCACACGGGCCGAAGTCAGAGGGAGTTCCACGAGGTCCTATGGGGCAAAATCTCATGGTGTCCGATTGGCTGTAGTCTCATGGAGTTCTAAGAGGTCCTATAACGGGTTAGTGACATGAAGTCTAATGGGCCGAAGTCTCATGGAGTTCCATAGGGTCATATGGGGCAAAGTCTGCTGAAGCCCTACATGTACGAGCCGAACTCTTATGGTGTCTCGTAGAATCCAATAGGCCCGCCCATAGGGCAAAGACCCACGAGGTCCCATTCAGTTTTAGTCGACTGACGTCACCCGAAGGAAAATGTTTGTAGTTGGGTAAGAAAGGAACAGTAAAATATTTTATTCTCAGCGCTTCCACTACAACAGGGTGCAGGCCCATAGCCAGGATTTGCCAAAAGGAGAGTTCACTTTTTAAGAAATTACAAAAGGGGTTCACTTTTGGCAACTTTGGCCAGAAATGGCCAAAATAACTTGTAAAGTGCTCAGAATGGTGAAAAACTGCATGATTTTCAAAGAATTTTTGGACAGGGGGAGCTTATTCACGGCGTAAATACAAACGTTATTAACAATTTGAAATAGCAAATGGGTCAGGGCTAAATCAACGTCGGAAAGTGTGGCATTAAGCCAAATGGACATCCATCCCTATCACCAAACTGTACATTTACTTGGATCCCAGCCAATGTGCGCTCGGTGACTCGGTTTCTCTTTTCTATACTATACTATTGGGTATCATTGCCTTTATCAAAATTCAGTTTCTGTGTACATACTGGTATATCAGCTGGGTATATAGATAGGTGGCAGTTGTTTGTAGGTCTAATCCGAATAGTCTCACAGGTGTTCACTTAATGTAAACCTTTAATTGGGATATCTTTTTTAACATTTGGTATAGCAATGGACCCAAGTTTTAGGATCTGGTATGCGAATGACTCAAATAATATATATATCTTATGGGATATGACAATGGTTGGATTGTCCCACTTTCTGGTATGAGAATGGAGTAGTTGTGTGTAATTTGAGTGTTTTGAATTGTTTAATTTCTCTCTTAATTTCTCAGATATCTGGTCATATACTTTAATAATATAATATAAAAATTGGTGGACATTGGGTATGGCTTTGGGGTGTTATTTACATGTAACTGCCAACAATATTATTTAAATAGTTGGTATGGGAACATGTTGAAATTTGACATTTTATAAGGGAACATAAGCTTACTGATAGGATGAAGATTCAGCTACCTCGGACCCCCGTCAAAGTTTGTATACAGTGAGCCCCCAGGGATACTCTATACAAAAAACCACATGATCTTTGAATTATCAATTCATGTAAAACTCTAGCTATATAAATTGGCATAAGACTTGATTTCTACTCTAGTAGTCTGTCTTGTTGATACCCTAGCATCTGGCTCAGGTATAACCCCACACGTCATCTCACTCAGTCAAACAGCCATTTATCTCGTTCCACTCTTCCCCTTTTTCTAGTCACACGCGCTTTTTCACTCTCCAATTTTATTAATACCCACCGTTACCCCCGTGAGCCTTGAATTACATGTACTTATTACTCATTCCTCAATGTTTCACACTCCGATGACTTTTCCCAGAATACTATACTCAAAATCCTTGAAATTCGGCAAAAAAAGAAAATGTCTACACTGTATATTTTAGCTTTTGAAGTTGCAGAGAACTTTGTTTTCAATTGTAAACGGGTCAGCATCAACCGCCTCTTTAATGTTATCTCGAAACATGTAGTAAAAAGATTTATGGTTCTATTTGCATAGACAAGAGCCTTGTTTGATTGGTGCTATCAAAAATTAAACATAAGTAGGGGCAGAGGAATGTTTATGATTAGTGCGGGCGGGTATTAGTTGAGAAGGGTGTGGAAGAACTTAAAAGTACAGATTTCAGTGGATTTAGACCTAACTGGCAGAAGCTTACTGTTATTTTCCAAATCAGTAAGATGGCTGGCGTAGCGGTACATGATATCAGTTTTCGGGGTTTGGCGGGGGCAATCTTTGGCGCTCTTGGAGTTGCTCTAGTCCTTCTTGTCGTCGGATTTTCATCAACTGGTTGGAACATAGTCAATAATGTTCATACTGGTCTATGGGAACAATGCGTATGTGCTTCCTTCAGTAATGCCGGTGAGTTGAAAATCGTAAATGGCAGGTACAATCTTATATTAAGAACCATTCACATGACTTGTCCAACTCTGCTTGGCTTCTTATTAATGACAAAATTGCATATTTTAGGGTTATTTGCTGGCAAAACTCCATATTAGATGAATTTCATGTTTTCCAAAAACGTGAAGAAAAATCAAATGTATCAGGCGGCCACATTTTTTTGTTTATTCTATTTTTGGTAAAAAAAATAAAACAATATAACTTTTTACGTTTTTGGCATTTCAAAGTGGCCAAATATTCACAGTTAAGTGTGTATTTGTGCAAATGAGAATTGTTTCTATTGCTTCTAGCTTGATAATTCCTCTTGTAAATGCCCCATTGGTACACTGCATAAGGGACATATTTATATCACTCGCTATCATATCTCCAACTCTAAGCTTGAAATGTGCTAGATCTTGTAAAAGGGGCATCACATCATAAAAGTAAATTCACCATTTAGAATTTTACTCACTTCAAGGTTTCTAAAAACATATATTTGTTTTACCTTGGTAGTTATACGATGCGTTAATGTTCTGAAATATTGTCAGTTTCATCGAATGCTTCGATTTGAAATTGATTGGCAGTGAATTCGAAAAGTGGACGTATCCAATTCGAATTTAATTTCATTTGGGTATTTCTACATTTTAAAATAATTTCCACATTTGACAAGCTATCTTAATTTTTATTGAAATTGTATTAAAATTGGGATTGTAATACAGGAACGCATCGCCATGTTTAAAAATATTGTTTACTACGGAGCAACTCTCGAGTCTTATGTCATACACCAGGGTGATCCCCCTTGGGTTGGCCCAGAGAAAAATTTGGGCCCAACAGTTTTGTAGGACCTCAATTAGTGGGCCCTTTTGGGCATTACTTGGCCTTTTGGGCCTTTTTAAGCCGAATTATCAAAAATGGCCCTCGAATTTTAAAGGAGTGGTATCGATATGGAGAACTGAATTCAACAATGTTTTTCTCTTAACCAATCATTGAAAACATTCTGTAAAAACACGGTATTTTATGTAATGTTGACTGATTGACAACACTTCAATGCGAAAATTATTTAGAAATATTTTATATAACTGTTTTTGTAAACATTTTTTGTTTTTTTTAGTGCAATTGTTTTTGCTCCTTTCTACCAATTCTTAAGAATGAAATAAAATGTCTTTCCGAACCTTGTTGGAACAAAATAGCATAGGCTATACAACATGTTTTTAGGCCTCTCAATATTATATTATACAAAGGAATTTTTGGTTAATTTTAAAAAAGTATTCAAAAAATAAAACAAAGTCCCCCCAAAATAGATTAAAATCAAGATAAACCTTTTATTTCATTAACAAGATACTTTTTTAAAATCAACCCTTTGTACAATTACAATATTGAGAGACCAAAACATGTTGTAGATTTTTTATGACTGGTTTAAGAGAAACGTTTGTTCAAAAAGTTCTCCATATCGATACCACTCCTTTATAGAAAAAACGAGTACATAAATTATAGAAACGTATTGAAACGAAAAACAAAAGACATGTTGTATCTGGGGTTTGATGATGTAGGCCTACGCAAAATGCATATTTGCCAGTTTACAATGATTATAATACTGTAGTAGGGTGTGATTTGCCTCAAGCCAATGCATTCCAAAATTAATTATGTCGAATATGTTACTGCTTTGTTTTTGATAGTGGGTGATTTATTGCCTTTTTGAAGCACTGGATGCACGAGAATGTTCATGAATTCAATAAGGCCGTTCGAAGAAAAATGTAGTTTTCAATCAAAGAACTCCAATATGAAGTTATAATCTTAGATCACAATTTGGGGATATTAATTGTCATTTCAGTTGGTTATATGTAATACAGTATCTGGCCACTTCAAATTTTCTTTTTTTGAACGTGAGCTCCTGTATTATTTTGGCATGAAGATAGGGAAATAATTTGTTAGTGATTGCAATCGAAAATATAATGTCAGAGAAGCTAAAGTACATATATCTTGCTCGCCGAATCTAGTTATAAACTGTCAAAGAAGACGAAGGTGCAAGCGAAGTCAAACGAATTCATTTAGGGTACAAACACTGGTCCCTTTACAACAAAACCGATGAACTTCCGTTGGGGAAATTTGTATTTTCATCATTTTCACCAAGGAGGTCGATTTGGATCAAAATATTTTACCCGTATGTCAAAAGTAACATCCGGTTACTGAAAATAGAGTCAGCCTCAAGCAAATATATCCAGCAGCTCCAATAAGCGAGTCAGAATTCCTCACTTCAGCAACCAGGACCTTATCTGGTGAATTTTATAACGTCTAGGTTGCTTTGTGTTATGGCCGATTGCTGAAGTGAGGAATTCTCCCGGGAATTCTAACTCGAATGAATATTGGAGCCTTTGGATGTATATCCTCGACTGATTCGCTTTAAAGTAACCAGATGCTTCTATTAACGTAAGGATGAAACAGTTGGATACAAATCGACGTCATTCTTGGTGAAAATGATGAAAATACAAATTTCCTCTTATGGAAGTTCATCCATACAGGTGGGGATCAGTGACAGAGAAGCATGAACACACATTGTCTTCAATACACTTCTCAATTAGAATGGAGGGAATTGATAAATTTAAAGATGTAGTTCAAACGCTTATCAAATTACATGCGTGTCCTATCTTAATAAAATCCTTATACTATAAACATATCACATAAATAAATAAAAAATAAATAAAAAATTCTGTTATTTAGTAAAGCATAATAGAAAATTGCCTATATTTGCTTCATTTATTGTACCTGTTGACCTCTGAAATCCAAATACATCATCGAAGGGAGGGGGTTTCTGCCTCGTTTTGGAATTGCTTGAGTTTGCAAAACACATATATTTTTATGATAAATTGCCAAAATCACAAAATTGACTTTGGCAAAAGACTGATAGGAATAAAATTCACACGGGAAGAACACTACATGTTGATATTAGCTAACGCTTTCTCACGGTACTCCAAGTTTCAATAAGTTTCGCTTTAATATCTTAAACATTTTATGACTCCTGTTAATTATTTTGTGATATCAAAACTCTAATGAAAAATGAAGTTCAATTACAAAACAAATCCATAAATTTGATCAAATCAAAAGTTCCCAGGATTGTCTAAGGTGTGATCTTGACCTCATTCAAAATTCAATTAATTAATATTGAACTATTCTGATTAATTGGGCTCTTCTAAAAGAAAGTACTCTCTTAAAGATATACCAGATAGTGGAAGATGTTTATCCTTTTTGCCCAATAGCTGTGATACAGTGTCATGACATTTACAAATATATTGGAATGACAAAAATTAAGACTAGCAGGAGATGGCATCCTCCCGAGGGGCTTCTCTTTCGGGACATCACGTGATTATTGTTGTGCTACAACTCAAGGAGGATTGGAAGCCAGGGTTCCAACTCGATATTCTTTAATCTCCACGCATGCGGCATTTGCTATTCGTGTCTGTATAATTTGTACGACTGCATGGAGAATGACCCGATACTCTCCAACAAAGCTATCGCTAGGTGATTGTTTTGCAGAATATCGGTGTTGCATTCTGGGAGCCAATCCTCCTTGGCTACAACTTAACTGGGGCATCACGTGGTCTCACGAGACAAACCGACCATAAAATTTAACTGAAATACTAATTCAATACAGTATTTGCTTTGAGTTATTCAGCACTAGTACTTAAGATGGTAAATGATGAAAAGTAAAATTACAATTCTGTCCATTTACTTCAGAGTGATTATCATGGCATTCCAATATGGCCTCCAGAAAATCAACTTCCGGTGATGACTTCCGGTTGACAAACAAAGTTATGGAGGGGGTTGTATAAAATGAATCAAATTTATTAATTAAAACAGTTTCATCTATTTAATTTATTTGAATGGTTTACCATCGGAGGCCTGAGGAATAGTCAAATGAAGTTTGGATAGTTACAGTAAAACTGATTTGTAGACTCCTTGTAGGCCTTTATTGGTTAGGAACACCGAAAATAAAGAAGAAAACAGAACTTGATTTATTTTGGTGATATGGTCGTCCTGTTTAACAATTCAAATAACAATATTCTATCAAACTGAAATAGTACATAGATGACCCCGAGTAGATGACCTTAGTTGATATATTCAAATAAAGTCCCGTTTCAACCAGAAAACTACCTCTTGAATCAACATGCGACCTTTAATAGTGATATATGGCTTTTGACATAAAAATGTTCCTCTCTCTCAAGTAGTAAATCATTTTCGATTACTTTGGATGACGAATTTTCAGATTCAAATTTTGATTTCCTATTGATGCCTATGTACTCAAGGCGCTAGAGTTCATATCATAAAAAGCCACTTCAGAAAAACATTTCACTATTCGCCTTGATGATAGTTTACGACTCCATTAATAGTGACCAAATATATTAACCGATTTCGGTTGTTAATATAAAACCGATTGTAAAATGTTTTTTTTTTTTTTTCAGCGGATTGGCATAAGGCTACTCAGGCCATGATTACGATTGGACTGATCTTCCTGGTGTTCTGTTGTATATGCGTGTTCATCTATATGTGCATCCATACCCTTAGTAAGAACAAGACCATCATGGCGCTCACTGCCCTCTGCTTCCTCACAGGTAGGTTAGATATCATAGTGGGTGCGCATGCGCAAGTGTACATTTTATTTTCTCTCCCCTGTCTCAATTCTTGAATTTCTATTTCCCAATATAAAACCATTTTTATCATCAGTTAGTTTAGATTTTAGTTGTATTTCTCAAATTTACATCCATGATTTAATTGGTTTGTGAATATTCTACTTGAATCTTCACAACTTCTTTGTCCATTTCTGTGAAGTCAATTTTTTGTTTCTTTTATAACCATGATTTTCAAATGGCATGTGTTAATAAAATGACCTACCATATCAAGCTCGAGATGAAAATAACCCCGTCCCTAGAACAGAATTCCCAAGAATATATTCATGAATGGATAACCATAATTTAAAACTTTCCCTTTTAAAGATTTATTCTTGCCTAAGTCAAACATAAATTACAATTTAGAACAGCCTGTGAAAAATAATCTTTAATATAATGTGAATGTTATAATGTTTTATATGGATTTCAAAATCAATAATAAAAATTCAATAAACCGTATAAGAAAAAATATTTATAATAGATACATATATTTGACTTTTCGATATTTTGAAGTTGTCAACGAATTTTATGCACGTTATCAGCAAACTTTTTTTTATAATCGACCAAAGCCATGTTCTAAAAATAAGTTGTCAGACAATACTATATTTATTTTAAAATACCATAAAAACCTCAGGATAAAAACTGTAATTTGTTTTTACATACATATATTTCTGCCTCTGTATTACTGCAAGGGTAGTTACTGTTGATACGTCAATAAGCCTCTTGTTTAGCTTGAATCACAATAAATCGTGGTCTTGAACTATAGCCTTCCTATGGCAGTTCTTAGTTTCCTTTGGTTAAAATTTAATTTTGAGTTCATATATTTTGTTTGAAGGACCTGTGCATTTTACAATTCTTTACCGAGTCACGATCGAAAAGTTGTTGGAAGTAAATTCAAATAGCCTCATTGTATATTATCAACTCAACATTTTCTCTGTTTTATATAATCGACGATTTTCAGTTTTGACCCGATGTTGCTGTTAAATCAAATAGGTTCACTTGAGCGCCATCTATCTCAGTACCGAGAATTCCTAGATTCTATATGTCATCTCAAAATACAACTGAACACAGTTTTTAACGGACGAGCTGCAATAATGCAGCGCAACCTTATATGTATATCGTTACCCAGTTTTAAACACGTTTTTTCTCTTTTAGCTCTGTTCCTACTCATCGGAATCATCATCTGGGGAGTAAAGATGCCCAGCAACCTCCATTGGTCGTTTGCGCTGACCATCATTGCTATGCTAACGACAATCGTCGCAGGGGTCCTTTCAATTGTCCAAATGAGGAAGGCGGGGGTCGACCCATAAATCCATGGATTAGACTTTTGTTTTGGGTTTAATTCCAGGATTAAATCCATATTAGTATAGTCATGGGCATTCAATAAAAGACCATGGTATAGTACTAAGAACTAAAATTCTCATTAACCAAGTATAGCAAAACAGTATGTACATGACTATAGGCTATTGTAAATTGCTGTATATAATTATTGTATTCGAATGGGTATACCCAAAATCATTGGATATAATATCCTTGAAAGGGTATAGTTCAACTTTTTAATCATACGCTTTATTAAACACATTTACGTTTAATGAGTTGGTATATCTACACACTTTTGTGATCGTTTTCTCAGGTTTTATTTTGATTCAAAGTGGACAATTATTCTTTGCATTTTTTCGATTTCAAAAAGCAATGAGCGATATTTTCAAACTTTCAAACGAAAATTACAGACAATAATGTTGATATAAAAAGTCTGTTGATGGTAAAGGATATATGATCATGTATATAATAATATGAATTTCAGATATTTTGGGTTATCTAAGATAATACTTTTAACAAAAATCTATCAAGAATACACTTGAGGATTTTTGATATTATTTTGTATCAACTCAAATGCACTTTCCTTTTTGAGCTTATCATTGCTGGGACATTTCTGTCATTTCGTTCATAGCAAATATATGCTTGATCTACTCAATCTCTGAGCAAGTCGTTCAGAGCCAGGAACGCACCGAACGTACTGCTACTAAACGCATCGAACTGAACTGATTGTGGCTTGGTAACAATCGTTACGTTATTTATTGTATCTCATACTTTAATATTGTATAGTGTTTTGTACTTTGAAATACACACTCTTTTCAATCTATATGTTTGTTTATTAATTTTGTTTGTTTGGACCAAATTGAATGTCCGGGGATTCACTTCAAATAATTTGGGTAGGTATCTGTAGCACGTTCAATTTTGACTTTCAGCATAAAATGGAAATTGGTCAATCTGAGAGGAAAAAACATGGAAAACTGTCTACGAAAGTACCCTTTTTAAGTCGAAATTCAGTTTTTCTACAGAAAATTGTATTAGATTCATTAAATCAGTTGCTGAGACCTGGAACAAATCACTAGAAAAGTTGATTTTTAGTCATTTATTAGTTTCAGAGGAATTAAACATCGAAACCTTCAATCTTGAGAGAAAACTGACATGTAAAATATGCTCAAAAAGGAGGTCTTTGGGGTGGCACATAGGTATTAAGAAATATATTGGAGTGAAACCCCCGGGATTGAATGCTACAATATGATCACGACCTTTATTATTTTGTCAAACAGAGATGTACACTCCCCTCCATAAGTTTGGCAACCTTAGCTCCCCCATTAAACTACGTGTTAAAGCCTCTTTACCTTTGAATTTTTATTTACTTAACCCACGATGAAAATATTTATATTATTGAATGAAACGTAATTTGACTTTATTTCCAATTCCTCCAAATTTTCTCAATTTTTTTCCTCACTTACAACAAGTCGAAAATTTATGATAATTTTTTGAAATTCGACATTCGCATGTTAACCAATGGGAAATGGTAGGTTTGCCGCAAGTCATATGACAGAATATATCCCTCCATCTGAGTCCTTGCAAAAATACGAGTGAGGCAGGCAAGGCAATTGAATTTGTTAACTTTATTTAACGAAAAATTGATTTGTTTCTTCAGGTTCAACAAACTTATACGGCTTTAAAGTCAAAATTGTTTTTCAAAAAACCTCTCCAATTGAAATAACACAGGAGGCGAAAAATTATTTTCAAAAATGACTTTGAAGCGCTGTAACTTTAGTATTCATCAAATAAACTAAACACTTAGTGTACAAAAAAGTTAGACAATTCAAATTTCTATAAAAAATATTTTTGCTGAATCTTTTACTGAAAAGATATCCTGATATCTGATTTGCCCCGAACCCTCCATTTCCCATTGGCTTACATGGGAATGACGATTTACAAAAATTCATCAAATTTATCATCAATTTTCGACCTCTTGTAATTGGGGGAAAAAATTGAGAAAATCTGGAGGTATTGGAAATAAAGTCAAGTTACGTTTCCATCAATATTATAAGTTATTTCATCGTTGGTTAAGTAAAAAAATCAAACGTAAAGAGGCTTTAACACGAAGTCCAATGGGGGAGCTAAGGTTGCCAAACTTATTGTGGGGAGTGCATGATACTGTAAACGGTCATGTTATGTCAATATGATGCGGTTACTGAACACCTTAGCTCCTAACTCTCATTACGTTGTACGGCATTACCGCATATCAGTTATCTTGTAATCTGGAAAACCAAAATCCCACTAGGCCTTCCCTTAAGCATTGGAAGATATCGTTGAACTGGAGTACCTGAGCATAGTATATGAACAAATTATCATACTCCAGAGTTCTCATGTCATATACGCCTGGTTTAGTTCAAATAGCAAATATTAATTCGATGAAAACTAAAAATATCGAAATCTACCATTACCGTCCGCCATCATTAATGCGAAAGTTACGGCCATAACCTTCACTTGATACTGACCAGAGAACACAGTGAACTGCCATCTATAAAAGTCTTGGCTCACATTTTATTCATCAAATTGATATCGATGGTATCGTATCGTAACTCCTATTGAATGTACAGACTACGGATTTATCGAAGTGTTTACACATTTATTTAGTTTGTTTTATAAAGTTTAGATTTGAATTACCAAAATAATTAGAATATTTTACACCTTAAAATTTATACATTTTGTATATTACAGTATTTAGTCAAAATATCTCTACATTGAGTTATACCTGTACTCTTGATGATTTTTTGCTAAAATCGTCTTTGTAATATCTCATTTTCTGTGACCAACCAGAAATACACACTATTAGATTATTTATTTCATGGACATTTCAAGGTGACATTATTTCGTACTTTTTGGGGTATGGGGGCCTAAATTCTCATTCAACTTTCTTCGACTCTAAGAAATCAACATCTTGTTGGAAATTTCATCCAAGACACATACCGAACTGAAAATCTTCCTAAAATAACTATTCAAAACTGTTTTTTTTGTCAATGAGCATTTCCCCCAAAACAAGGTGAACCTTATTTACTTTTTTATTTTGACAATATTTAAATAACTACGAACATCAAATAAAGGAGAAATGAAATTCTTGAGATTTCAATATAAAATCAATAAATGAAAATGCATACAATTCATCACTCTATTCGACGATTCTATTAATTGTAACGGAGAATACAGTTGCAATGTGGTTCATGTATTCAGTATATAGAGGACATTGGGGTATACCTGTGCCAGTAAGAAATGGTGGTGAAATATAAATGAAATGAGAGGTCTACGTACACTGCTTGAAAATAGTCAAGCATATTTGGAATGACTAGACACATGAATAAGACATGAAATACTGGATTATAACCGCTTGGTGGAATTGACACATCTTTCAGCCTTTCAATACATTTTGATTTTAAAGTTTTCAGTCGATCCAATTTGTTATCACCACCCTGGAAGGCGAACATATGGCTCGAATAATTAGGCACCGAATTCGGTCTTTTATGATCGGGCTCTGCATGGTTACATTCTTGATGGTCTTGTATCTTGGGACGAGTCGCAACACATATTTAGGAGAATCAAATGGTAGATTTTGGTGATGTATTACTCTCTTTATTATTTCATTAAATGATATATTAGATATATATCATTTATTCATCTAGGCTAGTGACATAATATATTTTACCTTGAAGTACATTATAAACCCTTACTATTGATTCACACTATAAATATGCCATATCTCATATATGGATATGATTCCTAAGTAAGGTTCCCAGGATACCAAAATTATCAATTCGACATTTAAGAAAACAAGGACCCTACCTAAATGCATTTTCCAGAATGTTAGACAAATGAGGGTCTCTAACAAAATTAGACTGTGTATGGTCAGAATAGTCATGATCAAAGGTGACGAAAATAATTTGCAATTGTCATACCTGTACTTTGTGTATTCAAGCTTATACCATGGTAAGGAAAGTCTTAACTATAGATTCATCAGTACACGAGCAACTTCAAATGGTCAATCCCCTCCCCAAAAAACAATTAGGGTTTGTAATTTCCGAACTATACAACCATTTACATTTACGTGCAAATACACTGCCTTTTAAAAGCTTGGTAACCTTGACTCCACATCAGATAGATATCGTCCCATTATTTCCACATTGTTACAATTGCATTTTAGCTGATCATATTGAGAAATCAGAGGTGGATTTCTCCAAAAGGAGATTAGATCCATTGAAATGGAGCCCAAAAATGAATTCCTCGTGAAAAATTGAGGAAGATAGTATACTTACCGGGCCCGTAGCCAGGATTTGCCAAGGGGGGTCACTTTTTAAAAAATTCCAGGGGGTTCACTTGTGACAATTTTGGTCCAAAAATGCCAAAATCACTTAAAAAGTGCTCAGAATGGTGAAAAACTGCATGATTTTGAAAGATTCTTTGGTCAGGAGGGGGGGGGGGGTTTCGCTCGAACCCATCGAACGCTCTCCTGCTGGCTTCGGGCCTACTTACTTTAAAACCTGTAAAAGGTGAGTTATAACAATGTGGAAATAATGGGACGATAAATTTATGCTTGGATTTGAATATTTTTATTTCTTTTTACGTGTGTTTCAATAGTGGAGTTGGCATGGCCAAACATTCGAATATGAGTGTAAGTCTTCTGAATTCTAGGTAACTTTTAATTACTTTTCATTGTAGATGTAAAAAGAGATGTACTCGTATCATCGCTTGTCTTTGAAGAATTAATGGCTCAGCCGGAGCCAGCTACCCCAGACTCTAACATCCTGCTGTACAATGGTCTCTCTACTTGCGGCTCGAATGGATTCAATGAGAACCTAAAAGCATTGTCTAAACCAAATGGATTTAGATTTATCCGTCAGGAAAGCAGGGGCATGAAACTCGTCAAAAAGGTAAGTGCTAAGTTTAGAGATACCGTAACTTTAAACTCAACGTTTCAATGGACCATAACCTGTATTAGCTATGGCAGGTCAAAACCGGAGAGTTTCCAATGTCAATTTTATGCTGGTCTCAAATCATGATATCAGAAAGAATACGAATATAAGAATCATTATCCTATGCCAAGTACAGTTTTAGGGAGATAAGTTGGTAAGATATATCCCGTATCCTGATTTTGAGGTTTCCATATACTGAACCTCCATATCTCCCGCCATATCTCCCGCTCCAGGGCATATCTTCCCGCTTCGTAAAAAAATGAAAAAATAAGAAAAATTGAAAAAAAAGAAAAAATGTGAAAAAAAATAAAAATAAAGAAAAATTTCAAAAAAGAAAAAAATAGAAAAATAGAAAAATTGAAAAAAAAGAAAAATGTGAAAAAATTGAAAAAATAAAAAAAGTGAAAAAAAATTGAAAGAAAATTAGAAAACTCTCCTTGGTATAGGATAAAGCAGTTATGTACGGTCGGTTTGGATATTGGGTTCATCCCTCGTGAGATATGCACATCTACCTTCGGTCCCTATGGTCCCTCAGGTAGATATGCATATCTCCCTCTGGATAAACCCCATATCCAAAACCTCCCAGTACATAACCCTTATATACAATACAAACACGTACACAGTCGCTCATCTGCAGGAAAAATATGATGATCGCACGGGTACAGATAGCAGAATTACAAAACCAAGGTACACGAGGCGTGTGGTCACCCGGGGGGTTACTGATTTTCTTTTTGGGACAATCCATCGTCTGTTCCGGTGCCTGTGAAAATGGGAGTCCACCAAGAGCAACATTGAAATTATGATTAATACAGTTTTAAGCTTTAAATTAATGAAATGATTATGCAGAAAACTTTTAGTGGTATGATTTCAGCCTAAATACTACATTGAGGAATTGTACACAGAATCAAGTGAAAGACCAATTGCAAAATATCACGATGTCTTCTTTCTCAACTTTAACAGGTAGTGTATAATTTTATACAATTTCGCTGTTAATGATGTCATGATAATACCGAAACAAATGGCAAGATATTGCAGATTGTGATTCTAGTCCATCCTCCGAACGCAGGGATTCAAACATCATCCACTCTGCGGTGTTTTTTCCCCTTCCCTTGTTTGGAGCCCCGCTTTCGGAAGGTAGTTTTAATCGAAAGTTATAGATAGTAGATAGATCGCTGATGATATTTATATCACGTGGGTGGTACTTTTGAGCCAATCAAATTCCTTGAAGAATCTTCAGTCATTTTCGGCTGCGAACAAACATCGTTGCCAAACTTTTTTTAAAGAGGAGTAAAAGTATAAAACATGAAGAACTTTTAAGAGGTCGTGACAAGTACATGGCCAAAAAGAATCTCAAACTATAAAAAATATGTGTTTTTATTTTCTGATTTTTCCTGCAATTTAACAATGAATACTTTCTTTATTCAAGCTACAACTACAGTAATCCAATTTACGTCAACATCGCCCGTGAACCATACAACAGAGCCGAAGCATTGTACTCTTATAAGCGACGCCTGTGCAAGAAGGAGCATCGATTCTGCACCATATATTCGAATGAAATGCTACATCTGGTAAAGTCCCTTCAATTATTGAAAGACCTTGGCAAATTATATTGTATACACTCCCCTCCATAAGTTTGGCAACCCTAACTCCTAACTGAATGAAACAAAATATAGTATCCAATTATGAAAGTCTCATGACAATGATGCAATTTTAAACTGAAAAATAAAAGGAGTGGTATCGATATGGAGAACTTTTTGAACACACGTTTCTCTTCAACCAGTCATAAAAAAATCTAAAAATTTAACAATTTAATTCAATTTATGGTCATCTTTTGAATGGTAACAATATAATTTGAAAAATATACATAAACTTTCATCTATATTGTTTTAGAAAATGCATCAAACACTTGTTTTGTTCTTGGTATCATCTTTCCAGAGTGAAATGAAACATCTTTATTTTCATTCAAAAGTGCAGTTGCATTTTTCGGTAGTTAGAGCGTGGTTCATACTTATAGTGCAAGCGGAGAGATGTTATTGACATGTTATCTGATTTTTTCAGACGTTTGAGCAATGCCTAAAAACGTGGAAAAACGCAACTTACATATGTGGAGACTTTTACAAATCAACTATGCATACATTTTGTGGACACAATAAAATTTGCCAGTAAGTTAATCATGGAATAATTAAATATACCAATCTATGTTATTTAGGTTGAAATACTCAGTGGTATATATCATTCCGTCGTCAGATTCCCCAACGATATGTTCAGATATAGAGTCGTGTTTATATTCACCCGACGATTCACGAGACCATTCACCAATGTGCTTTCTAATATGATCGGTTGTGTTTTCATTGATCCCCTTCTTTCCGATTTAACCAATTTTGATTTTCCTTTGTCATTATGCTTATTGCTCTTAGCTCGGACACAAGGAAATGCAAATGCAGTAATGAAAGGCGCATAACCTTGTTTCAATCAAGTCCTACACCGAAATAAAGATAGCAGTAGGGAAGGTCATATTTATTTAATTAAACAATCTTTTTTGAACATTATTACTATCCTATCACCATTGCTGTGCTTCTTTTAGAGATGACAAAATGCCGGACTTTGGGGTCCAGCTAGCCAAGGCTAATATTGCAAGGCACTATAAATTCGTAGGACTTTATGAAGAGTACCGCACGAGTATGATTGCTCTGGAGGAAATTATTCCAACATATTTTGTTGGAACGTCAAGTAGATATAGACGTAAGTAAACCCGATACCTTAAAATACGTTCAACGTGAAATGTGAAACGTGTTGCGTGGTAAGGTAGTTAGTGTCTTTTGCATGTTTTTGTCTAACATTTTGCTAATTATTTAGTAAACTATGATGACAATGATACAAAAAATAGTGAACTCAAGAACTTATTTTTCATTATTCTGCTCGTTTGAAAATGTCCCAAAGCGTGGAGGTTATTTATTTTCTTGGAAAATCCTGGCTACGGCTCTTTTGCCAGTGCACGGTCGACATATCAAAGCTTTAATATGTGAATACGAGGCATTTGTATGTCATAAGCAAAGGGAATAAGAACTCTGTAAATTAACAGGAATGTTAATAAATGATGAGAATAAAATTTATTTCAGGGAGGAATGAAGAAGGTGTAACGGGGTTTCCAGATGAAACAACAGAGAAATTAGTCAAAGAAGTGTTAAAATATGACTATGAAGTTTACTATTTCATCAAGCAGAGATTTTATCAGACCATCCAAAAACTAGGACTTGAATCTCATCTTACTGATATTCTCTGGGTACACTAAACCATTACATGCCAATAAAGATATCACACGTACATAAAGATGGCGGTTGCTTCAAATTCATTCGTGTCCACATAGATGGAGCCATATGTCTTGAATGCAGGATGACATTTTCAACATTATTCTAAACTCTAAATACACTAATGAGGCTAAGTTCATTATGTCCCTCAGAGTTCAAAAGAGTCCCATGACGTCCTCTCGAGGCCTATGGAAATGCTTCCAATTGAGCTCTTGGCTCAGATTTGTTCGGCCCAAACCAACCAGCTACGTGCACTGTTTTGCATGGTCTCGAACATATTAGAAATTTTATCGGAATTCGAGGCCTCGGTTTAGTTTAGCATGAAAAGTTAGAGCCATTATATATTTCTGATTACTAACCTATATATTTTATTCATCAGTAACTATATGCGGAACAAATTTAATTTGCACGTCAAACATTTACGTGTACTTGTATACACATTTTCTAAGTTTTTTCTGAATTTATAGATCATCTGTTCCTTTCAAAAATTATCATGGACACGATGGAGTTCTGCATCTGCACTTTGAGTTTCAATTTTGCTAATAATATAGTCACTAGATGCTCGCCTATCGGTGTATTGTAGTTCTGAAATTCGTTCCCCACCAATGGGATCCATACGCACGTCCCCGTACTCCAAATCACGTGCACCTCTCCGGTATGGAAGCGTCTGAACACCTGACACTTGACGTATATAACCAGGTGGCGGTGGACCTGAGAGAGATCTTACGTACTCGTGACGTCCCAGTACCATGGATGCTGGGATTGAGCGCCGTCTAACGACAATGGGAGGACCAAGGTACGCTCTTGGTTTCATTACTCTTGTATACATTGGGTACTCATAAGACCGAACCCCCAGTCTGGGCTGGGCAGGAGGGGTTGAGCTGTAAGTGGGCTGGTGGGACAGGGCGTGCGTTCGTTGCTGCAAATCGAACGCAACTGGTGGAGAGCTACGAGAGTCACGATAGTTTTCCTGTGGGTGCATAGATGCCTGGGTTTTATACTGAGCCGGATTTTCAGAAAGGGGCAAAGAATATCCAGTCCATGTTTGATGTCGTCTATCATAAATATTATTGGACGTCTTCACGTCAGAATTCATCATTTTCTTCAGGCTGTTCGATGGAGTGGTAGTCCAAGTTGAATCTGAGTCATGGCTGTCGTAATCTGGTGGCGGAACTTTTGAAGATCGTGGTTCTGATTGTGATCGCCTTTTGTATCGTTTACGTTCTTGTGTGTCTCGTTTGGATTTACGTCTCGGTGGTGCAACAGGAGCATGCTTTCTCTCGATGCTTACATCCGGGGTTCTATTTTCTGTTCGTTCCAGCGACAACTTTGGAGGTGGAGGTGGTGGCGGTGGTGGAGGCACGATGTCGTCACTAGAATCGAACTGTCGACGCTCTTTATCAAGTCTGAAATCAAGATGGTTGATCGTATTCGTATCACCAGTTTGTTCATTAGTTGATCTAATGATGCTCTCATCTGGAGTTTTGGCTGCTTTGATCACTTCAGTCACGGTCTGCGTTATTTCAGATGTCATGCGGAGAGAACAGGCTCCCGTATCTACACGAGGTGTTTTTGACTCTTCAACTTTTTCTCCAAGTCCAGTGATAATAGTGTACTGCCCTTTATATTGTCCATCTGGCGTTACTTCACCGATGTTCTGAGTTAGATCTACGTAATCTTCAAAAACTGTATACCCAGGGTGAGAAAACTCATCAGTTTGTTTATCGCGAACAAGGCTAGTCACGATTGTGTAGTCGTTCTTAGAATCATCGTGATCGCGAGTTTCTTTACTGGGAACATTACCATTCGGTATGTTAACGACACCTGCGTCACGATCCATTCGCTCAATGGTACCTTCGAATTCGTGAACTGTCACAGCATCGTCCGTGAACACCTCATTGGCGCTATGGGTTTGATACGCGTCGTAGATTTCGATTTCAGGGTCCATTCCTTTGTTTTCGTAAGAATTTGTGTAAGCCTTCATTGCATGCTTTCTACCATTTATTTCCATATGTAAGGTATCTGGTGTATTACTGTAGAATACGTCATCAGTTTTAACTGAAAGTAAAATTTTTACTATTCATAAACTTTTATCTTTCTGCTAACCTCTTCTACAGTGCAATCATCTCAACATTGCAACGTTTTAAATCCACCCTAAATCTGTTTATGCATATACCGCTTGAAACTTAAAAAACATTCATAAACACAAGCCCATTTAGTGTCGATATTTTGACAATTTAAGTAAGCGTATGACATATGTTCATTAAATATTATTTGGATGTACCTGTAGCTCCTGAATATTTCTTCCAATAATCTGAGACAAAAAAAGTTGAAATACAAAAATATGACTTACCATCTGAATTATCCTTACGCCTCCTAAAAATTAGATTAGTAAATTGAATTCACTAAGTTTATTAGAAAACAACAACAATATACTGTAGTCGATGAAGCTTACTAAAAAACAGCTACTTGGATTAACATTAAACTTTAAAGTGAACAACTAATGTAGATTTTTTTCAAACAGGGGAAGTCAGTTTCTTTTAGTTCTCTTTAAAAACACATCATTAATTGACAAATGCTCACTTTTTACATGCGAACCAATATATGCAAAATGATGCCATTAATCCAACAAATAGCACCGACACTACAATTACTATAACAACGATGGGGTTTATGTCCGTCGCCATAGTAACAGTTACAATCCTCCTTCTCGGCAACTGAAAGTACATTTATGATATTTATATGATCGTGATTGATATCAAAAATTCTGCATCTTATTATTTCAAGTGAAATCATAAACATGTTAATGGTTGCCATTAAAGCAAGGCCAATGTTTTCAAATATGACATTAATGGATAATTTAAATACATTTGAAGAGGAAGACTCGTGATCAAATAAAATACCTTCACTTATTCCGTACATTTTTATTGAAATAAATAATTTGTTGATGGCTCTCGTTATTATATTGAAATAATTATCCTCTTTTTGAAGAGGTCTTCACATGTCACCTTCCGCTGTTTTAACTAAAATACATGAAATAAGGTCATTGTTATTCGAAAAAAGAAACATGGAAGATAGTCCAAGTGGCCCTACTAATACCCCATATCCATTATCCAAAAACAAACATTGGCATTTATTGAAGCACATCATTCACATCAACTCTATAAAAATTTTGAGCGGTTTTTGAGCGAGATTATTTTTCCCTTGTAAATCAAAAATCATTTTTTGTTGAACATTAAGTGACAATGAGGAATGACACTTTATCAGACCATAATGAGAAAACAGAGTCTTCTATAAGTTCCTCTCTAGAACCATTCTTAACATGGCAGATATGTGTATTAGAATGTTAACATTTTAAAATGAAATAATTACATTTAAATATCACCAAGAACGTACCTCTAGTATATTCCTACTGTGTGTCCATTATTTTGTTGTTTAACATCCATACAGCGTTCATCATACATCTAAATACCTACATACGGAATGGAATGTGTTGTTACATCAACTCCCAAATATTTCTCATATCTCCAGTACGTAAAGTATAACTAGACTATCCATCACATACACATGTATGCGTTCACTTCATCTCCCTTTAGGCAAAACACTCACTGTCAAATAAGTAACCAACAATAGACCCGTAGCTCTCATTAACACTCAAAATTAGTGTTTTCGAAACACGTACCTATCCAAACAATGTACTATTAACCTGTGTGTTGTTTTTATCATATCCAGTATTTTACACATTCATATCCAGAATAAGAACATATTTCTGGATTATCAGTAAGACATTTTACCTTTTTACCTTGGCATTTTTTAATTTGTCTTTGGTTTCGGATGTGTCAGAGGAGAATTTGAACTCGCAGAATCATAACCTAAAAGTCAATATATTTCGAGATGACCATTAAAAACCCGTACAAGTGGATAATAAATGGCGGAATAATTCAGTTTTCAGTTTCAAGAAGGGAGGTGGACATGTACAGTAAATGAAATGAGGACTAATATAAACAGTGCCATGCATGTACTAATGCACTTCAATATTTTCGTTGCCCGATTTAATATCACTAGTAATAAATAGATCGCGTAACTTTTCCTTGCTCAAGTTCCGAGGGTCTATCGATAATAGTAATTGGAAATATTTTTGTTAGCATTTTGTCAAATACAATTATTAAAGCATCAATTGTATCAACTTTGTAACAAATTAACAATACACTATTTGGTTGTATCAAGCCTATGGCGTTTGAAAAATAATTACTTTTTCAATTAGGTTTTATTCATCCAATCCACTTCTCGTTTACCCTTTTCAAGACAACTTGTACATATTACCCTTTTTAATGGTTTGATTTCACTTCTTTTCAAAAAAGCTACGTTTGTTTATAGTGATTATTTTTAGCCTCTGGTCCTCTAGGGATCATATTGCATGTTGTTAATGTTAACAAATAACTTTACTGTCCCACGGTTGTCATAGTTACTCTTCATTGTACATTGATGTCATATTTGATTATTACAATAATTCCATCTCTGTCTTCCTCAAAAAAAAAAAAAAAAAAAAAAATCTCTGTCTTCCTCAAACACAGACCAGCAGATATCATGTTTTAAACAGACCTTGTCGTATATCAATATAATGCAGCTCATCTCATGGAGTATAGATACCATAGTGACTCCCAAATGAGTTTGAAATAAAACATTTTGCACTAGATTTAGGTTTTCATAGCTACCCTCCAATAAGTTTCAAAGTCATATCTGTTAAATTTGCCAAACACAAGCCGCCTGGAGCAGTTGCCATTGGATGGAATTGGAGCAACAGGAAAAAATACGTAATCAGCAGCCCAAGTACCTTTAAAACAAATAAGCACCATTAACATCCAAAATTTCACCACCTGCCATTTGTTATAGACGCTGAATGTCGACCGCCGAACGGCAACAGTCTACAAAAAAGTCGGAGATTATAACAATATGTCACTTATTCGGCTGGTGGTGAGATAAAAATGGATAAAAATAGCCCAGAGAATGAACATAGGCAATATGCAATAGAAAAAACAACTGCGCTATGTTAATGTTATATTACCGTAAGGGTTGTTGGCTTATCCATTACGAACATGTCCATTGCTGTTAAGCCGATAGATGTTCCTGTTAGGCGACTAAGAAACATGTGAATCTAAAATACCAAAAACATTAATTGGTCAATAATGTGGCAACGGATATTGCCATATTCGTTTAGGACACCGGGGATTAAACAGAAACGATAACCGTTGTTATCGTTTTTATTTCACAGTGAGGAAGTTATCTACGGGTTAGGATAAACTCAGAACTCAATGAATATTGGAGATGATTTAACCAAGAATAAAGTCTCGTATCAAGATTTTGAATGAGGGTGGCAGCACCTGCCATAAGCACCTGCCTTGCTGTTTCTTACAATTAATAGATGCCACCTCAACTGACAACTTAAAATTAAAAAATTGATAGGGGTAAACTTTTACTGAATCTATAATAGCCATGCATTGTGCTGTAAAATTAAGAATGTAGATTGCTTGAAATACTGTACTCTGATTGGCTGGACACTTGGCTAGCTATGCAAGTATGAATAATGTGTTATGGTTTGTGAACTAATATTCAGTCGGTTCGGTGTCATATTATACAGTCAGTCAAGAGGAGGGAAAGCCCCAGAGCTTTAGCGATGACTGATAACGTCTCTTACGTACCACCTTCGTTTACGCAAATTCTCACCAGTTAGTTTTCGAATATAACGCGTCGTTGTGATCTTTTAATCGATTTAAGCATATTCCTTACATCTTTCTTTATCTTGATGTGAAATAACAAGCTATGATATTGGTTAACACGCCAGATTTTTACATAATATTACTTTGAGCGTAATTAGAAAATTTTGAATCCGCCATTTTTGAATCCGCCATTTTGACCAATCAGAGACGACGGTCATCTCAATTCAGGTCTACATTAAAAGCGTACGGACTCATCCTAGAACTCAGGGGTTAATACCCCTCTTCAGCCAGCCCTACCTCCAAGTTCTTGCTAGTACTTGCTACATCTGCCCTGATGCTGTGAAGATCAGTTAAAGGAGCATGTGCCTGGAAATTCAAAATGACAATTCGATTTTTCTCCTTCGGGACCCACGGGATAAATAACATGTTTGCCTGAATTGATTATCTTTAATTAACCACAATGGACCAGGGTGAGTTTTTACATGGTCGATGATAAATCATTTCTGGCACTCTGATCCTCAGAGTCAGCACCCTCATATGAAAAATGTATGGTAATTGAGAGTATAGGTACAGTACACTCATCTCTAAGGGCCGTTTAACAAAAACTTCTTTAAAATCATGAATCCCAAAGTCCATTATTCTGTAACTATGACAAATTTATGTCCATGGTCACAATAATTAGGAATTCTGTTACTGTTACTGACCCCCTGGACATTATTTGCAAGTTGACAGTGAAAATACCATTATATCAGACGCGCAAAACGACAGAGTAACGTGAATTAAAACTTACAGCATTGTTGACAAAAGCCCCAGCGATGCACACAATTCCCATATTGATAAAAGTAACCAAAATCCAGAACGTGTAGCCCATATACATCGCAAAGTGTATCTCGTTGTAGATCATGTTGTAGAAGAATAGGCAAGAGAGGGGAATGTGCGTCAAGAGAACAGATATAACAAATACCATAAACGTTTTGTCTGCAACCTCTGTCAATTTACACAGCTTCTGATGGTCGCGGCGTCGTTCTTCGAACGGTCCAATGATGTCTCCTTTAGCGTTGAAACATTTGAGGATGTTATTATGGGCGATTTGGAACTCCTTACACAGAACGTAACAAATCATGATGTAAAGAGCAAACGGGTAGAAAGAGATATTGGAGAGCACCCAATGGAAAAATAGGGACGCAATACGGACTATTTCAATCCCTGGAGACTCCGACGTGAACGGAGCACAAGTAACATCATATAACGATAACAGCCCTGGATCACCGTGATATCTTGCATAAACCGCCGTGAATGTATTGCCGATAGACATCACTGCAGTTCCAATCAAGACAATCTTTTGACACCTTTTCAAAGAATCTTTGTAAGGTATGTCACCATGTCGGTCAGATGTGTTACAGTACTTGTGCCAGGTCATGAAGAAATCGTGCAATCTGTCTTTCTCATATGAACCTCTCCAACAAGTTATCGCATTCACAGCAATTTCAAACCACCATACACTTATAATGATCTTGAAGAAAAGAAGGTACCCAAAAGAATCGGATGCCCTGTATGACGTAAATGAACGCAAGAAGCTTGTGATAGCAATAATCAGGACTCCTGTACAATACGCAAACAGAGTTCGTTTGCGATTTGATTGGGATTTCCCGTTTGAAGAAAAGTCCTTATGAAAGAACAATCCGTGAAGTGACATCACTGTGAACAATGGTTTCAAATGTTGAAACAGCAAAACATCCTCAATGCTTTTTGGTTTTCCAGAGTTATCCAAAGGTTTAAGTGAATCAACTTTTCCGGAGTGAATCTTTACCTTTGCTCTTAGCCTCATATCCTCAGTTGTTCGCTTTATGTCATCAATTCCCTTTGCTTTAGGTACATCAAATAGGTTTGATCTAGAATTAACTACGTCCATTCCTGAGTTTTTTTCATGCAATTCAAATTCAATATTCCCCGTTGACCCTGCTACAGGATTCGCCTCGAGATCAATAGATGGCTCTGATAGTCGTTGCCATCCGCGCTCTTGGCTGAACGAATTCATTATTAATATTGACGTTGAAGAAGTCAATGTCGCAGAAACAATTACATATATGTTGTCCTTGCTCGATTCGTCATTAGCATACTTGAACTAATGCGTTATAAATACATTTTTACAGATTTTATATCAATCTTTATTGTTCCAATATTAGTGCCTTCTTCCGAAGTTTACTTTACAAATATGTGTAGTGAAACCTCTCCCCATTGCATTTATACTAAATTCTCCTGTATGTTTAATAAACATTGTTTATCAGATATATTTCCGGTCTGACTGGTCGATTGTGTGCAATTATTTAGCAAGGAGATTGATTTGCAATTATCAATACCATCCCAGAATGTTGAACGTTTCTTTATTTCAAGCTTTATAATGGATTACTAGTATGTCTCTTGTAATTGTCTCACGAACAAGGAGCTCCAATATCACATGGGGTTGTTGTTGGGGCCTTTAAAACGTGTTAGTAAATGAAAATGAAGAAAAAATGGGATAAGCGTATCCAATATGTTTGAATTGTATTTATGTTATTCCAATCACACTCCGATGTTGCAATCATATTTATTCGAGGACTCAAACTAAAAGATGAAGGGGAAATGATGACTTCTTTCAGGAGGAATTCACACATAGCAAGGCAAGGTGTGTCCGATTACAGCCAATCCGAACACAGTATTTCATTCAACTACATTACCAATCACCGCATTCAAGGAAATTCCTTAGGCTGTCGAGGTGACAACTTGACTCTACAGATTGAAATGAATGCTTTGCCAACTTGACCCTTGCAAACAGTTTCATTAAAATATATTTGTGATTTCGTATCTTTTAAAGCCAGAATCAGATCTAAGCTTATAGGGAGTGACAAATTGCAAGTAATCACGTGTAGCCTACAATTGATCTACAAATATATTGAGTTTTAAAAAGAGGATGTTGAGGGTAGATCCCTATTTGAAGCACTAAATTTTGAAATGCCATTTATTTTATCGCATTTGTGAGTTGAACCATGATACTTGACAAATCATTGTAGCATTGGATGAGCTTTAATATAATATACATGTATGACACATACTATGGGGACATTGATATATGTCTGCCTAAGGGGCCCCCATACTTTCAGTACACCCTGTACTTTGGGTATTTTAATAGACATGTCAAGGAATGATATGAGCACGCATGCATTATACTAAATCACCACTGTAAACAAAAATTGAACATTTGGAATGTTTAAGAAGAAGAAAGGTTGAAGGGAATCTGGAAAAACACAGGGAGGGGCAAAACTAAAGATGAAAATATCAATTTAGAATCCGGAAGATTAGCCAAACATTAGCTCTATATTCTACGAAGATATCAAATTCTAGAGTTATCCGTGTTAAAGAACGAATGCATAGGTTGACAGATGCACGTTCCATAATAAATTGGAATTTAGAAAATATTTAAAGATGATCACGTAGAATGTTGAATGTAGAATGCAGAATGTTGATTTTAAGATATTTCATAGTCTCTCACTACTGTGTACTCGTGGGATTTCACGAGAAAAAAGTTGAAAAAGAGCTCACTTCATCATATTCAAAGGTTCTATGAGTTGTCCTTGCAATTAATTGATTCTACAGTTACCATAGCCAGAAATGACGACTATTATCACTGATTGGCATTTGTTGTACATCTTGAAATATATGTACTAAAGACAAAGACAAGTTGAACTTGAAATTGCAGACTATTCAATTTCACGTTACATTGATTTCAATGGGATTTTGCGATACCTGCACTTTGAAAGTGTGTAACTTCAGTTCTAGAAAAGTTTTTACCATGATTTTAGTTTTATTTGAAAGATAATGGGTTATCCTTTAAGGCAGCGAAGCATTTTTTAGCACAAAAAAATTATTGTGAAAGAAAATTGACAATTTATCACATAATGTCAAAAATTTACACTCCCTAACTCACGTTGACCTCGACTTGACCTATATTGACCTTTTTTAGGAAAATAAAAAATATAAATAGAAAATAATGAAATGAGACAAGTAATAAAAAATCGCAGAGGGGTCCAAATGACCGCCTCCTTGCGAATTAGTGTTATAAAAAAGGTTACAGACATTAGGGTTAATATAATGTTTCTGTGCATTTGGAACACCCTGTATTACACCGTGCAAAATTGAAGAAATTAATACGCCGCGGAAGAGTAAATGACTGGAGTTTTCGACGTTCTAATTGTATTTAAACAACGGGAATTCATTAGTTTAAACAGACGCAAACGAAAGGGCTTAGTGTCAACACATATTTTTCTCTATCACTGAGGAACTAGGTAAGTGATTAACTTGATTTTATTAAATGTGTATATATTGATGGATTATTCTGGTTACATTGGTATCCAAATTGACAATCAATTTGACCACTCCCTCCAGACAAAAGGGTTTATATTGAAATTGGGATCACAGTTCATATTTAAAAGATTTGCAACCTCTCTCTTTCAACAGCAATATTTCCAAACTTACTAAAAAGCGAAGGTCAAGCTTATATTTAAAAAGTAGGATGAAACTCAATTCAATAACTATAGACCAATTTCCTTATTATCAGTATTCTCAAAAGTGTTGGAGCGAGTAATGGCAAATTGACTTATAAATTTCTAGAAAAATACGATATCTTCTGTGAACAGCAATTTGGTTTTAGGGAAAATAGATCTACATATATGGCTATTACCAGCTTCTTAGAAACACTTATCCAGTCAATTGAAAAGAAAGATTTTAATATTGCCATTTTCATCGACTTGTCTAAAGCATTTGATAATGTTAATCATGAGATACTTCTTCAAAAATTATACTATTATGGAATCAGAGGAAATGCACATAAGTGGATCATTAGCTATCTTTCAAACCGAACTCAGGAAACAGAATACAATGACAAAACCAAAAAAGTTACCTGTGGAGTTCCACAGGGCTCGATCCTTGGACCTATTCTGTTTCTTATCTACATCAATGGCATTGTTACGACATCTTCTATATTTAAATGTGTTATCTTTGCTGATGATACAAACCTTTTCTGTCCACATAAAAATCTAAGTACTCTTATTTATCATGTGAACTAGAAAATCTTGACGAATGGCTACGTGCAAATAAACTATCGCTTAATATAGAAAAATCTAAATTCATGATCTTCCATCCACAGAAATTGAAAGCATTTGAAATAAAACTGCTAAATATTAAGATTAGAAATATACCTATTGAGAGAATTTCGATGAGTCATTATCGATGATAAACTCAAATGGAATGAACATACTGCTCATGTATCTTCCAAAATATCACAAGTAGTTGGAATTATTTACAAGGTCAAAAATAAGATAAATCACACTGCATTGATATGTATTTATTACTCTCTCATATATAGCCATATAAATATGTATTCTTATATGGGGTACAGCGACTAAAGCTTTATTGTTTTAAATTCTGAAAGTACAAAAAAAGATTCTTAAGACTGATTACACTGGTGATCCGCTCGATTACGCTGGTTACCGAAACCAACAAAATGTTGGAACGTCGAAGGTACGATTTTTATTTTTTCCTTATTTCACGCGTTGAAGGCAGAATCTCCATGACATTTTTCTCACAAACGTGTATCAGTATCATATGTTTTAGAAAATATACATGTTTGCGAAAAAATAGCTCAGCAGACAACAGAATCGTCGATTTAATTCCTCACTTAAGTTACATAAACAGTTTGGGTAAAACTGTTTTTCGAAAGTACCGTTTCTGTAACTTAAGTGAGGAATTAAATCGACGATTCTGTTGTCTTCTGAACTATTTGTTCACAAATATGTATATTCCTTGAACACATGATACTGATACACGTTTGTGATAAAAACCTACCCACCTACAATGTGTGAAATAAGGAAAAAAGAAAAACCGTACCTTCGATGTTCCGACATTTTGTTACCGAAACGGTTCCAGCGTAATCGAGTGGATCACCAGTGGATTACAAACAGTGCTAGAACAGACGATTCCTCTCCACAATTTAAGAAAATAAAGATACTTAAATTAGAAGATATTCACAAGCTAAATGTTGGTATTTTGTAGTTAATTGTCTCAAACGACCAAAAGAATTTCCTCAAACATTAATCTGTGACTACTTCATATCAAATGCCCAAACTCATGGACAAGGGACACGTTATAGATTCAATCTTAGATCTAATCAATTTAAATCCACATTTGGACAAAGGAGCATCAAATACATAGGACAGACAACATGGAATGAATTACCTGAAACTTTAAGACATCTAAATTCTAGAAATAAATTTAATTAAGTCAGATTTGAAAAACGTATTATCTGGACACGTATTAAATTGAACTGTATGGGTGTCAGTTGCCTGTACACTGAACATTGATATAACTGATGAATAAAACAACTGTATGCTTATGTTAACACAAACAGTAAAATTGGTTACATCTGCCGGAGTTGTATCAATTTAATAATCACCCCTTTTGATTATATTATTTTGTGTTAGAGAACCATGAAGACGATTCGTATGGTATGTTGCCTTGTGGTTGTGATGTTACTGATGTCAACAGTTACTGGTCAAAGAGGGAAAAGGGGTAAATAATTACAACTCATTAAAGTACATAATAATGTTTTTAATCTAGTGATCATTAGAGCCAAACGAAAATTTAAAAACAAGTCCCATATATGTTAACAGAGACTCTCATTAAAATTTTCCAATATTGCTGAGAGTAAATCAAGTTGTTTTACTTATTGGGAAAATATTATATCTAAAAGAATGTATATGAAACAAATGTCCTGAAAATTAACGAGTCTTAGGTTTTATTAGCATTTTGTGGATAGTCTGTTCAGAATATTACATGTATTAAGATTATCTTTCTTATCCAGATGATGAAAATGATGCTCCGATCGACGATATTCAAGAAAAGGATTCCAGAATCAAAAAGGACGTCCCGCCTACTGGACGCCGACATTATCGGCCGCCGCCCGGGTTTCACTAGTTGTTTTACCAATTGAGAAATTGAATAAAACTACTGCATGTAAAGAATGATCTTGTTAAATTCTTCCTATCACACATTTCTACAAAATTGCTCAAATATTTTTAATTATCACTGATCAC